TATTGTATGGTATTATTGGGGCGTAAATTATAAAAAGTTCACCGCTACAAACAAACCCCGCTGAGCTTTTCTCCCGACGCTTGCGGCCGCTCAATGTAGCCCTCACGACTGTTCTGTGATAGAGCGAGATGATGAATCCGTGCTAATCCCACCTTCATCCCACCTTGTACTTCCCCCCAGCTGCCTCTCCTGTGTCTCTGAATACCTGCCTGTTTAATGAAAGACCCGCCGTGCAGCCCCCTCTGCTTTCATCCAGCTGACCACTGATGGAGTAGTGCTTAATTCAGGGCGGTCGGAGCATCAAACAACCTCCACATACAAAAGGTCACCTGTGACGTTGACGCCGGCAGCATTGTACGAGTGAGCAATTATGCACATTATGCATCGTGAAAGATTTGTTTGGAGAAAGAGTGGGAAGCAGTTGGATCAGAGGGTTTTCTACCATGTGGTGCAGAGCAGCAACCCTCGAAACCACATGAAAAAGAATCGATCCAACACTGTGTATTCGTTCGCGAAACACACGCGACCGGGGGAATTCCTCACTCGGGTCCAAAATAATCAAGCGAGGTTTAATGAGCGAGTCCCGCAGCTGACATTGAGGCTGCGGCACATGCACAGAGGAGGCTCGCTCACCGTCGCCCTCGGGGACGCATTGTGAACGGATGAAAAATACAAAATGATGGTCACAGATTTAATGGAGGAACTCCTCTCGCGGCCCCATGTTGCCAGCGCCATTCATCCTCTCTTTGCTCTCCTCCTCTTTCTCTTGTCAAAAGGTCTCCTCCAGGTCAGACCCCCACAAAGGTGAAGCAAATAATGGATGAGGGTGTATTAATGATGCACCACTCTTTCTCTTTTTATCGCCAATCCTTCTTCATCTTTTCGCTATCTCCCTCTTTAATCAAACGTCGTATCAAAATGGAAGAATGGACGGCAGCAAAAGCAATCCATCAAAACATTGGCGCTGCATGCATATCTGATGAGGACTACAGTATAAACAACACAGTGCAACAGCATTTTCTCATCAGGTCCATTTTTCTTTCAGCTTCTGATTTTTTCAAACCATGAACCCACTGACCCAACTTTTGAAAATCTCAATACTACGTTGTGATTAAAAGTTTGTTCTCTGATACGTTGCGGCAGGAATGTTGAATCATTACAATTGAATGTGGGGCGACACCGGTAGTTAAACATTACAAATTATATCATAGTTGTAATGAAGTGGATGATGCAGAACACAAGTTAGTTGGCTTGAGATAAAAAAACAACATGTGCTCCTGAATCATGATTGTTTGTAAGTCTATGAGCACATCTGAAGGCAAACATATATTGTTATTTATGCAATTATTTGGACTACATCTTGACATGGACCACCTCTTGCATATCTTGATGCTTTACTTCCTAGACACACAGTAGTAATCATCTCATTTTCCCTCTAAAAAACACAGCATCTCTCAGCACTTTTACTTTCAACAATGCACGTGTACGGTACTTTCATTTCTGCAGCGATGCTGCAGGTTTACGAGACTTCCGTCCTCTGCAGCTCCCTTTACCACCGACGAGGGAGCTCTGTTTGAGCCTCTGTCTCCTCCTCTGTCAGAGGACAGAAACCGATAGGTACACATGCATCAGTTAGCATGAAGCCGCAGGAGATTACTTCATGCTCCTCCTCTCTCAGTGATTAGTTTTTACAATCAGCGAATGTAAATTGGAATTTACTGACAGCCCATCAATCTCATCCTCGCCGCAATATGTTGCACGACTCTCGGCACGTGCCACTGGACATATCGCAGAGTCGATCTGCTCTCATACACTCATATATATCTCTGCACAACTGGTCTATGGGACACATTAACAACATTCCATTTTCATATAGTAGAGGAGTGTGCTGCTTTGTCACAAGAGCAATTTATCTCAGGAGCAATAGCAACTACTCTGTTACTGTCACCTGTCTTATTTTGCTCAGCAGGGAATGTGGCATGTTTGAAACATGATTGGTAAGCTGCAATCCCAGAACTCGTGAGGCCAAAAAGTAATTTTAAAAAGAATAATTATAGTAAGAGCTACATGTGGGTTTGTGCTGTTAAAACAAGTAATATGTTTATAGATTTGGTGGCATGATTCACAGTACACACGGCATGACATTGATTATTTCAGAGAGTGATTGATAATATCTAGTTCAGCCCAGTTTTTTATGAATTGTTGAATCTCATGAATTGTCATGATCTCTTTGGGATGAATTCCATCTTGCTTTGATTATGATTTGATCTAGTAACGTGTTCATCATATATTTAAGAAATATATGTAATATATTAATCTTTTATTTGTTTGGGACAAAAGACAGCTAGGAAGCTGGGAAAACATGACATGTAATTGTTTGTTGGTACCAACTGTGAAGTATATATATATATATATATATATATATATATATATATATTTCAAGACTACCATTAGCTTGACACAAACCAACAACTGAATTCTAGCTGATATTTGAATGGATGATTTAGCGGCATCTAGTGGTGAGGTTGCAGATTGCATCCACTGAACTATGCTCACTCACCCCTCCCTCTGCAAGCGAGTCAGATCACCACTGTGGCCTTTAGCTGAAAATACCAAAGACCCGTTCTATAGCCAGAGTTCGGTTTGTCAGTACCAATTCTAGGAAGAGGACTTGCTTCCTTTTGTACATAGAAATGTCCGATTCTAAGGTAGACACAACAATTCTTAGTTTCAAGTGATGTGCTGATGAAGTGATTATATGAAAACGTGAATATAATCCTACACACTGGAAGTTTAAAGGGTGGCACCAATTTGCCTCCAGCCCCGCGGTTTACTGTTCATACCACGATTTCTATGACAAATAGAGCTCAGAGTATCCAACAGAAGGCCCCACAGTGAGGAAAAACTATTATGACGTCGGACACTTCTTCACTATGAGTTACCAATAAGCCAATAAACACAAGGCACATTGGGAGGTAAACTTCGAGGTTCACAGCAACTCCAAAACATGCTCAAAGCACTTCACACTCGTTAAAAACAATTACAAATAGCTGATGGAACACCCTCTGTCTGATCAGGGCCTCGTGTAACCAATGATGAAGATCTGTACAACTATTGATTTGCCACAGGCTGATTGCTCGAGCAGATATTTTACAACTGTGACAGAAGATCAAAACCTTTCAGCAAAAAAATGTACACGGTTTAACACCGAGGCCATGGCGTCACGTGACGCGATGCCGATGTGTGGTTAATCAAGAAAGCAACCTAATCTGATGAGGGATAAATAGGGGCCGTCCTTGCTCTGTGTGCATGAATGCGAACGCTGCACACACACAACGTCGCAGGCCTGAGTTCACTGAGTTCATTGTGTTTAGCAGTCCAGAGAGGTAGAGGCGGCCTCTCTCTCACCAAATCATTGCTTTCCCCTCAATACAATAAGAGAGTGATTAATTACTACGGCCTGGAGCTATAAAGCAACTAACTACAAGTAAGTTGTCACCCGCGGTCCCTCTTGGTGTAGTAGTTCAAATCAGAGCACACTGCTGTTTCCCTTCGCAATTGCGTGCCCACATATATTTAATGCTATCTAAAAATCTGGGGGCTGAACTTCATTTATGGGTGTCCATGGGAACTCATATATATGATTGAGGAAGTAATCACCAGTGGTAGTGAGGTTCAGCTATTTAACATTCTGATCAGCCTCACAGAGAAATCTGGCGGTGGTCGTCTGATGGCGGCGCGGAGCAGAACGGGGAAAAGTGTGGTAATTATTTTGAAGGAGCAGTTTCAGTTCGACAGCTGGGAAGCAGGCTTTGGAACACGTCTATTGGGTCCCTGGAGAAATACCAATGGCTTCTTATTTTGGTACATAAATTGAGAAAAGACTTCTCAATGTATTCGTTAAATGTGCGGCTAAAGTCGCCTGCGATTGTGGTCACCTGAGAGACGCTAAGAAGGAGCGAAATTAATAGATAATTCATCACCTGTCCAATAAAGATGATTGGTGGTTTGCGGCACAATTAGGGGAAAGCAGAGAAGGCTGAACATGACATTCATCATAATTATTGCAATTGGTCCTTTAATGACAGTGAGTAATATGACAGAGGAGGAACAGAAGGAATGTGATTACAGTGAAACTGCCTTTTAGTACAAAGAACAGACGAAATCTTACACAAGTGTTTTAGTAACAATAATAGTAATGATATCAAAAATAATAATAAGTATCAATACGTTAAATTATTTATGTATTGTTTTTCTATATGTCCCTAATTGGATCTGTAGCAAATCAGAAAACAGCTCTTTCTAGTTGCTGATATTTTCATAACTGATGGTGCTGTTAATCTTTATTATAAATGTATAATGAGTTAAACGTATAAATAAATAACGCTATTAATGTTGTTAGCGTTGTCGTTGCCATGAACTCAACTAGCGCAGTGCCAGTTTAAAGCATAGCGGGGCGAGTGCTTCGTGTCTGTGGTGTTTGCTGCTTGCAGCTTTCTCAAAAAACGCTCCTACAGACAAGTTGGCACTCAACACTTTGAGTCCCAAGCGGAGCCAATGCCATGAAAGAGTTGTTCCACAAAAGTGTCAGTAAAGTAAAGTTAAATACAAGTTTAAAAAAACACTTTACTCTTAGGTAGGTTGTCTGGACCGCACAGCCCAACAGCTGTAGATTCATTATGATGTTAACATATTGAATTATGTTCTATTCTAAAAATGAATGCAATTATACTATTCATTTATTTCTCATGCGGTATGATGTTTAGTATAACTTTCAGCTGCAATACTGAGATCACCAATTCTAATTGTGCATTTCACGTACGGTTGATCATACGTTTCTAGTATTTCAGAAAATATGTCACATGAATACGATACATAATAACCCCTGGAGCCATTCCCATAAAAGCAAAGCCCACAGTCTTGTGACGATACATATCTGGTGAACAGCAGATGGCAGCAACAATAGCTACACGCCTTTTAGAGTCGCTCTACCAGGAATCTAGAGAGGAAGAAGAAGGAGGAGGAAGAAGAAGAGGTGTGTTATTTTAAAAGGGAGTGACTGTGGCAGCTATAAGACACAGTTTCATATCTGGAGAGCTGTGAATGAACCCAGATCCACCGCAGTGAGTTCAGGTTTGTACTTGTTAACTTTGCTCTGTGTTGTCAGTGTTCTCCGGTCCTTTATGGTGTGATACAGAAGCCCACAGCTGTTAGCCAACTAAAGCCTTGTGTTCTGTTTACAGTCACTGCTGCTCTCTTGAATTCTTGGGTCGCTGACTTTGCAATGTAGAAATGCTCCGACTATCTGTGAGGCTGACTCAAGTTTCCCCTCATTGCAGTCCGCTCACGTTCAGCCGAGGATGCAGCAAGTCAGCCAGAAGAGTGGGCCTGACTTTCAGCGGCTTTGGGGAAGATGGGCCGGCCTGTTCAAGCCTATCTATGGTGACTCCAGGGTAACGAGGAACTTCATCTGTCAATCAGAAAATCTTCCCCTTCTTTGTGTACGTGTGTGTGTGTTCCTTTCCATCATAGTATGGGAATCTCTTCTACAGGTGGAACAGCTGATGGACACGCGGGCCGGGCAGTACCTGAGCAGCCACCCTTTCTTAGCTCTCAACGTGCTGCTGTTTGGCGCCGCGGCCGCTCTGCCCGTCGGACTCTTCCTCTCTTTTGCTCTTGTGACCCTCGTTATGTCGGCAGTAGGTTTCCTTTGCTTTGAAGGTACGCGTACTCATGCCCAAAACAATGTTCTAACCCTTTCTACGTATGTGAAATGCACTTTGTTCGGCAGCAGCACCGGGCTTCGGATGAACCCAAACTGTGTTTGTTTTTGTGTGTGTGTCCGTCAGTGTTCCTGTTGTTCGCAGGCGGGTTGACTCTGCTGTCCGTGCTGCCCGGCATCGCCCTCTTCTCCGTCAGCGCTTCAGTCATCTTCAACGCGCTCTACGTCACCACCTACAACATCTTCAGCCGATATTTCCCGCATCTAACAAAGGTAATAATAATGTAACCTCACATGATTTTTTCATTTTACTTTTCTGAGATGAAGAAGTCTTAAAAAGACACAGGTACGATTAGAAAATGAGTAATAAATTAACTAATTTATAGATATGCAAAAGGGAAGCAATACAGTGCTATTACAGTATTTCAATTTGTGACATTGTTTCCACATTGTATTTATTTTTGTTCTCTGTTGTCCTTTATTCCTCCAGCAAGGTGACGTTCTGGATGATCTGGACGAATCGAAGGAGAGTGAATTCGACAATTAAAAACTGAAGTAAATTTAGTTTTATTCTTCTCTCTCAAATGTCAACTTTCAATGCGGAAAAGCCTCGACGTTAAGTCTGTACAGCTGAAGCCCTGTGAGTGGGATTCAGACCCTTGAATGTACCGTGTGCAGCTACTTACAAGCACAAATACTGTCTGATGGTTACTGTATGTCTGAAGCCTAAACATTGTAACAATACGTTTGTTTTTTAAATGCCAAAGTGTCCTCATCTCTGTTCATGTAGACATATACAATGTCTACAGAACATGGACTAACTAACCTTTAACTGCCTTAAACAGAAAGATTTATATAAATCTAATCCATATAACCTATTCTATAAATGCATTATTGATTAATCCTGAAATGTCGTCTCATTTCAAGTAATTGAGTTTAGGGCAGAATATGTTGACTCAGGGCTTTAGTTGTCTGAAATGCTTTTGTATGTTGTTAATGCTGATGTGCAGATATCTGATGTGCATGCCCGTTACAGGCAAAAAGAACCAGCTCCGTCCTAAACCAAAGAGATTCTTTTTCAACGGCCACTCGTGATTTTGGCAATTAACTGATTCAATCATTTAATCGGCGGATCTGTAAAACTGAGCTACTCCACATGGACACCCCTTCAAATAATGCGCTCACTGGAGACGTGCTTATAATTCTCTAGAAAATTAGTCATCCAGTATGAGAAATATTGGCAAGTGGACTAAGAAATCTCTGTACGACCAAAAGTACTTATTAGTCAACTAATATAAGCCCTTAAAAATAACATGTTACATGTTTAAATGTTGTATGTTTGTATTGTGGCTTTGAATAAATGACAACCGAGATCAACCTTTGACGGTGTTTCTTCTAAACGGCATTGGAGGAAGATCCTCCCGAATCACAAGGAACTTGAGTGGAGTTTGGGCAAGAAATCCATCCTTAATATACATTTTGGTTGCAATGATATTTATTGGAATAAACACAATTTACATCTCATTATGTTCTGTATTTATTTAATAGAACAGTTACAGAGGACATTTTCCTGAAGATATTTGCTAACTTTTACTAAGTGACATTTGGGACAGAGTATCCTTTGGTGTTGTATTTTTTATTTTAGTTAAGGAAATACTTCCACTATCGGTCCATTGTACTGCTGGTGGTAAAAAAAAAAGGTTTTGCTTCTTTTCTCGCATGACTTCAATAATCAAACGTCAACCGAAGGAGATCCTCATAAAATCTTTAATGGAGGTGATACCATGCAAAGAAATACATACAAACTTGAAATAATCCTTTAGGAATGACTAATTTGAAGAAGAAGAGAGGCCTTTAAATGTAATAGAAATGCACCCTTGATTATAGACCAGCAACACACCCAACCAGTTCAATTAGACATACAGTTCACACTTGAAATGTTACAACCAGTGAAAGGATTTGAATGCAAAATATCATTAAACGAACCCTGTTCACTTGACTTCATGATTTTATACGTCGGTTCATGGACTGGGATGCTGGCAGAAACAAAGTTTGTGCACCATTTACATGAAAAATGTGATGTAACATTATTTACATTTAAAGCTGTGGATGCATTTTATTTGCTTCAATACAGTAAGCGTAGGAAAAGATGAATAAAGACGTGAAACGTTTAATTCCCAATGAGATATCAACCATTTGAAAATACTGATATACACGGCCATCTGATTGTTGACATCAAATCGTGAGATAAAACTACAAACTATCTAATGAGTATTGTTTATAAAAACTTTAAGATTTAGAGCTAAAATATTGTTTTGAACAATTTTAGAAAGCAATGCTTTTACAAAATGGAAGCGTGTGTTGGCATGTAATTGTTGGCATCTTTAAAATATTCCATGAGAACATACATGTACAACAGACTAAAACAATTATCCAAAAAGGAAATAATGTGAGAAAGTAGACACAATCCTCATCAGGCACTCAGATGCGTTACCTCTTTAGCGCACTCTTTAATAAGACTGTACATTTGTGCATTTCATTATCGAGTCAAACAAGGTACTGCAACCCCTATTGTGACATTATAAAAAAGATGAGGAAAAAAACAAGCGTATACACCTCAGATGTAGAACAAAAAAAAAAAGGCTTTTCTTCTATTTTGAACAGCAATGAAAACAAGTTTAAGGCAAGATGGGGAACGCAGAAATCCAAAGGTTGACCATCTATGATTTTAGTTCAGCTCTGGTGTTTGTTGGCCTTTTACCAGCTCCATCAGCAATCATCAAGAAGACTTGTGTTTCCCCCCCCAATAGTTGGCTCTCTGTCTCAGGCATCTTCTGCTGCAGGTCACGAGATTACGCACGGTCATCTCCACACCCCCCTGAGTCTGCTGGGAGTCTGCGTCTCCGTCTTCTACGCCGGCAGGCTCAGCTTCTTGCCTTTCAACACTGAGGAGAGGGAAGGAAAGATAAGAGGGTCAGCAAAGGTCACGGAACATTCTCAAGGATGTTGCGCATTTCGGTTTTTCTGAAAACAGCCGCAGCGATTTGGGCCGATGATGAATTTGAATTGTAAAAAACGCTTGCGACGCATTTCTCATGCAGAAGATATAAAAGAGATGTGGTTGTGTCTTTTATGGACAGTTTTGAGTGAATATAAACTTGACACTGATGTGAAAAAGGTCTGTCATCATGCTAAGTGTATTATGCGTATCCATTCAGCTTTTCCCCATTAAACACATGGCAACTTCTCTAACAGTGTTGGACTGTCTTGACTTTAGTCGCACGCAAACCTATTTGTAATGCAACTCAAAGCAATAGAGTAGAAAATCCAGTCATATTTTGCGATAAACATTGATTTTTAAGTTCAACCAATGCTAATTTCCGGCTTTAGTAATCTAAATTTGCCAAATCAAGTGCGTACTTCCAAACTGTACATGAGCACAAATTCCCCATTGTGGGTTTCCTGGAATGGTATTTCCTTTTTCGCTTCTGCAGACGGATAGTAGGACAAAAGGGAAACTTTTTACTAAAAAGACCACTTGACTGAAGCAACTCAAACGGTTAAAGCCACATATTTGTCACAGCTGAACTTTTGCAGGGAACAAGTACTGTATAAATCCTTCATTGAAGCTACTCTATGGAGACATTGGTCCAGGGCCGGTGGAAAGTGGAGAAATTATTAAATCATCAGATCACGCTGTCAAACAAATAGTTGTGTTTTGTTAAAACAAACAAAAACTCCTTTAAAATATTCTAATGTTGCAAAATAAGGAAGCATTATAATTTATAATTGGTATCTTATGTGTTTAACAAAAGTCCATAAACAATAACATAAATATGAATTCATCATTTTGCCCTCTGTATAGTGTCACATAAATTCTCTCTTACTTCCTTAATTGTATTTACATAATGCCATAATGGATGATGTAAGCAAGAAACCCACCTTTAGTGACATAAAGGTAGAAGAAGTCACAGTAGAGGACGGTCTGCACCAAACCGGCCACAATGGCGATCATGTCAAAGAAGCCTTCGAAGTAGAAACGCCAGATCCAGTTGAAGAGGTAGAGGGCCCGATACATGCCCAGGCAGAACAGGTAGTGGGTGGTGATGGTCTCTGCCTCGCCCGTCTTGCTGATCATGAAGAGCTGCGGCAGGATCGCCACCGACTCCAGATAGATGGAGAACGTCCACAGGATCTGATGACAGATGTGTTGCGCAGAGGTTCAAGGAAAACTCGTTGCAGTGCGGTCAGCTCTTAGGTCAGAGTCGCTGGTGACACGAGAAGACAAACCCACCTCCAGGAGAGAGAAGTCGTGGTTGATGAGAACGGAAAGGCCACCGACGGGAACAACCAGGAACTCCACTCTGAAACTGTCGTGGTTGCCGTCGTAGGTGGCCCTGAACTTTGCGTAGATCAGGTAGACTGTGGCGTACGCACAACCGATGTAGATCACCTGGTAAACAAAGCACAGCAGCTTATCATTAAAAAAAAGGGTGCTGGCGAGAAGTAAAGGATCTGTATGAAAGGCTGTGGCGTGACTCGGGTTTTACCTTCATGCTTGTGTTATAGAGGGAGATGAAGGACGTGAGCAGATCCAAGTAGCGCGTGGTGAACACGATAGCAAACAGGATTTGGCTCTTTCCAGAGATACCTTTAACAGAGATGCAGAGTTAACGTTGCTGTTGAACCATGAACTTCAAAACAGCTTCATGAGCAGTTCGGATCATAAGAGAGTTTCCTTGTTGAACGCTGACATCTACTGGAAAGATGATGAACAGTTATATGGAGAATCTGTGGATACTTACTTTACCAACTCAAAATATTACGAGAAACCAAATTGACAGATTTGCGACCTAAACAGCCGCTGAAGTGCATTGATTTATGTTTTACAGGCAGAGATTGACGTCCCTCAAATATCTTTTTCCTGACCGTAACTGTGCTTAAACCCCACCTTTTGTATCTTGCTCATTTGCAGCCTATTTCTTGCATGAAATAGGGCTTCAAAGCCCCGAGTAGGAAGAAAAACAGAGCCCCCCCCCCCATGGTTTTATGCATCTTTGCTTATAACCCCCCCTCCCTCTTTTGCCTATGCAAAAGGAAGTTTCGTGGAAGTTTAGTCAGCGCTCTTTTCAGGTCTTTATGTTACAGATGACGTCTTGGAGCTTTTGGTCGTTTTCCCACCTATAATCCACTAAAGTTAAATGTGAGAGTTAGAATTTTAGGACACAAAAATGTAATTGATCTATAGATTTTCAACAGTTCAAAATGAAGTTCAAACTTGGATGAAAAATAAAGCTACGTAAAACCTATCCAGGTTAGACTAAAATATAGATAAACACACATGACCCAATAGAAGCTCTGTTATCTTTGAACCCACAGTCAATTGACCAGCTCTGCGGGCGAATCAACGCACTTTAAATAAGTGTGTCCTGTTGACTGCGTACCACAACCGGTTTGCTCCAAGGGGCAGTTTATCATAAATACACATGTTACAAAAAGGATAGAGAGCAGGCTTGAGAAAATATCTAACCACAGCGCCTTCTAGAACGCCACGTCAGAACCCAGACCAAACTAATCGAGCCCCAGTAGACGGACTGTCGATGTGTAGAGAAAGCAGAAGCAAACAGCGAAACGGAAGGATGGAAGATGCGCGTCTAAAAACAACGTTATATTAATGTGCTCGTTGCTCTGACGTTACACATCAGCATGAAGCTGGGTGACCACGTCAGAGTTAAGCTTTATGGTAAATTAACTCATACTAGCAATCCCCAAACGTAAAAGGTTAGCTGATGCTAAGCTAGAATTACTTGCTGACATTTGATATTAAATATGCATATTTCAAGCAAAAGTTGCAAGTAGACCGCTGCTAGAGGTGATTGAGCTGCACAGAGACATTTCTGGTAGTTATCAGCAGTTAGCCCTTTGACTGCTAACGCTATTAGCCTTAGACTGAAATGAATGAGTGGGGAAGCGTTAGCATGCAGCTATTTTTAGCTAGCATGGAGCCTGCTGGCTAAGAAGAGAGAAAGCTTAAACGAGCATCTTAGCAATTCAAAGAAAGGAAAAGTTAATAAACAATGTTGAGAAAATAATACTGCAGCATGCTTAATGTTAATTATAGTTGTGGGTCACCTGCACATGACCTGCTTTTCCATATTTTGAGTAGCAGGATGATGATAGCAGCCAGATGAGAGAGGTCTCCTGTCAGCCTGAAGATGTTCATTGTTGCAGAGTGAAATAACAGCGACTTGCTGGTCACTTAACGCAGATGCCCCTTTAATCCTTTGAGGTCGTTTGAAACTATTTGCTGTCTTGTGTGAAGGTTTTTACTCCTCAACTCAGCAGCTAGCCGGCCGGCGGGCTTCACAGGAGTGGAAATATGGCGAGTGTACAGGTCGACGTGGAAGGGGGCGTGAGAAAACCAAAAGAGACGTTTTGATTGGACAGAAATCTGACTGACAGCACATGAAGATCCGCCTACAACAGGCTGAGCGGAAGCGGAGCGGAAGCGTCGAGGCCCGTGTAGACGGGGAGGAATCCTCTACGTTGGGTGGGACAGGCAGCACTTTATTGTTGATGTTATCACTGTAATGACAATATTGTAAAACCACTGTAATATTAAACCTGTAATCAATAGAATAATATCAATGTACAGTTATGATTGTATTTAATGTAATGTAATAAACTGGAATGCATGCATGTAATACTTGACCACGCCACAACTGATACTGACAGGGTCATTAAGGGTCATTCGAAATCCGAGTTACATCGAACTCACCAGAAGACCACTCCCAGAGGTGTGGACACTAGTTTCACACCTTTACTGATCGGTATAAATACCCGTAGGCAAGCATTGTTCTAGTTCACTGGTGGAGGCAACAGACAGTCACTATGGGGGGTCAAAGGACTGACCTGTGGCCTGTTGGTTGCAAAGACCAGCAGCTCCTCAGCTGAGATGTTATTTTTACCACAACACCCTTTCTTTTATTAAATGCATTTGATTTTAACCTTTCGGTCTGCGATGTCCTTTGTCAGTCTGGCGTTTCTTCATTTTGAACAATACAGAATAGATGATACAATTACACATCATTGGGTTGTCACTACTAGTGTATTAACTTGTAGGCAGGTATTTAATGTTGAAGCGGGTCGACAAGAAGTTCTTTTTTTTTTTCAAAACAGTAAGTACATTTTATCATTCCATCATATGATCAATGTTCTTTGACATGCAACAACAACCTCAGAAGAGGTCTTACTAAGCAATAACTGGAAACACATGTATGGGTGGACTGACAATGTAAATGTTTCTGCTTCAGGAGTTCTTAGTACTCTAAATGACCTGTATTTTTTGTGCCACAGCTTTATATTATAAAAATCAGAGCCAAAATTTGTCTGCCAAGCCATCAAATATTTTGTTTTCCCACTAGGAAAAGTGGGCTCCTAGATTATGGCGGCCCTCTATTTAATCCTATATTATAATGGAATTTATTTATATATAGATATATATGTGTATATGTGCTCCATTGCCTAAAAAAGGATGATGGAAAATGATGGTTCACTTTTTACTACTTCTTATAGGAAATGTTAATATTTGTCCATAAGAGGATGTTTATGAAAATCCCCAGTTTCCCCCATTGCCGTTTGGTTGCCAAAGAGGGAAAAATAAGTAGGAACAAAGTCTAGAGGAAGTGCAATATACCCACTTCCCATGTTGTCAGCCTCAAGCAAGTAACAATGAGATCATTCACAAACTGCCAAGCCTCAGACATGGATCGGCTGGTTTGGTTCTCTCTCCTGCTCAGCTACCTGCCATTAACAGTCACAGTCACAGGTAAGTTGTCTTTCTCATTATCATCTACATTAGTCCTGTTGGAAAAATCTTTTCTAGGGAAATCCTTTTTTTCTCTACATAAGCAATAAGAATTCAGTGTAACGGTTTCTTTTCTACAGGAGCGTTGTAGTTTTTCTCCTAAAAACATTTTGGGCTAGAAGATTGGCGTTTTAATTCGCTAAATGTCTCGCCTGTTCATTCCAGAGAGTGTGACAAAAAACGAAAGCTGCTTCCCACCGCCAAAGAAGATTTTGCTGCGCCAAACGGGAAGAATTGCCGTTCTCAACTGTCCCATCGAATCACATTGTTTCAAAGATCTGCGCTATAGGTGGTTTGTCTTCAAGGAAAACATGCATGCTCATCTCGACTTCAGGAGCGATTTTGGACTAGAGAAGTACACCCAGGAGGGAGCATCTTTACAGATCAACTCAGTTCAAGTGAACGACAGCGGGATCTACCACTGTGCCGTAGAGTCGGGTGTAGACCCGGCACCCCGCGCCCAACACGTAGCGCTGGGTACAACTCTTGTTGTCCGGGGTAAGAATCCAAAATGGCACACGGGGCCTAGATATGTGGATGTTGATTTAAGATGAACTGGGAGACCGATCTTCTTTTGTTTACAGAACCAATTACCATGATTAGGTACTTTCTGTGGGCATCATTTGCGCTGCTGGCCACCTACAGCTTGATACTGGTGACATTAATCATAAAGAAGGTAAATGGCGTTTAGGTAATCTCTTCAAATGTTGTGTATTGTGAAAATCTAGGTTTATGGTTTAGGAAAACGAGACTGAATCCTAAAGACGTACTTTTGTGACGTGTATTCCTTTCGATTCCAGTATGGCTGCAAAAACGTCAGCAGAAGTGTGAGCAAGACAAAAAAGGTTGGTGACAGCTTTCCAATTATCTGTAATCAGTGTTTAATGTGTTTACAAAATGGGGGGGAAAAGAAAACAGTAGCAGAAAGAGGAACAGGAACCAACCCTGTTTGTACCACTGGCCAGAAGAGGCTCTTGCAACACCTTGGATGATAAAGCAGTTCATCAGCTTTTCACATGTAGAAAACAATCTTGGAATAGATCTGGTATATAACAACATTTGTTCTAAACTTTTCAAACAGAAGAATTCAATTAAAAAGGCGCAGTTTCGTGTCGTGCTGCAAGAAATGTACAGCAGGAGGAACTTGGACAAAGGCAAAAAAGACGGCAGCAGAAACCGTTCTCAGGCTGAGGTAAATGTTGTTGCAGTATGTTGTGGTTCGATTTAGTCAAAAGAGAGATGGAGTAAGCTCGGCACTTCTGCATAACTTGTGTTACAACATGTGTATAGTCTTAATCTCCTTTTGACATTTGATCTGGTTGCAGGCTGCAAACACTGAGTTTGCCAACCCAAATGAGGACATCTATCAAAATGTCTAAGAGTCATAAAAGGATATCAAATGACAGTCTCAGACCTCCATCATCCGGCCTGAGAGGAAATAACGCCATGAAACACCTGGCAGAGAATGCCATTATGTGACAGTGGAAGCTAGAAAATCATCAAATGCTGCAAGTAGAATGCGTACCCGCTAACCTTTTCTCATTAAGGGACACATTGCAACCACAACAAACACTTCATTTCTCTCCAGTTTTTCAGTTTCAATGGACAGAAAGCTCTCTCTTCAGGCATTGGAAATTTATGTACTTTGGTGATTGTAATTAACGTGAACGCATCGTCAACCCTTTTAAAATCCGGGGCAGAGTTTTACATGGGGAAGAAAAGATTTAATTTTACACATTTGATAGAAAATCATTTAGATTTTTAGAAATAGAAAGTAGCATGTGTAATATATATTTTAAGTAAACTGATAATTTTGTATATTTGTATTGGAAGTGGAAATCAGATGTGTGCAACAGTGCAAACAAGACTGTTAGAAGACAATGCAAATTCCCCTGAGGATTCATAATATTTTGATAGTAAAATATCAAGAATACAAAACTATTGACCCACCGCTGGTTTGTGTAAAAAAAACATTTTCAAGCAAAAGCACTGGAAATAAAACATTACATTTAAAAGTATTTTGATTTGATAAGTTGACCAAACAACATTAATGACATTAGAGGCATATTACTCATTTTTATAAAGTAAAATATTGTGTTTCTGATGCTGGAGAGGCTTTTGGTGTAAAAGATTGTTCAACTTAGAATAAACTCACAGTGAGGCAATATTTCAACTTTCGACTCAAAATTATTTCTTCAGTCTTTCCCCTTTCTGCCTTATGTGATTAAGCGTAAATGGTGTTAGCATCTTCTTGGCTTAAAACATCTACACTCACCTCAGCTGTTTTAATATACAGTGCCACACAGGTCTGTATAAATAAAAATAATTCATAGCATTGAGTTATATTTGGCTGTTACCATTGATATTTTTCATTACAGTATGAATAAGGAATTGTTGAGAATGCCTTGATTTACTTTAAGTTTCAATATTTCTATATTCATTAATAATATAGTGCAGTTCCTCTGTCAAAACAGTCGTGAGGTATCGGCCCTTATTTGCCGAGCATAGCAACCATTCAGAACACTTCTGTTAATTAACTGTAGCTAAACAAAATACTCACGCACAAACACCCACACACATCAGTGCAGTCAACCCTGGAATATACAGTGAAAGGAGGAGAACAATCTCATATTTGGCACCAAAGAACTTCCTCAAATTGGAGCTGAGGAAACAGCAACAACTTTCTTTGAACACTAAAATGTTTAAGTCAGCCGTCAAGGTACTTTATGTCGACGGTGTGACTGTTGCGTATGGAAAACGGCCTCCACGCGAGGGCTTGCAGAGCGGCGACACACATGGGCACCAGGCACACCAGGTAGAACATGACACTATGGAGACTCTCTGCAGCTCTGCAAACAAGGGAGACATTTGTTCAGTTATTTACATTTCTTTATAACAGTGAATATCAATAACTCACCATTTCACTTGCTGCACGCTGTTATGACAATAATGCAAAAATGTAAATGTAACAACCGCAACATCATCATCATCATGTGAATCTAATTGTTGTTAGTAAAATTAATTCCAGGCATCCTTTAACCTTTTATAGACTTGTGTTTCTTTATCAGATTAATCTTTTTTCTTTTGTTTTCAGTTCATACTGAAAACAAAAATCCAGAAAATCACATGCTGTTTGCCGTTTATTGCATGACATAAGTATTTGATACATCAGAAAAGCCAAACTTAATATTTGGTACTGAAAACTTTGTTTGTAATTACAGACATCATACGTTTCCTTTAGTTCTTGTCCAGGTTTTCACACACTGCAGCAGGGATTTTGGGGCAGTCCTCCATACAGGCCATCTCCAGATCTGTCACCTACAGCTCCCTCCAAAGATTTTCTACAGGGTTCAGGTCTGGAGACGGGCTCGGCCACTCCAGGACCATGAGAGGCTTCTTACGGAGCCACTCCTTAGTTGCCCTGGCTGTGTGTTTCGGGTCGTTGTCATGTTGGAAGACCGAGCCACGACCCATCTTCAATGCACTTACTGAGGGAACGAGGTTGTTGGCAGAGATCTCGCGATACATGGACCCGTCCATCCGCCCCTCAATACGGTGCAGTCGGTCCCCTTTGCAGAAAAGCATCCCCAAAGAATGACGTTTCCACCTCCATGCTTCAAGGTTGGGATGATGTTCTTGGGGGTTGTACTCATCCTTCTTCCTCCAAACACTGCGAGTGGAGTTTAGACCAAAAAGCTCTATTTTTGTCTCATCAGACCACATGACCTTCTACCACACCTCCTCTGGATCATCCGGATGTTCATTGGCAAACTTCAGACAGGCTTGGTCATGCGCTGGCTTTAGCGGAGGGACCCTGCGTGCGCTGGCAGGATTTTAATCCATGACGGCGTAGTATGTTACTGATGGTTTTAATTGAGACTGTGGTCCCAGCTCTCTTCAGGTCAATGAGCAGGTCCTGGCGTGTAGTTCTGGGCTGATTACTCACCTTCCTCATGATCGTTGATCACAAGGTGATCATCTTGAACTTCTCCCATTTTCTAATAATTGCGCCAACAGTTGTTTCCTTCTCACCAAGCTGCTTGTCTGTCGTCCTGTAGTCCATCCCAGCCTTGTGCAGGTCTACATTGTTATTCCTGATGTCCTTACACAGCTCTCTGGTCTTGGCCATTGTGGTCAGGTTGGAGTCTGTTTGATTGATTGATTGAATGTGTGGACAGGTGTCTTTTATCCAGGTAACGTGTTCAAACAGGTGCAGTTAATACAGGTAATGAGTGGACGACAGGAGGGCTTCCTAAAGACAAACTAACAGGTCTGTGAGAGCCCCAATTCTTACTGGTTGGTAGATGATCGAATACTTATGTCATGCAATAAACTGCTAAATATATTTTTTGAAATTATACAATGTGATGTTTGGGATTTTTGTTTTAGATGCCATCACTCACAGTTGAGTACTTATGATACAAATTACAGACTCCTACATGCTTTGTAAGTGGGAAAACCTGTAAAATCGCAGGTTATCAAATACTCGATGGCAACAAAAACAACTGCTGGTGCTTCAAAGTTTCTGAGCTTCAAAAGCTGTGTGAAAGTTTTAAGATTTCTGTGAGCGCATTAAACTTTGCTTTAGTGGAAGTTATTCCAAGCCAAAAGTTAAAAATGCATTCTATGAATAACCGCCACCAGCTGTGATCACCAACAATTAAGGTCACTGATTTTAATAAGGACCACACGTAACCTTTACAATACGGATGTTCATTTCCAAAGCATAATAAAAGGTGAATTTCAAAAGGTCATCGGATATTACCTCAGAATTTCATAAATTCAGATCCCGTTTAAAATAGAGAATAGATTGGCTTCTGACTGTCGCGTTCAGGGAGAAACTGGCTCCCTAATTCCTTTGAAACTCAATTGAAGGGTTCATATAATTTTTTTTTCATACAATTGTCTTAAATTACAATCGCAAACTGCGCACATGTACAGTGAAATTGTTTTCACTGGCAGTAATAAATCCTTTGGTTCATGCTGGCTGTAAAGAAATTAAATAAATAGATTCCAAAGTATATTTGAAGTGTGTGTGTATATATATATATATATATATATATATATATATATATTATTATGGGGATATATTAGAATACAATGCAATAGGAAAGCATCTGTTACTATGCAGTATGAACAGGGGGAAGGATCACAGCGAGCAAAACAAGTGGGCAGCTGACGCTTTTCTTAAGACCCAATTGAAAAAGAGTGAACCTGTGAGCCCCAGATTCCCCCAAGTTTCCTAATTGGTGGCACAATTACACAACTTCAGGCATGCTTTGGGAAACTGTTGGCCGTAATAAAGTATACAGAGCACCCTTTTATAATATTAACATTAATAATATTAATTAATTCAGATTATGTTTATGCCTTGTTCGCTGGGAAGAAGCAGCAAACCCTCTGTACCTGTCATTTGAACCCCTTGCAGCGTCCTTCAGCTGTTCGTATCCAAACTGGTTGAGGACAGTGAGGACTATCATCGGGGCGAGAGACTGAGACGGCTTGGTGAACAAAGCATTTGTTCCAAACACCATGGAGGAGAGAGGGGAACTGTAGACGAAGCACAACATGATGCAGTATATCACCACTAAAGATTACAACATGACGGATTGGCTTCATTAGATACCTCGTCTGGCACTAGCAACAAAAAGGTGCTATTGGGTCATTTGTATGTTCTGATAACGTGCTGTAAATTTGGGTGCGAGGAATGAATGGAAGTATAGTGGTAATCATTTGTTTCACCTGCGCTTGTACTTCTGCAGGTCTGTGTCGATGATGTCAGCCAAAGGCAAGCCAAAAAGACTGAAGGCGGCTTGGATTATGACCCTGCGCAGATGATAAGAGAGAGTGAATGCATAACTTTATTAAAGTAGAGTCAAAATAAACTGCAATCATAAGGAAAAGATAAAGTCAAAGAGCCTCTCACATGTTAGCTGTGAGGAAAAATGCCATAAAATAGTAGTGCTGAGGACCGAGTGCCAGCATGAGAGCTGCCATTCCCACCTCCGTGTAGAAGGTGAAGAGAATTAGCCGGTAGTAGCCAAGATCCTGGATCACATTCCGACAACTCAATACTAACAGCTGGGACGGAGACAAGGTTACGGGATCAGCATGTTAATATAAAGTAGCAGTTTATAAACTATTATGACAAACACCAGTGTTTCAGAGTCAGTACGGTCCTTTGAGTTAGTGAGAGGACAAAAGGACACATAAAAAAGCCACTGAGCAACAATACCTGTGGACAGATGAATCCCGCTCCGTACATGATGCTTTTGGCGACGGATGGAAGCACATCTGGAGGAATCAGGTGCTCAGCAAATATCATGGTAAAATTATTGAAGAATGCCAACATGAAAACCTGGAAGAAGTTCATGCACACAAAATGCAGAAAGTCCCTGTTGCTCAGGATTTGCCACGTCAATGTTTTCAACATGGAGACGGAACAGCCTGATTGATGGGAAGTCTCGTCGGCAGACCTTGGGGCATCGGATCCAGATGCTTTGTTATCAAAGCGGCTCTCACTGTGCAGGCCCGTGTAAAGCATGCAGACGCAGCTCAGGACAGCAATCAGCACTGCGAAGGCTTGGAAGGATGCAAAATCCTCCATGTTCCTGGACAGCATACCACAGAAGAGGACACTGGAAGAGCCGAGGAGAGAAGCCACCTGTGAAATAAAAGGCAGGGGAATATGAGATAAATAAAGAAATAAATAGTTACCTTGTTGGTTCTGGAAGCCTACAGAGAAACGAAGTCCTTACCTGGTTGTAGTTTATAAGTCTTAACCTGCTCTGATGGTGGCTAGACATCTCTGCAAACAACGCACATTGTGCCAGCAGCACAAAAGTCAGCATGGCATCAAAAGCGCACAGAGCCACGGTCAAGTGTAACCCGCTCAACCAGTCGCCGGGGGTGTAGGTCCTCCACGGGAACCAGGCCAGGAGAAAAGCCAGCGAGTAGAGGGGAGCGCCATAAAGGATGGATAGACGTCTCTGAGAGCAGCAGGGCACTCTGGAATTGTCTTGCAGGTATCCAAAAAGAGGGTCATTGATTGCATTCCAAACCATGTACACCACCTGTGGATATTGATTCAAGTGTTTCAAGTAGTGCTCAAAAATATTAACTGAAAAGTTGATCAACAGAAAGTTATTAAAGCTTGTTCTTGCTGCTTTACTCTGTTTTTACATCATAGTAAATTGACAATCTTTGAGTTTTGGACAGATGAAATACGCAACATGAAGACATCCTTCTTCTTCTTCTTCTTTTGCTTTTTATGGCGGTTGGCAAACAACTTTCGGGTGCATTACCGCCACCCACTAATCTGGAGTGTGGACTTAAGGAAATTAAACCTCTACTAGAACTAGAACGAAAACAAAACAAAACAACAACAAAAATACATGAAGACATCCATCTACGCTCAGGTGTGTACACGTGTGCGGTCATGTGACTAAAACGATTGGTTACCAATAGAAAACAGGTACAGGAACAGCTTAATGAAAAGTTTCCTCTATCACACTATTTTTCTACTATTTTGATATACATTCGCATGAGAAGAACGGCATTTGTTCAAGATAAAATACTCACTTGTGATTGATGGAATGCTCCCTCTGATATCTTGTACTTATTGAGAAAGAGTTTGACATAGTAGAAGCTAAATACGTTGTTTATCATGGCCGATCCCAGCGTAGTCATGGCGTAAGCCACAGCTGCAGGATTCAGGCCAAAATCTATCGAGCGTCTGAAGATGTCCATTTTCCAGGAGCCAGGCGTCTTCTCTGCGAGGAAGCCTGCTCAGGTAAACTCAGGTAACGACGAAGTTACCTTTCGGTCGGTCGAGTCGCAGCAAGATATTATCATTTCCCCAAACTATGTTACGGTGTTGTTTTGCATGTTAATAGTAAAAATAGTGAATTCGGCCAATATTCCCGAGCACGAAGGCGTTTAGAATACAACACAAACTGCTGGTTTCAACTGTCAAACTGCGGAGAGGCTGGGGGGGATCCCACGTGACAACCAAAGATCTGATTGGTCAGGAGAGTTCTTCAGTTCAATTTACTGCCTCGTGATTCGTCGACAAAAGTGTCTGTCATCGGAAGCAGGAAATGAGGACAACGGAACACAATTTAACGTTGGATATATTAAACTTTTAAGCTTTTCTTCAGAAGTTAACTTAGTATCGTATTATACTACTTTTTGACATTCAGTTACAAAAAAGATGTTTTAAAATAAAGCCTTTTTATCACGGTCATGTCCGCCACCTGCCGGATGCCGGAGTGTATTTGCCACGTTGCTGTGGAGACTTCAACCCAACGCCTCTCACACACCGGGAGGATGTGAGTTCACGTTCCTCCTCCACACTCGGCGGTGGACGGCGCGCAACTTCTGACTGCTTCTCTTAAAACACACACACACGCACCTGTGTGCCCGGGTCCAGAGACTCGCCCTGCGGCTGTAAAATGTTAACCGACGTTATTTTGGAGGAAGATTTTGACAAGAATGGAGAGGCGTGGTACGATCCTCGGGATCTCGAACACGGTAAGAGCTGATCGGCACCCTGAAGTCCGTGTGACCGGGTGGTTGTGGTGCGTTATTACTCCAGAGACCGCTGCATACACACGACAAATGAATGTAACTAAGTCACTGCGTTATCACACCAGCTGTGCTGCTCGCGTGATCGATAATAACTGGTATTGGGCTGTTGTGGTGGCTTGTAAGTTGATGAATATATATATTCATCACTGCACTGATTGATGTGACACAAGCTCTAATTGGCTCAGAGATGAAATGAGATTGACGTCGAGTGTCTACACTCGTAATACATAATCACGCTTAATCACACTGGTCATGGGTTGCAGGCTGAGGCCGAGGTGGCCTGCAGCTGTTCCTGTGTGAATTGTTTTCTGAAATACTTGCTTCTCGTGTGATCAATGCTGCTCATGAAGACATTCAGAAAATAGGAGTTAACAGAGGAATAAATATTTCATAATTTTATTGGAACATCTGAAAACGGCAAAAGAGTGTATTGCATAGCTTCTTAGCTGATTTCATCACTTTTTCTCTATTTTTTGCTTTTTTTTTATAAAGTACGAGAGACATCAAGAAAAGAATAGTCAGATTTTTAGTTGGATGTCTTATTAACCACTATCATAAAACATTGAGTGTATAAGTAAATGACCACTTTAGCAGTCCGTCTAAGTTGTGTGTGGGGGGGGGGGTATCCGTCCTGAAACAGAAGTAGTTTGTTCCACAGCGGGATGGCAGCAGGAAGGAGCGACTTCCTGTAGCATTTTACTGAAGAGCATCATAAAACTGTTTAACCGTAAGGTTTCTGCTATAGACTAAGAACTTTGGTGTTGTGCTCAAGGTGGTTCTTTGGTTGCCACGAGACATGTCTAAATAAAAATTAAAAAAATTCCCCGGGGCATACATACATTGCTTATTGCGTGAAGAATGTTTGGTTTCATTGCGTTGTTATTAAAGTAGTCAAGCATTAGACATGCTTCACTTCAGCTAAACCTGCTGGATAATAACCAGACGTTTAAGTGAATTTAAAGGGAGACAAAGAAGCATTCTCTGTGCATGAGACCTAGAGGTGTGTGTGTGTGTGTGTCGTGGTAACCATCTCCACCTCTCTTTCTATTCGTTGCCCGTGTTTGGGCATTGAACCCGCGTTGTGTCGCGTGTTTACATGTTTTGCTTTGTTTTGACAGATCTCCACTTGGCAGCGGAGCTCGGGAAAACCCTCCTGGACAGGAACCGTGAGCTGGAGCAGGCCCTGCAGCAGATGTACTCCACCAACCAGGAGCAGTTGCAGGAGATAGAGGTGATTAATGTTGTTATGGCTTCGGTGGCGGTAAAAACACTCCAATGGGTGATTCATTTAGGGAAGTCCACGTTGAGGGATCCGAAAAAACTTGACTTCGCTGTCATTCTGTTCCCTTTGAAAAAGGCTTGAGTAAAAGCTAATCCTGACCTACAGAGAGCCTTTCTTTATTTATATTTAATACAATATATATACACGGTACAACTTACTTCGTTATGTCATTCTACCTTAATACAGCAGAGCAAAGGATTTCAAATGTATCTGCGTTTTTTCAGGTAAAGCTCATCAATAAACACAATCGGGTGTTTTGTCTCAGGGCTGAGACATACTGAATGATCTATTTGAGTTTGAGCACATGGCAATAAGCCGGTTAACAAAGATAAGAGCCTTAATTTGTTTATGGCAGTTAGAGGGCCTGTCGCTTGAGGATGTATTGAGGTTGATATGCTAATCCCTGTACATTAGTTTGACCGTCTTCCTCACGTAGGATCCGCCGCGGGTCCTACCGACCGCACCAATAGCCGCCTCAAGGATGCAGTGCTGCTGCACCGAATAGATGGTTTCTCTGATCTCTACCCCAAAAAAGTAATTTAGTTTAACACATAGCTATTGCAGAAATATCTTTATGTGTACATTCCTGTTTACCATCTGTATCGCTCGCAGACTAATGCTACAGTTCCCCGCAACAATATTTTGAATCCTTCTCAAGGCCCGTACGGCCAATCTTTGCTCTTGAAAGAAGCCTTTGTTTGTTTGGTAATACATTATATCGGCATGCAATATAAAACCAATTGATGTGTATTGATGTGCCAGTTTTACAGAGGTTTTAAATTAAAATAGAATAAATGCCCAATTCAGTTCAGTTTCACGATCTTCAAATACATATTTTTAATCTCAAAGCCATAAAAATACTCCTTCTGCAATTCTGTCCAATTTAGTTTTATCCCTAATTTCTTAATAAAATCAAGTCAAATAGTTGTCATTCCCGTCCCTTTATTCTCCAGCACCTGAACAAGCAAGTGGACCTGCTGCGTCAGATGAATGACCAGCACGCCAAAGTCTACGAGCAGCTCGACGAGGCCGCCCGGGATCTGGAGCAAGGCAACGTGAGGCTGGTGCAGGACAGCCGCCTGGCCCAGCAGAAGATCCACAGGTCCGTCCCCCATCGCGTGTTTTAAACCATATGCTACGTAATCAGATGCAGCGATGATTTGATTGATTGCGGAACCTCAGAGTCACATTCTTCTTTCCCCTGTCAGTCTAACAGAGACTGTTGAAGGGCTTCAGACCTACATGGAGGACCTGCAGACCCAGGTGGAGGAGCTAAAGACTGCCCAGGCAGAGCGAAACAAACGGGATCTGGCGGAGCAGCGACGCAGCCTGGGAGCGCAGAGTGTGTCCTGCCTCAAAGAGCTGTACGACTTGCACCATGACAGGTATTTCATGTGTGTGTGTGTGAGTCATTGCACACAATCCGGAGGACGCTGCTAATAGCAGAACGGCCAGAATGAGACAGACTGACTATTTTCAGAGAGGGAAAATGTGAGGTGGATCAAGACAATATTGTGATATAAAGTTAATAGTTTTGACAAACTAAATATTCAGCAGCTTTGGCGTGTTATACTCGCAGAAGTGTTCCTGGCTGGCTGGTCATTCAGAGCAAGGCCAGAACTTCACCTTCAGACATAATCCAAATATTTTCTTATTATTTACCAAAGTTGTGCTTAAATTGCCACATACGTCACATTCAATTTCCTTGATGGAGATCTGACACTTTATGATGAATAATCTCAGCACTTTTCACACATGGAGGACATGAAGTGTTCTCACTTCCGTGTCCCCGTTCAGGCGCCTAGGCCACGGCGGTCCGCGCGTGGAGGGACTCTGGTCGCTGCAGGGCTCTTTCTACGACCAGGACAAACGGCAAGACCCGGAGGAGGAGAACGCGGTCCTCCAGCGCTCCGTCCAGACCCTCCAGAGCCAGATAGCTGTGGAGCGGGGCCGCCGTGAGGCCGCAGAGCTGGAGAGAGACGCGACGTCCAGGGAGAACAGCGGCCTGGAGCAGCGGCTGGTCTCGCTGGCCGGCTGCAGCGCTCGGAAGAAGGAGCTGGAGGCCGAAGTGGAGCAGCTGCGGCTTCTGTGGCGCGCCGAGTGTGCAAACAGGTAGGCCCCCGACTTATTAACGAACTACATTCACATTGTCAAATTGTCATAATGCTTGAGACTTGTGCCTCCCTCTCTTCTCTCGTCAGTATCAGAAGACCAGAGCGGCTGTTGCCTGATGAAGTATTCTTTGCCTCCGAAGACGGACCGAGGCAGGAGGAGAACGAGGAGACGGTAGAAAAGGAGGAGGAGCCGAGACAATTCATCCTGCAGAGGTGTAACAGTGACGGCGTTTTAAAAGGGGCGAGCGCGGACGAGATTCGCCGTGGTCACGAGCGGCTGTGTGTGCGGCGAGCCGAGGCGGTGAAACAGAGGGGCATTTCTCTGCTAAACGAGGTGGACGCACAGTACAGCGCACTGCAGGTGGCGTATTAATAGCATGTCCACTCCATTTTTTTTGCATGATAAATATTCAGGAAAAGTTAGAGGGTTTGTGTGAGTTTTTGTTACTAAAAACGGTTTCTGACGGGGTAATGTAGATGTTGCGGTTAAATAACATGCATGCACATCCCTAAAATAAGCCTGTTGTTTAGGTGAAATATGATGAGCTGCTGCGGCGGTGCCAGCAGACGGACGGGCCGAGCCATAGAGCCACGCCGGCATCTAACGGCTCCCCCGCAAGCAGCCGCAGCCGCCGGCGCCGGTCCTCCGCTGCACCCTCCGACCTGACGGTGGTCGTTGACGGCCAGCAGCCCGAGTACAAAGCGCTCTTCAAGGAGATTTTCAACTGCATCCAAAAGACCAGGGACGACCTCGGCGACAACAGAAGCCCAGTCGAGGGCAGTGGCTCTGCCTGATGGTTGCATTATTACTGCACTAGTTTGTCTGTCAGTGTTTTTTGATAAAGGGGGAACTTTGGGGGAGGGGAGGGAGGAAGTTTGCTTTGCAATAAGAAAATATCCAGAGGGTGCAGATGCAAAACCTTGGACAATTTGTAATCCGCTTACCTCCTGTCACTTTGATATATGTTTGCTTCTGTTAGTCAGCACTGAGTATTTTTTTCTTTCCGTCCTTATAAAAAAACATTGATAAACTGTTATAAAATATATTAGCTATTGCCGTGATTTCAAGGAATATAACTTTATACGGTTCATAAACAAATTTGCAAAAGATAATTACGACATAATGATTGTCTTGGGGGCCATTCTTAGGAAGAATAAGATATACAATCAGATCCTAAGCTAATAAAAATTACAGTATTCTGTGTTCATGTAACGTTAACCCTGTGACCAGTTTATTATTTGGTTCTTGGGAAAGAAATGTACACATGGTGCATTGTTTGTGTGTTGATGTAAGATGAAGATATGTATGACATAATCAGGAATGTTTTAATAGGATGAAAAACTGTAATAACTAAAGACTCAGGATTTTACGATCATTAGCTTAGAAGCTAACGTGAATTGGTTGTATAAATCTCCAGAAAAGTATTGCATTACCTTACATTTCATTTAGCTGAGGATTTTATCCCAAGTGACTTACAGTAAGTGGACACTGGAATACAACAGCACTTTTTATGACTGAATTAAATTTGATATTTTTATTTATTTATTAGAGAGAAGAGGATATTAAATTATATTTATTTTCTTTATTGTTACATATGCAGAACAGCTGGGTGAGTGATACACTGGGCCGCATATTTTGTGGATGTAAATATTCTGTCTGCCGCAAGTTATAGAAAAACAATACAGTGGCAAAATACTAATATGTATGTATATTAACAATTTCCTGATGAAAACACCTTGCCCTCACCTTCCATGTGATGTAATGTTCTTTTAATGTCTGTGCTTAATTGACAGTGCTGATGTATGAAAATACAGCTAAATATAGTATGGCATGTGGCAAATCACTGTTTTGTAGCTGTGGAACTTTTTTTCTAAACATTTGAATTTTCACTGTGTCCAATTTCTAAAACAACTCTGGCAGGATTAGTACATCCACCATCCGCCAGCACACACTATGGTCCAGCAAACGATTAATGGGCCTTTGTCTCTGTCCATAATTAGGTTTTGCATTACTGAGATTTCCCCACCATGCTTTCAAATCCAATAAACCTCCAAACAAGGGGATTGCATACCAGCATGCCTTAATGGGACAGGTCTCAGCAAGGCCGTGCACGCAAGCAGACATCTTACAAAGGAATCTGCAAAGCAATCAGTACAAGATCTGGCACCAGAGGGACACATCTATTGTAGAAGTGAGGCTACAAGCGATTTTGGATTCACAATATTCCTAACCGTGACCCTGAAGGGTTCATAAAGGGCTCTTTGTGGCCCTCACAGCCTCCACAGACTTCTCTTCACGAAGGACTACAGTTAAGACTGAGCCCAAGTCTGTTTATTGTGTACATATAAGCAAATGTTAACCTTCAATTACTTAACGATTTGACAATTGGACAGAACTAACGTTAAACCCTCAGTTAGGGGGAGCAGGCCTGAAAGTATCTGAGTCCTTAAGGGGGGTCATTGGGATTTAGCCAATGAGACTATTTTAATTATGTTGACAGACAAAGATAATCAAATAACATTGAAGTGCTTTCGTTTGTTAGGCAAAATGTCCCTTTTTTTCCTCCTTTGCCTTTACTAAGGTCTAATATTTGTGTACGCACATCAGCGATGCATATTGGTAGCGTGGCCGAGTGGTCTAAGGCGCTGGATTTAGGCTCCAGTCATTTCGATGGCGTGGGTTCGAATCCCACCGCTGCCAGGTCTTCCTTTTTTTTTGTCTTGGTTACAAACAGTGGATGCGTAAAATTAGCCAACCGACACGTTTTTCTGTGACGTGATACGTCACATAAATACCGTAAACGTCACGTTGCTGCTGCATAGCGTTATGGATTTTCGGTCGTTACGCATCACTGGGAAAGTCGCTGGAAGGTGCAATGGTGCCCTCTTGTGGCGATGTATGAGCTAAGACAAGCTGGACTGGATTTTCAAGAAAAAAATACTTTTGCCTTCAGCAGAGGAAAGAGGAGGTTTATTGTAGGAATTAATTCTTACTGCTTTATTTCGTAAACTGTACAAAATGACTATGACTATTAAATATGAACTCTCAAGATATGTAAATCAAAACAAATATATATTATATAACCTGGAAACATGCTATAAATACAATCAATTTACATTTCAACATTTGGTTCACAAACAATTTAACCCGAATGGTAACCTACAGAAATCAATAATATTCACACTATGCTTTTCAACAGGTAGTTTCATCATTTAGAATCAGACACATATACCAACATCAAAAAGATGGGAGAAATGATTACATGACGTTTATGTAGGGGATTTTCATTTCATTTGGATTTCTAAACATGTGGCGAAAACTTAATTGCCTGACTATCTTGAGACATTTTATGGCCCTTGCTGTCCATTAAATGTCCTCAGTTTGAAGTGACCATGCAGGACAGCATCAGCATCAGCAGGCTGAGGCCCAGCAGCATCACGGCGAGGAGGTGCCGGGGCAGCTGGGAGGTCCAGGACATGCTGAACAGAACCGATCTGGAGCGGGGCCGTCTGGACTTCAGGTATTGCTCAACGGAGTCCAGGAGGCTGTAGGGCTTCGGGCAGTAACCCAGCTCTCGCCGGGCCTTGTCAATCTTGAAGGTGTGGCTCACAGCAATGCTCCTCACCTGCAGGGGAAGACGTTTGTGTAAAACGAACTAATGTGTCATCAATACCAAAAATGTCCAACGCTGCCGAGGAGAAGTCCAGGTGAAAATACTTGGTAGAAGTTTGCACAGTCAAGTTAATGGTTCACATTAACCTCAATTTGGCCTCAACTTGGTTTTGCATTCTGATAGTATGTGACTGATGGAGGCCTCCGGTTACTGCGTCTTCTTACCCCTTGGGGGGGTAAGGTGTCTGCGTTGTGTGAGGTGACACAAGACTTCAGGCAGACGTCAGTGAGACAATAGGAGTTTCCAAGAAGATGTTTCCCGTTTTTTCCATCCTGCCAGGGAGTTTTTTTTTTTCACACATGTCGTAAAAGCGGTTGGTGGTACACACATTCAACCTCGTCATTCGACAGAAATCCTTAAAAACGGTAAGATTTAGTTTGAAACGAAGCTGAATCATTTCTTAAATCAGCTGCACATTGTAACATTTAGCACACATGACTTAAACAGGTTGAGTGGTGCATTTGCTGGGGCATGTTTTGGGCATAAAGATGGCAATGCGTGATATGGTGGTCATGTTACACGTCTCCTAGTGCCACAATGTGGCTCATTGATGCTGACTGTTAGTTGTTTGTGTTCTTTTCATTGGATTTGTTGGTGACAGACCAGATTCACCTGATTCATCCATTAAACCTAAAGGCCAGTTGACTGCTGAACCTCGACGCAGGCCTTCGTGGTTCGATTGTAGTTGATTTGACATTTGAACCGGGACATTTATGGGAGTGGAAAAAACACCTCGCACACACAACCTGAGAGCTGGCAGGATCATTTGAGCCCAGGAGAGAGGCCGGCGGACGCCGCGCACCATAGCAACCGCCACTGTCCGGAGGTCACTTCCTGCAGACTGCATCTTAAACTTCCTCTTCTGACCCTCGGCGGCTTTATGTTTTATTCACAGGACAATCATCGATTCACCGGAGCCGGCAGCGGTCTGGCCGAACGAGCTCCAGGTGCAGGCCCACGGGGCTCGGCTTTGGTTTCTGTCTCATCACACATTCATGAGCAGGAGGCTCCTTAAGATGCATCGTGAAGGTGTCCCCTGGTAGGATTACAGCAAACATCCCTCATCCTGATACATCCGAATTATTGTGTATTTCACTGCAGTACAGACCAGCGGATACTACGGAAATATTTTCTAGTGAATCTGTGAAGATCGGAACTTTGTTATTTGCCAATATTGGAATTCAAAATTCACTGTGTTTTTTCATAATTTATGCAGCAGAGATAACATCAGACGGGGGAGGGAGGGGCAGGTGCAAGGGGGCCCCGATAGGAAAATACTTGCCCTAATGAAGTCTGTCGTCAGTGCTACAGGCGAGACAAGAATAACACAATGATGAGGCGAGTAATGCATCTCAAAAGAGGCTGCCAGCTGCGGGTCAGAAATACGACGCCAAAGTGGAAGCGCCTTGAACATCTAAGAGAAAATGACTTGATTTCATTCACTAATTTAAAGTTTTCTCCAATAGAACATAACGTTCACCCACAGTTCCAAAGTGTTCAACACTCCACTACTCACTTATTTCATTCAGAATAGAGTTCAGTGAAGTCTGAGAGAAAAGAAATGCTTTAAAAGAGGTGGAGGCCATTACCTCACTTCTGGTAAAGAGCAGGGGCACTCCTATCACAGGTCTCAGAACTACATGCAAATACTCCACCAGGATGGCTGAAAATAACAGCAGACAGTTAGTGCAACAACATGCCGAATTGTGCTGTAGTGGTTTTCAGAGAATGAGCTACCTGCTGAGTAGACGAGCGAAACAGGCAGGTTCATCAACGGTCTGCTGTGGCCGAGCGTTTCAAACTGCAACGATCACATGAAACACACACAGTTCACATCCACACCGTTTCTAATTGTCCTACGCAGTATTTTGCACTCAGCCTCAAGTCCACTCATTCTGATTTGTGGATGCTCAGTAATTAAATAACAATTGAATATGTACAACCCACGTTATCAATTGACTCACCAAAGGTGTCAACCACTCAAACAGATTGACCGAAACGCCGTCATTGATGAAATAGGCCTGTCCACTCTGCAGAAGAACCAAAGACAATGAGATCACGGGTCATTATCTTTATGTAAATGGATTTATTCATCCATTATTTGTAACAGCTTATCCTTTGCGGGGTCGGGGGGGGCTGGAGCCAAAACCAGCTCTCTGTCCCTGGGGACTGATTATGTTCAAACACAACCAGTAATCACGTTACGTCTGTCTGTCCGTTGTCAGTTGGCCGTGACTCACAGCGACACAGCTCCTCTGCAGAGCCAGCGCCTCGGCTGCCAGCGCGTGGGCCTGCACCAGGTTGTCTACGTGCACCCAGTTCATCCTGGCCTGGGGGTCCCCGAACCTGAAACTGAACAACCGGCGCTCCACGTTCACCTGGGTGAGAGACGGAGACAGAGAGAGAAATGAGGTATTTGAGGCGAGAGTGAGGAATGAAGAGCACGACTTAGACACAGACTGTCGAAGCCACTCGGCCGTCACCAAACCCAGAACCTGAACTCCGCGCTGCCCTTCAGGGGAGCGTATACTGCCGCCTCTGTAACTGGACGCCCCGGAGAGCTCCATTAATAATGTAAAGTCTTCAGGCAGAAACACGCATTCTGCCGGCGAGGCTTCGCGTGCTGCAGGACCTCCAGCGTCAACACGGCAACAAATGAATCTTTAACACGCGACGACGTGTTTCATAAAAGGCGTCGGCCTCTCACCATCACTCTGTGGAGGTGTCTCCTCTCCTCTGGTCCGTAGATGCCACAGGGCCGCAGGATGCAGGTCCGAAGCAGACCCCCACCTTCACGTGAGAGGAGTTAAACCTCAACGTTTTTCTTATACAAGTCAATGTCCTGCATACAAACCCCTACTTGAGTGGAAGTGAAGGCATGTCAAACACCAAGTTAAGGTTTTTTTAAATGCATTGGCAATGCTTTCCTTGTTGCTGTATTGAATAATTGCAGGTATTTTGTGATGGATAACTTTACAGACATCTAAAATAGCAAACTTTTTACACAGAAAACCAAAAGCTAATGTTCCAAACCACCGGGGACAAAAAGTTCTTGGTCATTTCGCACCTTTCAGGAAGCATCCGTTGGCAGAGAGGACCATCTGCTCCGCAATCGCTTTAGTTCTGGAGTAGTGGTCGATGTGCTGCAACAGAAATACGTTGAATGTGTTAAAAAAAGAGTTTTAGACAATGAACACTGTGTTTTTTTGTTGCACTCTTTGTTCTAAGTTTAAGTGATTCACTAGTTTATTTATGAGAATTTATGGTAAACATTTAAAGGTTGATATGGAAAAAGCAGGCACAATAGTGCAATATAAAAAGTCAGGTTCATGCATTCAAAAGTTAAAGTTGTGAAAGTACAGCATAAGAATGTACTCTGTAATTATCTCAAATTATTCAGAATAGTACACATTATATCATTGGATGACATAATGATGCATTCCTATTCATATTCTTTAATATAATTCCATTAATGTGCTAGCTGGAAAAGGTGTGTATGATGAATGAATGATACCATAATTTTTTTTTTTATTATCTTTTGTATCAATATTCACATCAATGTTTTGGGTAGCATAAAATACGTGTGCCGGTACGTGAACATTGCGTCACATCTGTGCAGCAGTCAGTTTGATACAGTTTCTGTTGTTTTTTTAAATCCTTTTTCACTCACTGTGTTGGGGGGCACAAACGGCACTGAGGCCTCATCTCCCTCCACAATTGGTTTCCCGGCAAACACCACATTGATTGTACTGGTGTACACCAGCCTGGGGATGCCTCTCTCCTTACACACTGAAAGGAAGCAGATTCCTTAACCTTAAACACGAGTATCTGCTTCAAAGACTACGCGGATGTTATGTGGACGTTTCCAGGTGAATTATACACGTCTGGTCTGCACCGATAATGTCAAATTAAATTTGCCTAAAGTAGACATGAATGGCATAAACCAATTACACATTTCTCCCTACTCCAACATTTACTTCAATGAAAGTCTTGTATTACGTGTAAGTCGTTGTTATGTTTCCAGTTGTGTGCATTAGATGTATCCATGGCAGTGTGTGTTGGTGAATGGGATCATTCTTATCATCACCTTTTATGACGTTATTTGTCCCTCCGACGTTGATCGACTCCACCTGCTCCTTCCTCAGCTGGCAGACAAAGAGAACAATATATTTATATTCTGTGTGGTCCGCTTTCGTGACGTAACATGTTTATGTACTTGTCAGTTGGGGAGGAAGAATCTAAGCTCAAAGATGTAGCACATTTGGGGTTGAGGAGCAAGGAAACAAGTGAGAACTCGGATCTCTGCTTGAGGCATGCGGCCCGATGCTACATCCAATGTGTCTGGCTTTTCATTTCTGAGCGAAAGGTACAAGGAATTCAAATTGTTATTATTTATTTTTTCGCCCCTGAAGAAAAATGAATAAAGTGCAGTGTTTGCATCTCTGACTGAGTCAAAAGGAGAAGCCTAAGAAGAGATGAAGACGTCACCTGTTCTGGTCCGGACATGCCATAAGACGCTGTGTGGAATACGCAGTCGACCCCTTCACACACCTTGTAGAGGGAGGCATAGTCCCGGATGTCCCTCTGCAAGAAAGCAATTGATCAATGCCCGCTTTGTGGACACTTATCTTAATTACATCTACTGTTTTGTCAACCCTTTTTTGTGCTATCAGCACAAGCCCATTCAGCGCGTAAATTAACTCGATTTTGATTTTAAAAAAGGACATCGTATAAAAAGCACTTGCCACAAAAAGGCCAGTTGTAATTAAGGGAAGTGTGCTGTGAGGCCTGCAGGTGAAACCTGAGTCACGTCTCCCTTTCTGCTCCGGTCAGCAGCTGCTGCTCTGTGTTTGCTTCCTGCCGGCCGGCCCATGAGGCGAACTGACACTGACTAATGCTAGAGTCCATTTTGTCAAGTGGGAGCGTTATAAGAAAAAAAACCATTGTGGATCTTTTATGTTTAAGCAGGAAAGCACATTATTTACTGCGAGACGCCACACCGACTTTGAACGAATTTATAGTTGGTTCTGTGTATTTACACGGGTTATTTCATTAAATGTCTTATAATGTGTTCCATTATTGTTAGATTCTGTTGCTTGTGAAAGTTAATAATATTCCTTCCATGTTGTGCATCGTTCTGGTGATTAATCACAGGAAGAAGATTTATTACCCTTTAAGAATTTACAAATCTTTTCAAGTCTCAAATTTTAAAGAGAGAGCAGTGAACAATATTGTTTTGGGAATAGACAGCAAATAACAAAGCTGAAGAACGAAATGCTGTGCAATCAAAAATGTTAAAATCAGAGCAATATGGAAGAAATAAGCAGGTCCTTCTTCCCCATCTCATACCTGATAGAAGACGGCTCCATCAGGCGTCTCACAGGGCAGCTTGTTCATGTCCAGGAGGACCACTGACATCCCCTGGCTGGCCAGCTCTCTCCCCAGCCTGAACCCAAAGTATCCCCCTCCACCCGTCACCACCACCTTGCCTGTGGAGACGCCCGGGGTCAGTGCCGCCTCCTCTCCCGGTCTGGACGCCGCACACTCCGGGTTGCTTACCCTGTGGCAGGGGGCCACCGTCGGGCAGGAGGCGACGGCCGGGGCGGGCTGGCTGACCCACGGCTGGTGGGGGGGGTTGCGTACGTGGGCTCCACTGGCCTGCAGGCGACAAAGGGGGACACCTTGGCAGGGAAGCTGCTTCATCTGGCAGAGGGACCCTCCGCGCTCCCTCATGTTGGGGCCACACAGCTCCATGAGTGTCCTGCCGGGTGGAGGAGGGAAAGTAGCGTTTTAACTCTGTGAACGTTTTACCTGTAACGCCTCCGGGCCACATTCGGGGTTGTTAGTCGGGTTTTCCGTGGATTTAACGAATGGCATCAGTTGGTGATGACTGAATGGTAAGATTAGGAAAACTGTAGAAACCGTTGAAGTGGAAATAATAACAGAATTCCATGTAAATAAATATCAGTAGTTTACAGTTGTTAAAACCCACAATTGACTCAATTAATGTCATAATAATATTTAAACAGAGATGCCATGACATTTTCAATAAGAAAGCCAAGAATGTCGTTTTTTTTCACTCCATTGTGCATTTAGAAAAGAGAAACCCTACAAATCCTGGAACTTCTGAACTGTCAATGTCACATCAAGCAAAAATTCAGTCAGCTGATGTAACATTCAGCATGCAAAGTGATGAATAAACCACACGTGGATCAAATGTCCAGAACGTGTACTTTTAAAACTTTGCAAATACTACTAACATGGATTAACATACCTTAATATTTCTTTCGACCTCTCACATCCATTCGTGTTGGGGTGGACTCATGAAACCTCCCGGGTTGTACCTTCCCTTCCCTCTCGGGGTACCTGCTTTTGTTTCTCGCCTCTCAACCACCTGCCCCTTTGCCTATATGGACTCTCCTTACCGTAATGTCTGGACGCAACGGGCAGCCCGGCTGCAGGGAGGATCACGTTTCCACGAGCCTCAAGACGCCCATTGATTTTAGTGCCAAACTTGTTAGATGAATTCAAAGAACTGGATTGTCGCAATGACAAATTGTACCCCTCTTTTCTAACAATTAGATTGTTACGCTAAATCAATTGATGCCACACAAACAGCTTCAAATAGTCTGATATAAAACAACATGGACAAATGATCCATTTGCTCTTCCATGGACAGATGAGACACCAGGCCCTTGGACCCGGGTCCCTCACCCCTCCTGCGTGGGAGTAACGCAGCCAGATGTCCTTCTGTGTGACTCTCCATATCCGAAAAGAAATCATTCATAGCTCCTCTATCCTCACAATACCATCGCATCTGATGAGACGGTCTCTTCTTCCATGTATATCGTGGAAGAAAATAAAAGATCATTAATGAAAGCTGTCTATAACAAATGTACAGTATCGAGTCAGGGAGATATCAGCAGTCTCTTCCTGATCACAGTGTGAGGCCAGAAATAGACTCTTCATGTTTTATTTAGCAGACAGACTACCAAACCCCAGCTGACAGATAAAAGCACTGAATTAAATTAAAGAGGGGGAAAAAAAATCTTGTGCAGCTGTAAAATGACTGTAGCAATTTCGAGGGAAAATGCAATAATAAAAGGCTGAATTGTAGGGTTTTTCTAAACAGACGGTACATGAGTGTGTTGATTTAGTTCCAAGCTCATATTACATTTAGGCCCATTTGGGTTAAGTGGCCGCTCTAGCACTGCTCTCTCCATAAATATAATGTACCTGCATTTTACTATCAGATCCTGTTCCACTAACGGTGGAAACACACTCACACACACACCATGAAAACAAAGCACAAAGAACCCCAACAAAGTAGGAGTTGTTGGGGGGGAATTTATTTATGACAATAATTGGTTAATCTATAGTACATTAAAATAAACAAGTCTTAGCTATTATTCCCTGCGAGTGATTTAAAACACCAATCTAATCCGTCCTCACCCTCTGCTGCTTATTTGTTATTTCCTCTACTCGGTGCGATGAAGGGATTCAGATACTCATTAAATGCCGCAAAGGACACCCATGAATCCTCGTCTGCGGGGAGCCACCACCTCGTCTGACCCCACCCGTCTGGCCTGCTGCAGCGTGGAAGAGGATGGAGGGCCGCGGTAGCACGGAAGACCCTCCCTCGTCTACACCCCCACCCTCACCCTCGCCCCTCCCGATGTGAACATCGCCTTGAGGACGGCGAGGAGGATGGATCGCTGTGATTAGACTGTCGTGGCGCAGGGGTTAGAGAAGGTGTGCTGGGAAGCACAAGGTTGGTGGTTCGATTCCAGGCTGCCCCATGTTCCATGTCGAAGTGTCCCTGAGCAAGACACCTAACCCCTAATTGCTCCCCGGGCAAAGATGTGAAAAAGCCATGGGTTTAAAGTGTAATGTAAATCGCTTTGGATAAAAGCGTCTGCTAAATGACCTGTAATGTAATGTAATGTAGACGCCAGTTCCCCGTGAGTGTGTGGAGAGCTGCTGCTGCTGTGATCAGAGGAGAGGTGCGTAAGACAGAGAATCCGAGGGTCCTTCTACTGAATGTGAGAAGATGAATTGGCAAAGAGCAAACGGCCATCATAAAAACAGTTTGACTGTTTAATTTTCTTAATTAATTGGTGGTTCTTGTTATTTTGCATGCAAACACAAGGAAGGATATTACCAAAGGCCTTGTGCCAGCTCTGTGACTGAAACAGGATTTAGGTATTTATGGAATCTAGAGCAACAGAAACACCCAGCAGGTCTAAGCAATGGACAACAGGGGGCAACAGACAACCGTATATAAAACATGGAGGTCAAAGAGGGTTTTTTTCTCTCTCATTCAATCCCAGGGAGCTGGTCTAGAATCAGCGTAGCAAGATGAGTTTGGAAATGTGACGCTTGATCAGCGTCACGCTCCTGGTCACCTTCAGGCCTCTTGTGGAACAGAGGTTTTTCATACGCTGATTCTGGAAGTATCCAAACCAAACAGATAGATCAGAAGGTCATGATGTTCTCTCATAAATCAATGTACCGAAGGCTGGTGATGACTTATTTAACCGTACTACAGCTACAGTACGTATTTAACCGTACTACAGCGTATTACATGCTTGAAAGAGTTTTCAAGCATGTAAGTGAATTTACAAAAGAAATAACAAAATAAATAGAGAAAAGATAATAAAGACAAAATGTGCTTTTGGGAAAACAGTAAAATGCTGAATCTTACAAATGTTGTTAAATTTTACAAAATACCACTACACATAACGAATAAATAATCTAACCCTCAGTTAGCTGTCGTAGGAAATGAAAAATACGACATAATCAAGTTAAGTGCCGTTAAACTAGTCATGTTACAAATGGAGTTGTTACCCAACATCCCTGCTTTTAATATCCTTCAGTGAACATTATTTCAAAATAGATTTGACGTTGGCAGGTCTATTTTTTTGTAGAAATTAGTAGGTGGATTAGTCATCTCATTTCATGGTAATTTTAAGAAACGGAAGCTCTGAGGTCACACTGTTGAAAAAAAGGCACTGCGAGGCTTTTAAGCTAAATCAATTAGTTTAACTTTGTGCATAACATCCCCCTAACTCCTTGTGTGATAAAGTGGGACACAGAGAGAAATGAAGCTGCGCGCCGAGAAGAGGATGAGAGGAAAGGCATTGGATGAATATTTATGGTTAAGAAGCTGAACTCAGGTGAAGAAGGTGCAATGTGGAGCTTATTCACCATTTCCCAATTCAGCATGTTAGCAACGTTTACTGATGACGGCTGACACTGATGGGAATGACATTATTTTAGCAGATATTTGATCCAAACCAAAATATAGGCCAAATTAATATTTGGAACTGATGACTGGTTAAACCAAAAATTCATCATGATTGGCGCACAAAGGCAACACATCCAATGGTAATTAAAAAAAACACAAATGTGATATATGAAGTGATAGAAACTGTGCTCTTTAACTGTTTAAACAGACACACAAATCAAGCAAAGCACTAAAGAGGCACACGAGATAAGTTTAAAAAGGTGGTAGATGAAAAGGTGCTTTGATTTGCAGTACAAATGTCGGCAGCAGCTCTTGTTTTTTTCTAAAAGAGGAAGTCATTGAGGGCTGTAGTGTGATTCATTGATACAATATCACCGATTCACTGATAAAGGTTAATTATGTACTTTAAAAGTGTTCTGGTTTCTTACTGACCGATGAAACGTAATAAATATAAAGAGCATATGTGCAGGTGACAGAAGAGAAAGTGTTCCTTGGTGACCTTCAGTCAACCTAAAACACAGCAGAGGAAATTACCGTCATTCTTCAGCCAAAGTCCTGGCCGGGGGGGAGACAGGGAGCCAGCCAGAAATAATGACACTCTTTTTTCAAAATACTCTGATCGCATTCTTAGTAAAAGTAGAAAACTGAAGTTGCATTAAAATGAGAGTTGATCTCATTTGAGTTTGATCTGAGATTGACTCAAAAAAAACTCAATAAATACAGTACATTTGGCTACAGTTCCCGTATGAGGTGGTTATTTTACATCAAGAATAAAATATTATTATTTTGTCAGTTTACCTTTACTAATCCCCAGCTAATTCCTCAGAGGACCAGATTGGAAACGTGGGACAAAGATGACGGCGGCTCCGCTGCTTCAAGGGCAAGATGGGAACAAAGATCTCCTCCTTTGTCAATTCCTTAGCGCAGCTTCTTTGTGGCTGTCGGCGGGATGTGTTACTGTAGTACTTTGCTTTCTTAAACCCGAATAAATGTTTTGCAAAAAAGAATAGAGAAGGCCGAACGGCAGCACAGATATCATCGCAGCAGAATCGGAGTACCGGCCTTTACCCTCAGCCCTCTCTTATTTGGTTCAGAGACATCCGAGTAATCAATATTACTATTACTATTCCACCGCTTCAGAGCCAAATCAGCCTCATGAGAACCTGAAGCCTAAAAGCAAAGATCCTGTCTTTGAGCGGCAAAAACGTAAACCCCGCATTGTGTATTTAACAATGTTGGAGGCCTAAAGTGTGCCATCCATCTCTTTTCCGCAAGAGCACAGGGAGGGGACAGGAAATATCCCGGCCCCTTCTTTTTATTATCGCAAGAACGGAAAGGTTCTTGAGTGCCCCCCCCCCCCCCCCCGGCGGAGGCCGTCAGTGTGGCTCTGGTCTCCCTCCGACATCTAACACACACACATACGGTGAAACAACGACGGTCTTATGAGTTGGGCTTGAGATGCTGGGTGCCTTTGTCACTCTGACATGCATTGATATCAGTGCCACATTAAGAAAAAGATCGTTCAGTGCTTTCGCTGCTACTCAGGTTTTATGCTAAGCTAAGCTATTCGCCGCCCGGCTGCAGCTTTGTACTTATGTGGGGTTGTATAAGATATTCGTCCATAGTCTGTGCAGCAGACAGGAGGGCCAGCAAGGGGCCTGACAGCAAAGGGCTGACCTTAAAAAGAAAATCAACATCCCAAAGTAAAGACCAGGTAAGATGCACGCGCTTCTTACAGTAACCTACAATCGATGGCACGTCCCTTGTTTATTTGTCCTTTGCTGCCAAGACACGACCACAGGAAGCAGGATAATATAAAAGTTATTTCCAGCTTTTTGAGTCTTCAGGGCCTCAGCAGGCCACCTATAGGCTTCTCTCTCGGGCCTCAAAGAGGTTAGACTCCTCCCCCAGGGACTCCTTCTGTACAGTTTATTCATGTCTACCTAGACAATACAAGATGTCTATATAATACATGGATATTATTTCATTGGAACTGAACTGACATGCAATGTTGGCAAAGCTCACCATCTTGAAATGCAGCGCAACGTTCAGGCGATACAGAAGGCCACATTATCGAACATGCAATTCCTTGCCAGTTACAGGCTGTACTCACATGTACCCACTCGTTCCCTAATGGCAGATCCGCAAGAACAGCTCAAAATGGACATTGACACTCTTGTGAAAACAAGCGGCGGGGCCCAGGACAAACAAACAGCGGTCAGCCTGCTCGGCCTGTGGGCCGTGAGACTGCGGAGCCTGCAGCCTCGCCTCCGTCTCCTCCGTCTCCTCCATCTGTTGCAGTTGCAGCAACATACCGAACGCGTCCACGTCCTCGGGGAGCTCCGGGCTGAAGTGACCGGGCGGCTCGTCAGGGTTCCCACGGGGTCGTCTTGTGAATAATGGGCACTTTTACCGGGGCAAAACGATTTGAAGGGATCTAATATCAGCAGTATAATCTGGGGCACGATGGCTGACAGGGGCGATTTCTGTGATTGCACTCAAGTGGGTAAACTGCTTTACAGGAAGTAGGATGAGGAGGATTTATATGGGTCATCTTCCAGGAGATCGAAGGTTTGGAGAGCAAATATGTTATATGTTATATGCGAGATATGTTCATAAACTGACTTTGTGTACTTTGACATTGCACTTATTCATCATCTAGGAAACATAAATAACTGATAATTTCCTCACCAGATGCTTCAACAAAAGTGAAATCAAAGCAGCCGGAGTAAATTTTATTTGTTTGTTTAAAATATGTGTTACCTATAGTAGAGACTTCATTTCTGTCATCATTTCAGAAAACCATGACCATGACCATGAATATTAATTTTAGCATTAGAAGACAATTAAAAACATTTTACATAGGAAATAATAATTTTTCAGCTCATACTTTGTTAAAATTAAGATGTTTAGTTTCAATTGTAATTCAATTTGATTAAAATAACTAGTATTCTTCCCTGATGACCACGCACACACACGCACACACACACTGTAATAGAAGAGCCTGGATTAATTTCTATCCCCTCAAACGACCTTCCTGTCTTCTCTTTTTCCTGCCTGCAGCGTCTGTGTGACGGATGCTGACGAGCTGCAGACAGACATCCGTCTGGGAGGAAGCAGCGGTTTGCGAGCTCTGCTGGGCATCTTTCTCCCACCTGCTGACCGGTCGATGCCGAAAGCAGCTAAAGTTAACAGCAGCAACGAATGTTTCACACCCACTGTCTTTGAATACACCCCAATTTTCACTGCTGCGTAGATATTCTTCCCAGCACATGTGCAGTATATGTGTCTGCAAAAGCTTTGTCCGATAAAACCGGGGGATTAAAAAGAGAGCGTCTGAAATCGATGTATTAAAAATGATACAACATAGTGACAACTTCAACCAGGAAATCTAGACTAACATCTATTAAAACACTATATTTTATAGTTTATATATTCATCACTACGTGTCATTGTATGTATCCTGTATCACCTTTTAAAAGTCCTCATCAACTTAAGTGCATTTTGTGCATAAGACGCATTTCAGGGAGGTTTGAACTCTCGGGACATTTTTAGTAAAAGAGTCTGGTACCTCGTGAAATGGTCTAGGACGCTGACAGTTGTTGCGCGACATACATGGATAGATAGATTGATAGATTAATGGATAGCTGGATTGATTGACAGATCGACGGATAGACTGATTACATCGGCAGAAGGCTGGAGCGGCTCCTCACAAGAACAGATGGCGGCCATATTTCCATCTAAGCGCGTTTGGCAGCGCGTTGACACAATAATCTATTCTAGCAGGCCGGATTTCACACTGTAAACCGTGAACACAACCTTCATGAAAGGAGCACTGCGTGCACCACTTTCTTTACCAAATATAGGGATGTGTGCCGATTTAACGTTTCTGCTTAGAATTTCCTCACCGCTCCTTCCGCCCTCTCAATCTACGTCACGTTATTTATTAGATCAGATTGATATTGTCCGTCTTAGATGCTTGATAACAGTGATAATGGGGAGGCACAAAACCAGTATTTGTCTCTTCAGTGAGGCAACGATTCTCTTGTTTTGTCTCTGTGAATGTGAAAACAAAACTGTAGGAAAAGGAAGAGTCCTTTGCTCCACATTAGGGATCAGCAGATGGCAGACTGGTGTTAAGTGACAGACGTTTCCACTTGATTAGAAAGGGAGCATTGCTTGATGATGTCTCATTAAACAAATTGGCCTCCCGGCAGTAACGTGTAACATTTGCACAGCTCTTAGAACCGTGTTGTGATAATTCTTCATTATGCAATGCAGTTCGAAGGACCCCAATTAAACTCAATTGAGGTCAACTTATTTGTCCAGTTACAAGTAAATTGCTGCAACACTCAATTAAATGAATTATCAGAAAAAGCATATTGCCGTTGAAGTTTGGGGAGCACACAGTCCGATCCATAACGGACTATTTTGGACCATCTCACCTCCATCTGGTCCTGGAGAGAACTGTTCTGGGATCTGTCAGATTTCATCATTTCTCCAATAACTCCCTATTAAGCATCTGCCGCCCATCCGGGAGGAGGGAGGAAGGTGGGGATGGGGGGGGGCGACCAAATCGAGTGTAGCCGTCTCATCATTGAGGCCTCCTTTACACGGTGACTTGTTGTGATACTGGACGCACAGACAGCGATGGGGGAGGAAATACAAAATGGATGCGGGAGACGTTTGGATAAAAGCAAACCAGGCAAATACAGCAGGAGCATCAAGTAGAACTAATGATACATGCAGCATGCAGGTTGCTTATGTTCCGTTTGGATGACTGGGCAGCGATGGGAAGCTTTTTGTCATTTGACAGTGACTGTGTGTAGCCTGTACCTCTTAGTATTAAAATAAAGAGAATACTAACTGTGCATCTCTTTCCATCGGTTTTGGATTAACGATTTTAACTTGTGCAGACAAATTCAGATAAAAATGAAAAATTATTTAAAGAAAAAAAACAATAAAAGAAACATTTCTTTGCGTGACTTTTGATTATTCATGGGGGGCATTTTTTCCTGTAGTTGTGCAGGTTTCCTTCGAGAGCGACACGCTCTTTGCACTGATGTGATCAGCCGAGCCGAAGTCCTGTGACCTTCTGAAACGCTAAATGGAAACACTGCTCGCGGTCGTCTCATCACTGAGAGGCCGACGGAGTCGTGAGAGGAGCCGCCTGGTCGCATCTTCAGCTTTGACAGCTGGGAAATGACAACGAACCAAACCGACTGAACGAGAGAGAAACGGAGCTGCGATGGCAGCCAGGGGTCTAGAGCAGGTTTCATTTGAGGAGTAGAGCGGCGTTCTTGGAAATAACCTCAATCTCCAAAATGTCCCGCTCCTCCTGTAGGAAAACTGTCCTTTTGAAGGTTGACTTGCAATCAAAAGTGATCGCAGAAGCCACGAAACAATTTCCTTCAGAGACGGACCAAATAATTCAGGCAATCTGGCAAGGCCGACTTAAACGTCCTCTGAAAACGTTGACGGCCTTCAAAGTCAAAGTCAAAGACGCTTTTATGCGAATCCTCTGATGTGCTCAGGACGATCTTGCGTGTTCTTATCTGTCTGAGGAAACTGATGTGAAAGAAAACGTTGATTGTGCAAATCGAAGGACTCAACACGATTGCCTTAAGTACGACCACTCGGCCCAAGCACTATTATTCTAAAAATAGATTTCGAGGACACTAAACCGCTTTAAACAGACGCACTCAGGAAACAATCACAGCCCTACCACTGATGCATCCTGGGTAGCTGCCCTTGAAGCACATTTGCGTTTTCTCGGATTTAATGAATCAAGAGACGGAGTCACATGCTGCTGAAGTAGCATTCTGATTTAAAGGTCAATGGTTTGCATATCATCTCATCTATTCATTAGATTCACACTTCCCATCTCTTAAATAAGCACCAAAAAAAATCAAAGACTCACACACACATTTTTTTTCTATTTTTATTCAGTGATAAATAATTTCCTATGATCATAGGCTTTATGTGAAGACATCCGATCGAGGCAAGAGACAAATTAGAGGGCACACATTGCCAACATTAGAAAATAATAGCAGAAACAAAAACCATGAGGTAAGAAGTTCTTTTTTATACATTTGTGGTGCTTCCATTTGTGTTACCTCTACTGCTGAATGCACAGTGCTTCCTAATACAGCCTGCCTCTTGTGTGTGTGTGTGTGTGTGTGTGGGTCTGTACATTATTAAACAAAAACAGGTCATGGCACAATACTGAGCCAACCAACAGAGGGAGTGCACCGCAGAGCGTTGAGTCAGCGGTATCCATCGGACCAAGAGGAAGAAAAGCTGAGCAGGAAACAGAAAAAAACAACAAAAAAACAACACTACTTTTAAGATTTGGCAACAGAGCTCCGCCATTGATCCGACACACACACACACACACACACACACGGACGCACACACGCAGGGGCGATCGATCTGAGTTCCAGTAGGTATTTTTCTCTTAACTTTGCTATGAATTTAAACGTGTAAAAAACAGGTTTAGGTGGGAGGGGGTTTTGCACATCAAAACGGAAAGAATGTGCATCTGTTCTGATAACGGGTTGTGCAGCAACTGGTCTTGTGATAATTGAGATCAGCGATGACCGTTAAGATCAACTGTAGAATAAACTAGTTTTAGCAATGGAAGAGATTTGCAGATAGTATTTGGAATAATTATTTGAAAAGTGAGGTGAACGCGTACAGAATGTTGCGCTTTGTCTAGACTTTTATAGGTTTTTAAGACACCACAGATGTTCAAATAATTTTTTTAAGTAATGTTTTTCTGTGTATGCACGGGTACATTATAAAGAAATCAAATAATAACTAACTTGACATGACTATGGGTGCCAATTTGTCACACGGTTAATTAGGAAAAAAAAAGAAGAAAAAACTGTGTTACAAAGCATAACCCGCTGTCTCCGTGGCAACGTTATACGTGCTGTTTACCCCTTTAAAGCCTCAAATCATGTGACTAGTAGTTAAAAAGCTTAGCATGAGCCCCAAACCAGCAGTAAACTTGGACACCATCTGGATGCCGCGGACTGAAGTGCGGCATACGAGAAACGTGACGCGCTTTACTTTGGAGGGTCACCCTGATCTTCACTTTAATGCAGTTAAGTTAAAAGCTTGAAAAGGAAAATAATTGCTGGTTGCAGCCCCAATACGTGGTACATATCTACACGGTGAAGACGGACGGTGTGGTGGCTTTAAGTGTGTGTGTGTGTGTTCTTCATTAACAGGCTTCAAGCGCAGCACACTGAGGCTCAGCCCCGTGCACGGACCTGACCCGCAGTCCCTCCGCCGCCACTGTTGCACTAAAACTAAAACAAAGAAAAAGCTCCTGCTTCAACATTAAAAAGAGAATACCGCCAATTTTGAGCATTACCTTTATGTAACTTAAGTTTCCATTTATAAAATCTCAATACTGTCGGCTAGAATCGCTGCTACGGATTTATCTCGACCCCTCGGACACGTAACACCTCTGAAGAGCCACTGGGTTTGTGGCTGTACGTAGCAGGATTAATACCACAAATGAAGTGTGTTTGTGTTCAGATCATTGTTAATAAATTCAGTCTTCTAGCTTCTTGGCAAAAGATGTGCGTCAGCGTTACGCGTCTAGCTTAGCAAAATAATACTCACGAGAAGTCGGCTGGTATCCATAGAAAGGACATATGCGAGGTCTTGCATTGAGTGGCATTCTCCTTTCTGGTACCCAGCCTCCGGTTCTGCTGCCTGTTGCTTAGCTGCAGCTGGACGGACACCAAGAGGCGTCACACCCGCACCGTCCTCTCGTCCACAGCGCCACGCGAGCAGGCCCGAGACAGCTGTGCTCGTAGCTGCTCACCCAAGCCACACAGCTGGGGGAGACAGGGGTGACCGGCCGGAGGAAATCCTTCTCTAAAGACACCCAGGTACCCTCGACGGTTCAGTTCAGTGACCCGCCGTCACACTCAGTCTACTTCAGCGAAAAAGGCAGCGGGCGCTAGGAAGGAGCCGAAACCAAAAATAAAAAGAACACAAAATGTACAACAACAAAAAGAAGTAGAACAAAACACACACACACACACACAACTGAAATTGCTGATAGAAGCCAAAAATAGCAACGAGAGCAGTGGTGACGGCGCTGATGGGTGCTGAGGGCGGCGCGGCCGGGTACCAGCTTTAAAAGAGGTCCTCAAGCAACGTGCGCCGGCATTGTGGCCGCAGTTGCCATGGCAGCAGCACGTTAAAGCACCCGTTTCCGAAACAACGGAGGCGGCCATATTTGGACAGCGACACTGGAAGGATGCTGCGACAGCCTCGCCTCCATCCTCCCCGCAGTCTCTCTTTTAGTGTTTTGTTTATTTACTTTTATCGTCCCCTGACACAAAATCAAAGACTTCCTCCCGTTAAGTTTGTTGTGTTGGATTTTCAGACATTGTCAAGTGTTTTTGTTGTTGTTGTTGTAAATCCTCAAACATTTCCAGGGCCTCTGGCGTCAGTCCGGAGGCGGGCGCGGTCGAGTCCTTCAGCCCGGGAGGCAGACTTTGCCCGCGAACAGAAGTCCCACTATGGTGAAGAAGATGGAGAGCACGAAGAGCACGTACGAGGAGCCGACCACCGTGTTGTTGGGCAGCTTGTACGGCTGCCCTCCCACCTCGTTGATATAGAAGCCTATGGGGAAGATGAGCGCCGCCATGCAGAACAGGATCACTGGAAGGGAAGGAGCGGAGGAGGAACGGTTAGTTTAACGTACCTCAGCATTGAGGACAGACGACCACTTTATAACGTGTCTCTGAAGTGTGAGACACGGTCACCTTGAATCGACCAACAAGGTGCAGAAGATAAAAGGTTGACGTGAGCGAGAAGCGCAGGCTGCTCAAATTCAATTAAAAGCTCAAGTCCCAACAGCACCTTGCAGATGGCCTCCGCAAGAGGCCGACTCCCAGAATGCACCGCGGTCAGAGCAACGCTGCCGCACGTGCTTCGGGGAGGTGAGACTCAGTCAAACACCCTGTCACATAAACCGTGTTCTGTTAAATGTCAATTACGTAATTAATGTTTCAAAGATTGCCAAGTCATAGATTATACATCATTCTGACAGGTTTGCTGCAACAGAAAATCAACACACACGTTTGAGTGCCAGCACGTTTTTTTGTTTTTTTTTCTCCTACCAGACTGCAGGAATGACAGACTCGTTGCTCATTTCACAATGACGTCTCAATTAGAAGGATCGAGGATAACATTGAGTCCTTAATCACCGCAGGGAGATCGTGGGAAAAGCCAAATATTTCACACCGAGATAACGTTATCAGCGCTTAAGCTGGGACTTTCTACAGATGGTTTTTACTGAGTTTATGACGGTGAACTTTATGAAAAGGAATAATCCAAATTACAACAACATGAAGACCTACGATTTATGGCCGTAGGTCTTGTCTTGGGTGATTTGAATTAAAGAAAGTACATATTTATTTCCTCATAAACCAATAAATGAAACAGAAATGAGCAGATGCATTGAGTCACAGAGGCTGTGAGAATAACGAGCCTCGACAATGTGCCGCGCTGAGTCGATGCACAAGCATTTAAAATGCAGCCAGCACTGCAGCAACAGCCCATGTATTAATTACACAACAACATAATGCAAAACACACAATTCAAAGAGGAAAAAGTAAACAAACGTGTGTGCGCCCTGTTGAGTTGTTGTCATTAACGTCCGATATTGCTGATAGTACCTAGAGGCAGCATTTCACCACAGGAAAATGTTTTGGTAAATCTTTGAAATTGCGTAATTTCCTTTTGTGGCTAAAACTGCATCATAATCAAATATCCCAAATATCCCGGAGCTCATTCCAGATTGAGATTTTTTCCGAACCCCAAAGGAATGCAGCAATAGTTTCGGCAAATGTTTCTCCATGAACAATAAATAAGCTCTTAATAAAAAACGTCTCGGGCTGTTTAACACGGATTTCACGCTTTCTTAACGGCCAAGTCCAGTTTTTATTCCTGCAAGTCAGTAAAGTCCTGAAACGGAGATTTTCCTGCATATTGGACAAAAACGAGCAAGGAGACGCCACCGCGTGCTGATGTTGTTGTTGTTGTTGTTGTTGTAGTAGTTTCTATGGGCTGTCACTAGATGTTACACAAGAGCTGTTGTTTACTGGAAGAACGTTGTCACGTTTTTTTTACAAAATCTTTGGTGCATGCAGGCGCAACGTTGAATGTTAAAACGGCAACACAAGCTGTGTGACACTTGTGAAACACACATCAATGTGTGGTGCTGAATGTGTGGAAGAGCTCCATGTGCTTTAAATAACTCGGTAATGTTGCACTCAGAGCACAGTGGGACATTTGTTAAACTATTCTAACGTTCAGCAGAATTATGGCCCAAGTGTTGAATCTCTTTCCCTCGTCGGTGTGGAATCCATTTCCTGACGGACCATGAAGCCATTTTCAGTTTTTTCTCCCTCACTCCCCTTTCAACTAGTAGAGGCGTTCGGAACGGGGTCAGAGGTCGCACCCATGTTGCACTTCGGTAAAGCAAAGCAGCTAGAGGATTTAAAAAGACATTCAGTCTGGAAATCGTTATCTCGAATTTGCCCCAGAGATGTAAAATATCTAATTTAGAGTGGGCAATATGATTTGAATAAACTGAAAGGTATCTTTTGGCTATTGCATGTCAATGTTTTATTCAAGCTTTAAATTGCAAATAATAAAAGTCAGTATCAGTCCTAACAAAATATTTCCAACACATTTCACAATACAACAGAAACATAAGCGAGACTGCTGGGTATTAATCTGGAATTTCTCAGAATTTATATAATAAAATCGCCCACTGTTATTTTATCTAAATGCAATTAATTGAGTGTGTCATTCATGAAGCAACTTGCATGACTAATAATCTGGTTTTAAACAGATGTCCGTTATGGTAAAACTGACTTACAAACCATTACATACTGAATATAATATCTTCCCCTGAGCCGATCAAATTCCTGTTGTGTTGACCAACCAGTCAAACCTCTTTCTGCCAACAGCGACGTGTGTGTGCGATATTTGTGTGTTTCCAGCAGTCACTTCGCCTGCTTATTGCCCCGTCGGTGTGTTTTCCCCGTGAGTGCGGTGTGATTGAAGAGGATGCGTGGAGCCAGAAACGTGCAGCTCAGCATTATTCCATCACGCTTCACCGGAGAGTTAATTGAAGTGCAGCTCGTGGTCTTAAGTGGACCGAGCTGATGACACGCGGCGCCCCGCTCGCCTTCCGCAGGAGAAGGTTCCCTCTCAGCTGATGTGACTTATAGTTACTGATGTGTGGCACAGAAACGACCAGGAAACATTAGGTTATCGATTGAAAACATCCACCGGTTGCATCTTCTTGATTACGAAGATTTGCTTGCTCTACGTTACCGTTAATGGATTGTACGACTGATATTTATAGTCCCACTCTGAACTTGTACACCGAGGGGGGGTACTGCCGGTGTGTGTGTGTGTGTGTGTGTGTGTGTGTGTGTGTGGCACAGAGGTGGCTCTGTGCTGGTACAAAGCTGCCCATTCAGGTGCTGGAGGCCGGGAGGCAGTTGCACCACAGACGGACCTCTTCTCCACCTTCACCTGGTTGACCCGAACGCTCGCCCCGACCCCCCCCGACCCCCTCCTCCACTTTCATACAACCAGCTTCACTTTCCTCCGCGTCCATTTCTGTCTTAGCATTGGCTCTTGACCTGCGCAAACATGTTTATTCACTCAACTCACCTTCTTTACTCCAGTCTTCCAACGACCATTTTCTTTTTACATTTTAAATTTTCCATTGCTCTCCACTAACCCCGCCCCCCCACCCCCGTACACCCACCGCCACTGTAGACCCAGGGGAAACACTGATCATGCTTCAATCCCCTTAGAAGCCAGAACAATATACCCATTGTCAAACATTGGCCAACATAAGCTTAACAAGGGGACAACTGTGACAATTGCTAACTGTTTCCATGGCAACCGCCTCACTCCCTTCAACGTGATGGACAAACAATGATTTAACGCCATCGCATTCGGTTTCGTGCTGACCGTACGGACGGACCAGTCGGTGGAGAAAGCAGTGATTCATCGTGTGATATGGGAGGTTTTTTTTAAACCTAATTAGGAATCTGCATTTAGCCCAGAGGCACTAAAAAAATAAAAGACTGAGAAAAAGGGGTTTTGTTAGAATCTGCAGAACAAAAAAAAAAAAGGCATTGTCCTAAAAAATGCACCCGGCTTTCAAAAATAATGCAGAGCATTGTGACTGCTCCATCTGTACCAGTGTGCTTGAGGGGGGTCTGCTCCCTGATGTAACCGACCTGCTCCTCCCTCCCACACAGCCTTATGAAAGCAGCCCAGAAACGCTGCACCAGGCAAAATCCGGGTTGTTGTTGTTGTTGTTGTTGAGTGAAGTGAATCTTGTATAGAAAAACAGTTGAGAAACGCCGTGGCACACAAGCAACCTACTAATGACTAAAAGAGGAGCTGCTAGGCATGCAAGAAAAACACTCCTGGAAGAGCAAACGCAACCAACCAAACACACCCACAAGCAGATTCTCACGTCACCCTCGGAAAAACAGAAAGTCCTGGAAGGTTCTGACGTCACACTTATCCAAAAAAAAAAAAAAATGAGCAGTGCATAACTGTCACATCCATTAAACCTCACGACTTTCCTGCCCTACAGACTCGATGTACATGAGCAAAGGAATGTTTCTCAAGGTTATGTCATGAAAGGAGGGAAATGTGCTGACGGCCGGTCTGTAACATTTTTTTTTGAAACAGCTCATTCAGAGCGAAAACGTCTCCGTCTGGTTCACTTACTGCCGGTGAAGGCGATCCAGCGGGCGTATTTGGTGGCTTCTCGGCGCCAGTGCGACGCCACGAGTAGTCCACAGGTGACGGTGAGGGAGATGATGCCCATGATGATGAAGAAGAGCGTGGTGACCCACTCTGGGGGCAGCCGAGGTGGAATGCAGGTCCGGTCCCGTCCGTGGATGGTCTGACACTGCCGAACCAGTCCGACTGTGAGGGCACCTGCAGAGGGAAGTGGAGCGTTGAGGAGCTGGTCGTTAGCCGCCACACAATAACAACAACAACAACAACATATAAACACCTCATTAACAGTAAACACAAGGGAAGCAGCTTTGTCTGCGCTGCATCCGCTTATCTAAGTCCAGATGTCAGGACATTCTTACGCGGGGGCCGACCTTTGAGCACCCAATGGCCGCTTCAAAGACCGGCCTACATGTCTCAGGACAGCAATACGTCTTAAAATAAAAGGAGAAAACTGGCGAGAGGAAAAAGATACACTAGCACACAGAAATGAAAAAGAAAAAGAAAACCGCAGATGTCAAAGCGAGGAATAAGTGGAGGAGGAGAAACGATGGAGACGCTCCACCAATTTGTCGCCGATGGATTGCTGGCGAGGAGCCGCTCTTTCTACGCTGGTGGGCCCAATCAGGCCGGCGGGGCGCCAATATTTCTTTTTGCGCCCTCACACTCTGGAAGAGAAAGTGAGGATTAAATCAAGCCTGCCAATTACTGAATCCATCCCACGCAGGTGCGGAGAAAAGACGCCTGTAAGAAGCCGATATCATCACACAGATTCGCAGCAGCTCTTGTTGCTTTTTTCGGTAACCCCGTAATCATTTTCACCCCATTATGAGTCATGAGTCGGTCTCGTCTTTGCCAGGAGGTACGGGAGGGGGGGGTGGGGGGTGCGGGGGAGGCAGCGCCGGCCGCCTCGGCGACATAAGCGACAGGCTGTGGGCATGGAACTTCAGAGGGGCTTTAGTACACTTGGGTGATGTTTGCAGGGCTGTTCGGCTGGCAGATGGGCCGCCCTGCACCCCGGCCTGAGAACAGCAACACGCACACGCACAACGTGACACTGCGAGTTCGGAGGCACGACGGCGTGAAAAGTGCTCGCTTTCAAAAGGAGCCACGAGGACGCTACAAACCGGCCGAAAAGGTTCAACCTGGCTCAAACTCCGCAGTGACACGACGCATCGGCACATGCAGTCAACTCTAAGTGGTGAAATAATGGCTTGTTGAGACCAGAGATGGTGACCGTTTATGTCAACTTTGAATAAAATGTTGTTTGTGCTGCCCGAAGAGCTAAAATTGTAACATATTGCAAATCTTAATTTAACTCATTTTAATTTTAGCTCTAATATCATGGCTCTTTACCTCCAACTGTTGACCAGGCTATTTCACAGTGTGTATGTGTGTGTGTGTCCTCGGTAGCGTGCACATAGTGAACAAAACGGGTAACCATAGACAGATAAACACCACAGCACTCCGAGGTTACAAAGTCCACCGGGAACCTTTAAATAAACTTTGACCACCGATGCAAAGCTGCTAAACATGGACGCCATGCGGCTAAGCTAATTCAGTGCCGAGGCCACAATGTCGTCTCAGCGTAACATGTGGACTTTATCTTTGTAAAGATGGACAGTGGCCCAGCGGACGGGGTGAACGCGAGCGTGAGACAAGCATGCAGGCCGGAACTGAGGAAGAAGGTCACGCATGTTTCTGCAACGCGTTCTCCATTTACACACTGAACACGCGATGTTGCTCAGAGCCACATTGCGTCTACAACATTTAAATACAAGCGGGATAGCAGAGCGTGTGACAAGAATGCTGTATTTGCCCCGGGGAGACAGGAGGGGGTATCAGCAGGCGGTCCGGAGGAAATCCTGCCCCCCTTTTGTAACACCCGGTGAGAGTTATGCTCCCACAGTCACAGCACACAGGAACAATTCAGAGTTCAAAAGAAACACGGTGGGGCTCTGAGGCCGTTAAAGGAGGCGACACGCAGCAGCGGAACAGAGGGCTTCTCATCCACCTCATCGTAAACACACGCGCTAATGGACGGTACTCGGCGCGCGGCCTTGAATCACTCGTACGGGCAGGTCAACTACCGGCAGAGCTTCGGCACAAAAAGAGTGAAGTAAAGTGTGAAAGGGGGGGGGGGGGGGGGGGGGATGGGAGCTCACGGCCGAAGCCTTGAAGTCAGCGCAGAGCAACCTGGAGCGGCAGAGTCAGTCCTGTGAGGGGGGGCGGCGAGGTAAAGAAGGCGGGGGCCGGCGCTGGGAAAAAGGGGAGCATTAAGGAAAGGTTGCGGCTAATGGCGCGCGGTCTACGACCTCCTGCTGCTTCACAGGCGGTGTGTGTGGAATGCCCGCCCCATAAAGAGGCCGGCTCGCCGCGGTGCACGGCCACAGGTAAACAGGTCGACAAGCAGGCGCGCACATAGAGGGAGATCCCGCTGACGTCTCTCTCTCTTTCTCCCCGGGAGCCGAACAGCAGCAGTGAGATGTGTGTCGGCGAAGAGGACTTACTAAGCGAGTGGAGTTGCACTTTGGTCACTTTTCTTTAATAAAGTCACCAAAACACACTATTCATTATGGCTGATTACAGTCATTTATATTGAAGTGAATGGGACGCCGCCATTGGGATCAGCAGAAAGGATTCTCTTTAGTGCACAAACAAATGTGTTTTGGTTCGAGTACAAACGGGCCAATTCTCCATTTTGGGGCCCCGGCTTATTTTTTCCCCACAGCTTTGTTTGCATAGAGAGCAAAATACTCGCTCAACCAACTGAGAGCAAATGAGATCTGTTTCTGTCCACCAGGCCAACGTTGTCTTTAGTGGAGTATGTGTGTGTTTTTTTAGTGTGGGGGGGGGAGGGATGAGTCAAACAGGCCTCTGAACTGTGGTGGGTGGCGTACTGGCTGCTGCTGCCGGAGGCTTTCACAGCGCCCACTTGCATTGCAGGGCCACTGGAGCCCCCCCAACTCGGACACAAAACACGGCGAATCGAGTCTACAACCACCAACACCTTTGTGAATGCAAAACAAATGAAGTAGGGATTGGGATGCTTCCACAGCAACGGGCAATAATGTCTCTTATTTTAAGCTCACAACCAACACGGCAAAGTTACGTCGTCATGTTTACATCTGCGGTTGTGAACCAGTGGCGGCGCGGGTTTCTTCTTTCCCGTTGGTGGACCGAGCTACAGCTCTGAACCGCTGACTCGGCATCTGTGCATCCAGACAATATTGACTGGGCCGGGCCTCCGCTGCTTTGCAGCGACGGCACGTTGTGTTTCTTCGATCTAAAAATCCCACAATTTATTATCAGCCAACTCCTTTTGTCTTTGCCAATGGAATCTTAACTAATGTTCCAAGTATTTTCCATGCAACCAATGTTAACTGTCCCTGTAAGGTGGGGAGATCAAACACAAACGCCACTACGGTTTTGTTTACTTTGATCAAACCGGAGGTCAGCTTTTATCGACGAGCGTGTGCGTTTCTTCGCGCTCTGAACACAAACACAACACGACGAGGTCCGACGAGGGCGCGTTGTTGAGCGCCGAGCCCCTCCGACAAGACAACAACACAGCTGGGGAAGCAGAGGTCAGCTGACACACTGTCCCCAGGGGCTCCTACTTGTACACAATATACATGTATTCATGTACATTCTGGACTAAACGGCGCAGACAGCTCCTGAGGAATAGTCCAACTCGTAAATAATTTTAAGCACCGTGCCCCCTGAAACAGAGGAATCACACAACAGAGCCCCAACTACAAACACCTAGATGATTTTGTAATATGCATAAGACAACACAAGAAATGAGAAATAAGTCGGCTACGTGTTGGTATTTACCACCTTGTCAGGATGCTTTACGTAAAGGGCTTTGAATCACCTCTTAGCTGAAACGTTCTATGGAAATGTACTTGCCTCACACAACTACGCGATAGTGAATCATAAATTATTCATTTGCTATTCATTTGATGTTTTAGTTAAATAAAGTTAAAGAACCACAACTGTGTGTTGTTGAAACCAATGAAGACATAATCATCTCAAACACCGAAAGCTCCGTCATGAGTAAATATGCATTTACTAATTTAGGAACATGTGATGCTGAATTTCCAGTTTGTGTGTGGCTGTATAATAACAATATGCATTTATTCTCACATTAACTAGATCATCTAAACAGGTTGTGCCATTCTAAAGTTATTGTATAAGTAATACGAGCTCCCGTACAAGCAAACGCAGTGTCTTTCGAGAACAAAGAACCCACAATAATACTGACTGAATTAAAAACATGAAATTTGTTAACTTTCAATATTAGAAAACGGGAACCGTGACAGAGCAGTACGTCGTCTCGTGAAACCATAACACACACACACCTGTTTAAATGTAGCAGAGCATCACCTTTCTGTGCATGCAGGTAGTGAGATATTACCCACAATCAAACGGGGAACTCTCCGATACAATCAGATCTAGACGGTTGACTTCCTCTCATTTGCATCCTATTATTGTTGTTGCTGCTGTTGTTGTTGTTACAGATGGCTTATTGTGTGTGTATGTGTGTGTGTTAGTAGATGACAGACCCTCCCTGACCCAGTTACTAAGCTGTCATCCTGCCGAGGGAACAAAGAGCAGCAGCTGTCTATCAATAGCCCAAATGTGTTTTCAGCACCGGCACAAGTGAAGCGAGGACCAAGCAGCACGTGCTTCTGTCCAGAATCGGCTGGGGACGCCACAAATGAGCACCTGCCCCGGCTCCTCCAGTGAGCGCTGATTACACCGATGACATGTAGGTCGCTTCAAATGTCGAGTCACCAGAGAAACACAGGGATCACTGGTGTTGCTAATAAGATAATTGATTAGTCAGTCCATGCTAAAAAAAAGCTGCATCTTATGCGTAAGCTGTAGGTTGATTTTATTAACCCTATACGTCGACTATTCTTCTACATTTCTTTGGAGCATTGATGAATCCTCAAAATTGCCTATTTTGTTTCCCAACCAGGAATACTACATAAAAACATGCAGCTATCAGGCGTAAGTGTTAATGAGAGAAAAAGTCCTTTATGGATCAATCACTTATCTGAAACTCAATTCCCTGATACTGGATTATTATTATTATTATCATCAGGGAAATTCCCTGGTTTCAGCTTCACACTGAGCTGATTTTTATTTTAGAACCGATGCAAATGGAATCTCAGTTTTCTTTATGCCGGTGATCAGAATCGTCAATCTAGGACATCCATGGTGGTCATTTTCTAACATTTTTTTACTAACTAAAAGATGCATTCATTCATCAAGAGTCCATCCAACTATAACCAGCTGCCCTCAGAGCAACAGACGATAATGATCATTGATCAGGGACGAAATATAAATGAGTGGTCTTGCATTTCAAGAAGCCACATCAATGTTAACAGAACCGCTGGGGAGGACAAAAGATGCTGCTGCTGCTGCTGCAGATGAAACCCTCCACACAATAGAGAACATCTTTGAAGTGGAGATAATCTGATGTTCCAATATCCCCTGCAGGGTGTGTGTGTGTGTGTGTGTGTGAAATAAATATACTCATTAGATATGACCGATCACTCAAAACCAAACAGTAGATCTGTGTGGCGGATCTGTGGTGGCCTGCTTCATTTACCTGCTGATTCGCCAGTGTTGATCCAGTCTGGGTTTGCAATGCTGGCTATGGCAAAGATATCTGCAGCCAGAAACAGGCACCCTGAAATGATCGTCAGTTTATCCATGCCGCCGGCCGAGGAAGCGCTGACCGACGTGGGGAAGTGTCGTAGTGTCCAAACGGGATCCCCCGAGCGTGGAAAGACGCAGGGGTGTGAGTGTGTGTGTGTGTGTGTGGGGGGGGGGTGCTGCTATCAGTCTAACCTCGCCCCCTTCAACAGCAACAGCCCGCTGTTGTGGTTCTGCTGGGCATCCTGCAGCAACGTTAGCTCCTTTTCAGTCAAGCCAGCGCGAGCCTCCGGCTACAAAAAAAATAAAAAAATAAACGTAAAATAAAATACGACAAATACGACGCGCACAAGCGTCACATCTCAAACGCGTCGCTGCGGTCCAGGAAGGATGAATCGATGGCTCGATCAGCACCCGGGCCCTGAACCCCGCTGGTGTCGCCCTTCGGATCCGTTCAGCAGCGGCAGCGGGAGCAGCATCGGGCGACAGACGCGGCTAGCGGGCAGCTAGCTGCGCTCAGCTCCCGGATTCGGGCGTTCGCGGCGCCGAGCTGCGGCCCAGAGGCTGCGCTAGCATTTCCGACGGCAACGTCACGCACACGGAGGTCGGAGAGGAAGCCGCAGCGGGTTCCCTCTTCACTTGCGGCGGTGTCCGTGTTTCTAGATGAGACGTCTCGCGTTAGCCGTCCGGGGAGCGAGAACCCATCACCCGCTCTTGCTTGCTGGAGCCCGTTCTCCTTCTCCGCTGGAATAGCATCTGGTACTTTAGGTCCGTTAGCTTCGCCTCGTCCCCCCTCGTCTTCTTCTTTGGACCCCGGCGGGGGGGGGGGGGTATTTGAGGCTACGTATTTAAATCCCACAGAGACGTCACAGGTCCCGGTGTGGACCGTGAAGTGGTAACGTTATTGTTGTGCTTCCCACCGTGTGACCACCGTTAGCTCAGCCTCCCTTTCTGCCCAAATGACATCAGGCGAACACCCCGACGCGCAGCATAACGTTGAGGGGAGGGAGGGGTATGTTCTCCTCTCGCGATACTTCGCAAAATAACGGGGTTCATGTTGTCCTGACCATAGATATATATATATATTTAAGGGCTAGATGTCTCCACGTTGCCGGCCAACGGAGTCGAACGTCCGCACAAGACGGCCATCTTACTACAGTGAGCCCGCTCACCCAATAACATCGTTCTAGACTCCGCTGTAGACATCTAGGCTTTATATATATATCTATGGTCCTGACTGGGACAAGATGAACCCCGTTATTGGGACTGTATTTAGAAAGAGGTAATAGAACCACCGCTACAGGAAAATAAACAACTAGTCAAAATTGAATGTAAGGATTTTTTTCTTAATTTGACATGATGTTCTAATGTTTTAGTGAACTAGAATATGTTGATAATCAGTTGCACTTTCAATACATTTATCAAGCAAACTATTACTGGATCCAGGTTCTTAAATAATTTTTGTACAAGTGCAAATTATTTTTAAGAGTACAGCTTAACCAAGTACTGTGTAAATACAATTCTGAAGTACCTTTTCATTACATGTTATACGTTTTAAACCTTTTTCACAATTAGTTACAGCAGCATTCTTAAATATATATATATATATATATATATATATATATAGACATTTTTTATTTAGATTATTTGTATCCGTGTTTTTGGTATTGGTAAGTAAGTGACACAACAATTCAACTGTTCTGCACAACAACAGAATGCTCGACAATGGCAACTTTCAATCCTGTATGTTTGGGTTTTTGGGTCTCTCTACTGGTTAACACGTGAAACAACATCTCCTAAAAATAGCTGCTGCCTGGTCTTTTTAAACCCACAGAGGACCCTCATCCTCCTTGTACAGCAATGGAGAGCTTCAGTAAATCTGAATTCATACTACAAATCTGGGCAACACACAGGTTGTTACTGGCTTTAATTTACATAGATACACAAATAAATTGACCAAAGAAACAAAAAAAAGTGAGATTGCATTATGATCCCCTGGCTCTCCGATGGCGCATACAGGACAGACTACAGATGATTGGTGACATCAAATGAATTGCTGCTGGATGCCGTGGATTTGAGGTCCTTTCCTTTTGAAGCAGCCAGGCACAGCGTGCCCAAGTTAACGACAACCGTTCTTTGATTTTATCTTCATACTTCATCCACAAACGGTGTATTCAGCAGGTGTCCTCTAGCGGCCATGGTCTTCTTGCCATTCACAAATGAATTTGCAGCCTAAAAAGGGAAGGCGAGTGTTTAAAACATTTTGAACAAAAAGATTGATACCTGCATTCTTAAGATTAGTAAACTTCTGTAGCTACATGTAATTATTATTGCTCTTCTTTTATACACACACAAACTGTAAAACACATAGAAGTGTAACACAATAATAAGTCTCATGCTAAATCTCTTGGTGACTCATTATTTTGGCAATTTGATAATTGGACGTCCATTCCCTATGTTTTTTCGGGCCACTTTTGGTCTCTACCAACCACTGAGGGAAATATCTGTTCCTTCAGCCGCCTAATGCTCCACTATGTTCACCTGCTATTCGCTCCATGCGCCCGTCTGTGATTCGGCCTCGGGCAGGAAGTGTACAGGTTGTAAGGGGCGTGCGGCCGGTAGCAGAGGCACTCACCTTGACTACATCGTCATGGGTGACAGCATCTATAGTCTGGAGAACAGCATCCGGCAGCTGATACGCCGCGGTGGCCAGAGCCTGAGCTCCAATCTCTTCCAACAGACCTTCAGAGCTCTCTATTGACATCAGGTAGTCAAATTTCACGTGGTTCCTAAGCAGGGAGGACAAACACACACAGACACACACACACACTCCAGAGTCAACAACTTGCGGTCATTACTATTCGACACAGATGCTCCAAGATGGTGTCCAGCAATACTCGGTGAACTCACTTTGCTCTGGCGATGTCGGCCTCAGACACATTTCCCTCAGCCACGCCTCTCACCTGATCGACGGCAGCTTTGATCACCTACACACAGGACGGCAACCAGGCACACGTTGTAGACGCGGCTTTCATTTGTTCTGATTTATCGTCAAAAAAAAGGGCGAGCAAATTTAGGAATTCACCTCTCCTGCAGAGTCAGCTTGTGCGATGGTGTAGACGCCGAACAAGCCGGAGTCAGAGTACGAGGCGTTGAAGGCTGTGGCCTGAAAAAGACATCGGACATTAGGAGACAAACTCTGCATTCCTTACACATCACCCTAACTTCAACTTACGTCAAAGGGCTGTGTGGTAGCTTTGGCGATACCCTGGCTCAGTTTGCTGGTGACATTGGAGCCCCTCTTTACATGTGGCCCAGCTCCCAGGATCCTTTGCAGCACGCTGAAGGCGTTCGCCTCGGCGCTGCCCGCCACACCCCCCTCACTGGTAATCAGTGAGTGCACCAGGTCATCGTTGTTCTGCACTCGCAGCTCACCTACCCGCAAAAACACGGACACACACACACACACACACAACAGCGTCATGCCACAAACGCGTTGACGGGACTTCAAGAAGAGGCGGAGCGTGCTAACGAAGTCTTACCTCCGCGGTACACGGCCTTCGCCACAGGCGCTCCAGCCCCCCGGCGCACACTGAGGAGCCCCTCCCCCATCTGCCTCAGGACGGAGTGCTTCACACCTGAAAGCAGAGATCGAAGAAAGCGGACATTGTGGCATCAACTGACCGCTGCGCACAAACAGCGGTGACGAAACAGACCAGACGAGAGACACACACACACACACACACACACACACACAGACACTGACCAAGTCCTACGAGAGCCATTCTGCCAGTGGTGAAATGATCCTCAACGAAGGCCTGCAGCTACAAGAAGGCGATGAAGAGGAGGAGAGGCGTGTGTGAGCCGCGTACGCACCGACAACAATTCAAAAGGCTGCCGTATGTTTATTTACACCACTTGCTAACGGAGATCAATACCTGTGTGGAGGAGACGCGACCGACCATGTAGTCCGGGCAGTACAGAGAGTTGGACAGGGCGTTTTTGTACGCCGCTTCATGCAGCTTCTCGATTACACCTGCGAAAGAACACAGAAAAAGGCCCCAAATTACATACAGTATGTAACCATTGGAGGGTCTGTTTTTTTATAATGAGACAAACATTTCTCTTCACCTCTAAATGACTAAATTCATTTTTGACACATGAAGCAACAGATGCAGGAACAATTAGGAATGTTTCATATTGGAACATTTGTTACCAAACAAGCATTATTAACAATGATATCAACAGCCCACTATGATTTTGTCCTCGGTAATTAAGAGACTAAAATAAGAAATTGCCAGTAATAATGTATGACACATGTTTGTCAGGTCCAATAATACTAAACGAGCAGGACAAAAAGTTGTGCAGACATGCCAACACAACATTCTAAGTTACTGTTAAGTAGATCGAGGCCGACGTTGTGCTGTTTCTACCAGAGACATAACTTCATGAAACCTGATGCCACTCTGCTGTTAGGAGCTCAACTGTTCCTGACCTATCTGAGGACTCTGCTCAGCCAGAGCCTTGTCGATCTTCACCCTGGACGTCAGATCGTCCACCTCCCATGGACGGAAGTCCTGAGCTGCGGTCACGTTGACCAAAAACTCAAATAACGAATCTCTGCACACACAAACAGATTAAAGTGACGTCAACAAATTGCACACCCGAGGCTGCTTTGTTGAGGCATCGACAAAGAATTTAAAAAAGCATTACAGACACTTACAGGTGATCTCTCAAAACGTCTGCAGTGTAGACCGTGGTCTCCCTTGACGACGTCACACTGGAGGTAAACAGACATGTTGGTTCAACACGGAGGGCTAGGGTTACGCTGGTATGTATTTATAGCCGTGTGCACATGTGTCACTGACCTCAGGCTGCCCCCCAGTGCTTCTACACCGCGACATATCTTGAAGGCCGACGCACCCTTTGTAGTCTAATAACATTTTTTTAAAACAGTTGGTGCACAGCAGGAACTAGAAACATATCGTGGGATGCCGTGTTCTACGATGCACTCGGCAAAAAAAAAACGCAGTGGAGGGAGAAGACACTTTACCAGGTTTGCAGCCAGGCGCAGCACGTGGGAGACGCCCTGGTTTTCCACAGTCTCGTACCGACTGGCGGCTTTCACGAACACCCCGACGCTGGACAGCGGGGAGTTGTTCTCCAGCGACGCGATCACCAGACCGCTCGGAAGCTTGGACACCTGAAATCAAACCGGTAAGGCAAACGAACGCGTTCGGTTTCTTTGTGTATCCTGCAACGGCTGCATGGACGAGGGCGGCGCCCACCTGCACATCCTGGGGGGGGAGAGGCGCGGGCGAGGATGAGGCGCGGCCCGCCAGGGGTTCGGACAACGCTTGGCTCCTCCTGGCAGCGGCATAGCAACGTTTCTGTGGGAAGAGGTCACACTAAATTGGAGAAGGGTCGGAGTGGAGAAAAAAAAAATACACTTTTTTGCAAGCGCACCCCTAAAGCAGGCCCACGTTGGACGCCTGTGGAGGAACACGATAACAGCAGCTGTCACACACCTGACAGAGTTTTAAGTACACAAGTGCTGGAAATATTCCTGTCGGTGTTTCCTTTGCAAACACCTCCTCCAAGAAATCAGAACAACCCTGAGGGGTCACAGCATGACCAACACGACACTTAAGCATTTAAAGGTTTATTGTACATTATGTTTATTTCTTATTTTTATCCCTGATAAATCCAGCCCTTGTGGTGGAGGTTTTACACATAAGCTAATGACCAAACAAAAGGGGTCCAGAGTAGACATTGTGAGTTTTGAGACTAAAGTAAAAAAAAAACTTTCAGGCGTCTAGTCAGTAAAATAATTGAGAAACCGATTATGTTGAACAGCGACTTTTAGATCAGATTACCTTTAGTTTTGTTTAAAGACACAATGAGTAATGACTATGCCTATACACTACAGACATCTTCAAAATGGAAAAGAGGGGTAACATCTGCACGCTACTAAAACAAGCGTTGTGTGGGTCAGAGAAGGGTGTCCCACAACAACACGCGCAACCTACACCAAGACCTTGAGTAACAAGCTCGTAACGAAGCTCGAGGCGGTGTATCGGTTCACACATCTGGATGGCACCAATCGAGAACAAAAAGCAAAAGGTGTAAATCGCCTGTAAGCGTAGAATATGTGACAAGTTTCGGAGATGACCTTCAGGTAGCATCCCGCTGAACCACACTGAGAGACAACGCTAAACGGAGCCGGTAGACTGCTGTGCGGTCTTTGAAGCTCGCAGTACACATGAGGTTCCGTGTAGTTAGCGGGGAACGATTCGGGGAAGTGTTACTAAAACAGAACAAGCAGAGCTTTACGTTAGCTTGTCAACTAGCCACCTAGCGAGCTAAAGCTAGCCAGCGGGCTAACGGCGCGCGACATGAGCGGACCGAGAATCCACAGCGGGGGGGGTTCAGTTCCGGTAGTTTACAGAGTTCAGATTAACGCGAGAAAAACAAAGAGACCCACCGGGAGATTGTTAAGAGACCGGATTCCTCTCATGACTCCAGTGATATCCTTCAACCGGCACAGAAAGACAGATATGGCTGACGCGTTACCCACAATCCACCGCTGCAGCCTATCAAAGATGATGCAGGATCTCAAGATAGTTGAGGCAAGCGAATGAAAACAGTTTGACGGCTAAAAAAACAAACATTAAAATTGCTTTCCTGCATCACTTTTAGGTTGACTTAAGCAAATTTGATCTAGAACTGAATACCAAACCAAATTAAATCGAGACTTTTCAAAGCCAGAAGTGTACTTACTGATGGTTCTTGCGTTGTGAATAAAAACTTTCTGACCAAGTCACAACCATGACAAATTTACTTTTCTTGCAAACATTTGTTTACGTTAAGCTTTTTCCAGAGATTAACTAGCGGTTTTAATATTCAATGTTGAAAACAATTTTTCTAGGTTTTAATATTCAATGTTGAAAACAATTTTTCTAGGTTGAAAAATTCAACAAAGCATGGATCTATCATTTAAAAACACAAAAAGCTATTTGTATTTAAGTCACTATTTAGTATGTGGTTATAGACTGCAACACGTTGAATTACAAATCTTTATTAGAATCCACTCCATTTAAAGTCACTCAAATGTATGACATTACAAAAATATACTCAACATATTAGAGGTGCTAACACAAATCATTCGGAACATAAAGTTTAATTACAAAAACACATTGAGACAACTCTTTTCACAGGTGACCTATGAAAATATTCATTTTTTCTAGCTCACAGAGCATCTTTTGACAGCGCAAAACATTTCACAGGTAGCGACACCCAAATAAATACGCCACGGAATAATACAAAAATACACTTTGTTGGCTGAGAAAACCCTCAAAGCTTTGAGGAGCTCGGACATTGAGAAAGCACCATAAACACACATCGCCGGGAGCGGAGACTGCTCACCGAGTCGTCAGCCGGCTACTTGAGAACGATGCAAAGTTTCCTTTTGACCTTTCTAGTTATGCTAAACTGGAATACCGCTGGCCGCCGGTAACCGCCCAAACGGCGCCGTGCCAAATCCCAGCATCATCTCGGCTCTGAGCTTCGTAGCGCACCTGGAACCCCCCCTCAAAATCCCCCTCCAACGCTCAGATGTCGCTTGGCGTCCTGGGGAAGCTACTCGTATGGACGTCCTTCCTCAGCTGCAGGGACACGCAGCTGAGCCAGCTGCGACTGGTGGGCATCTCCCCGACCATCTCCCACGTGTCCGTTTCGTCGCAGAAACACTCGATCGTGTCGTGATATCTGAGAGTAGAAAAAAAAGTGTTAGCAAACGGTGCTTGGGCTCTGGCGCAACTTCCCACCGGGATCAGACGAGCATTCGGTCCACAAAGTAACGGATGCTCCTGTAATTTGCTCCCCTCGCCCTCACCTGTCCCAGCCTTCCTCTCCTCCCAACACGTAGATCTTTCCGTCTACCACGGCGGCACCGGGCCGGTAGCGCCGCTCTTTCATGGGGGCGCACATGGTCCACTGATTGGTCTTGGGACTGTAACACTCCACCTTGTCGGTGTTCTCAGTCGACGCGTGCCATCCACCTGGGAGAACAAACGAGAGGTTGAACGCTTTTTCCCCCCAGGCTGCTTGTTGTTGATGCTGCTGCTTCGGCATCACACCTATCACATAGATCTTCCCCTTGAGCGTGCAAGCGGCCGAACCGGAGCGGGCGATCTGCATGGGTGCGACCTCGGCCCAAGCAGAGGTCTGAGGGTTGTACACCTGAGCGAGGTCTGTGCCGTCGCCGTCCTCCAGGACGGCTCCACCTGGCGGGACAGAGGAGCGGCTGAGAAAAATATAAAATAAATTGAAATCCAATCTAAAATAAAACAACAGCCGTGTTTGCTACCAGTGACGTAGAGCAGTCCGTCCAGGGCCACCACGGCAGGACTCGTGACGGCCATCTTGACGGACTCTTTGAACTGCCAGGAGTTGGTGTGAGGGTCGTAGCACTCCACCGAGTCCAGGCGCGAGCGTCCCTCCCAGCCCCCCACCGCGTACACGAAGCCGTCCAGCATCACCAGGCCTGAGCGAGAGGAAACACAAACCGCTTAAACATGACGACGGGCATCAAATGAGTCACTTGGAAAAGATTCAAGAGCAGTGTATCGGTTAACGGGGTACTTCAAATGAGTCGACGTCAATGAGGAACTCGCACTTGGGGAGGCAGGCAGCTCAGAGACGGCCTTACCCAACTCTGAGCGAGCGACATTCATGGGGGCCATCTCCATCCAGGAGTCGAAGCAAGGGTCGTAGCGCCACATCTCCCGGCTGGCCGAGCCGTCGGGGAACTCTCCCCCGGCCAAATACAGGGTGGAGTCTCCGGAGAGGAAGGTGGAAAGAAACATGTCACTGTCATGTCCACTGAGCTGCTCTTTATTTGGGGAGGGTTTAGGAAAAACAGGGCGGGGGGGGGGGGGGGGGGGTCACCATCCATTCAAGCCACCAATGCGTTTCAATGCGAATCGGGGAGGTCGCATCTTCTCACCGGACACCACCAGCCCGTGTTTGCTCACGGCGAAGGGGAGGCAGGCCAGGTTCTTCCACTGATGAGTCACGGGATCGAAGCTCTCGACGCTGCGCAGCACCACCTTGTCGTCCTCCCCGCCGACCGTCACGATCACTTCAGCTGTCCCTGTTGTCGCGGCAACGGGAGCAGAGGAACAGGCGGAGGAGTGAGCCGTGGCACGACGGCCTTCGGACCCTACGCTGAAGCGTTGCACAGATAAACCGTATCTCTGGGATACAAAGGAGACACGTGGAGGGCTGCAACTAATGATTCTTGTTTTAGTCTATAAAATGCAGAAAGAGCATTCTCACTAATTCTAGCATCAACATAACTTAAACTAGAATGTGTACCTCTTTATATAGAACGGGAGGTAAATATGCCAATAAAATATGTCAAACACATGTCTCCGTCACCTCCACCCCTTTTACACATTATAGCAAAATCCAGATTGTTTCCACGCAGTTTTGTATGTGGAGCGATTAGATTTACACTCGTGGTCACTATTCTATGTGTTCACTATTCCTCCCAAACCACCACCGCAACGGTTTCATCCTCGGTGCATTGCTAGAAAAGTATTATTTTTTTATTATCAAGTGTAGCGAAAGTATCAAACGCACTAGATTTAACAGCAACGACAAAGACTCTGCCTCCACCCGTCATGTGCCCGGTCGTGTCGGTAAAACACCTGTGGACCTGCGGGGCCTCGCTCTCGGGCAGTACAGCTCTCCTCGGCGGTCCTTCAGCAGCATGTAGTCCTTCGCCTCAGAGATGAGCTTCTGGCACCCCCGGTTCTCCTGCACCACGTCCAGAGACTCGATCACGTCGTGGAGGTAGTAGGGGCTGATGAGAGGCAGCCGGATGTGTTCAAGGACCTTTAAAAAAAAAACAAGAACAAGAGAGCTGATGATCCAATTCTTGTTGGATAGTCAGAGTGGATAAAAATGGTTTCAAACAAGAACACAAGTTGTTGGAATGTAATCCCCGATTTCTGAACGTCTTTGAGACCAACAGCTGACCGAATTAACGGCTCAGAACTTCCCCCGCTGAAGACGCTGGGGCACAGAGCGCGTGCGAACTGACCTTATCGAAGCTCTGCTTGCGAGAGCTGCATTTATTCAGCCACGACATGGCGGCCTCAAACACCAACTCCTCTTTGGGCACATTTAGAAAATCACTGGCAATGATTTCGGTCAGCTTGTCCACACACAGAGACAGGAACTCCTCCTAGAGGAAAAGGAAAGAAAAAACATCCTGCTTTGTAGAACAACGCACCATCCATGAGGGGACAGGCGGAAAGATCGCCTTGTTTCATGGTTTTTAGTGATAGGACTCTGAAGGAATCATGCTTTGTAGATTAACGAACCAATGAATTAACCCCTTAATTCAATATTTGAAGTAAACTGTCCTCTCCATCAGCATCTCACCTGCTGAGAAACACCGCCGAAGTGCTCGTGGATGTAGTCCATGCTGTGTTTCTCCAGAGCTTTACAAGAATGGGCCTCGGCAAAGCAGTGGATCCCCACGCAGTTCATCTCGTCCATCTGACGCTTCATAAACTGACAACAGGCCTCTCGCACGTCCATCACGTCCAGCAGATTAGCCGCTGCCAGCAGCGCCTGGACCGGATGGGTCAAGCTTCAGCAAAAGGAGCTACTCGTCGGGGACGGGGTGGTGGGGGGGGGAAGAAAAGAAAAGAAATAATCCTTACCTGCACATTTGCTTTGGAAATGTAGACCTGGGACGTGTAAGCGTAGCTCACCAGCATGCCGATCATCTGAGGCTCGACCCCATTGATGGCCACGCGCTCCTGCTTGGACTCGATCAGGTCGGTGGAAAACATGGCCTGAGGGGAAGGGAGAGCAAAGACACGACTGAGAGTGTGAGTGTGAGGGAGGAAGAGAGGGGGGGGAGACACACAGAGAGACAACCTTCCTTTACCTGGAAGTAGGAGCTGAAGGAGGCCAGCACGATGCGATGGCACGGGAACTCCTGTCCTCCACAGCACAGGGTCACGTCACAGAAGGCGTTGTTGAGCCGCAGGCTGTTCAGGCCCTGCAGGACGGTGTTGGGGTGTCTGGCCTCCACGAACAGGTAGTCATCGCCGCTCAGGGAGTGCCGGAGGGGCGGAAGAAGAAGCGGCGGCGGCGGCGGCAGAAGCAGCGGCGGCAGCATCTTCCTGGAAGAGGAAGGTGACGTTCATTGTGGACGGCGAGGACAACCCGCCGCTGACGCGCACCGTTTCGGCCATGTCTCACTTGGCTAGCCGAGCCTGGGAGGGTTAAAGCGGAGGAGAGAGAGAGACGGGAATTAGTTGGTTCGGTACCGCTGCTGCTCACTGAGGGAGCTCCAAGGTTCCATTTGTAAAAGTCGCGGGGAGAAACGGGCTCACGTACGACGCGCAGTTAGCCGTTAGCGGTCCTCCGTTTGATCCAAAACAAACACCGGGGTTACGAATTGAAGGCTCGTCGGCTGTGACATACCTGCTGGACACGCTCGTGACTGCGAGCCCACTCCGTCCACCCACAGACGATACACCAGCACGGTTTAAAGCCTCTCACCGGAAGTCCCTCCCACGGGCCAAGAGAGGTCACCTCGATGTACTTCCGGCTTCGCTTCAGGTCCTGCGCGTGCACTTAATTAACGCTCAGGTCGTAATTCATGGGTCGTGTTGAAGTTGTTGTTAAGGTTAACCAAGGTATAGTTTTAAAATAATTGTATACAATTTAGATAAACACATGGCATTTTGTTTTATAAATGTTGTGTTTATGTATAGTGGCTTCTTGACTTTTCCTATTGGTTATGCTTCGTTTTTGTTAAAACATCATTTAACGTTTGTGGCCAAGAGCGTTTGACAGGGCGAACAGAACTATCTCTTTTTACATTACATTACCATTAGGGATTGTCTTGGCTTTGGCTGAATATTAATCAGCTTCTGAAATGTTAAAAGCCCCACTATGGTCACCAATTTTGTCCGCAATTTGGTGTCGGACCAAAAATATACAATGGTTTTATGAGGCTTATAGTCTGAAAATAACTGCCTGGTGTTTCTGGTGAACATCTGTGTTGAACTGTAAGATATACAAATCGGCAGAATTCTTCATGCTGTGTATGTGCTGTTAAATTGTTTAATTCTATTTATTTTCTTGTGTCTTACTTGCTTGTAGTAATCTAACCAGATTTATGTCCCCACAAAAGTAATGAAAACTATAGGAGACACAGACACATCAAATTAACTTTTTTTGCTCAATTTATTTGGCAATAATCAACAATCAATTTGCCAAAATTAGAAATGAAAATCCGCCACTGACTATTTCATATATAGCGAGATCAATGAATAATACATTCTGTACCAAAACATCTCTTGCTTTTGTGGATTCAACATCAAGTTGCTGGATGTCTTTGTGGCTTCAACATAGATCATTCTCTATTAACAGATGATTGGAAAATGTCAATACAAGTTTGATACTTTCCTGCTAGAAATTGTTGTTTTGAGAAACATTTTTGTTGAATCATCTTTGTTTTATAGCGAAAATCAATGTCTTGGCTCTATTTACAAAAAGTACTGACTTTTTTTAGGCATCAAACACAATTGCAAATCCCTGTAAATGTCTTTTAGATCACAAGTTGCTGTCCTTCATGACGCCAGGAGTCTTCAATGTGTTCTTTCTGCGAGTAACCGCTTCCAGGATCTTCTTCCTTGGTCCCAGCTGGATGCGAATGCCTTTCAGGTCTTCATCTGAGCAAAGCATCAGCGCCTCCAGGTCTAGGTGTTCCCTCCTGAATGCGGGAGCAAACTCTGGCAAGGAAATGGTAGACAAGAACGCATCCAATGGCGAGGTTTCCTCATCGTCGTCATCATCCAGTCCAAGATCTTCCTGATCCCAGGCCTGATCAGCATCATCATTCCCCTCGAAACCAGCGCTGTCTTCCTCAACATTAAACAACTCGTTCTGGACGAGGTAGCCAAGACTTTCGTTGTTCCCGCTCGGGGCGTCCTCTGACTCCAGCCCCATCTTCTTCATAAAGATCAGACCTCCAAGCCCAGGCCGATTGAAGATGGACTGCTTGACTTGCCCGTTCTCGTCGTTGTCGTGATCATGATCGACCTCGTCCAACATGCTCTCGTCCTGCTCATTGAAGACACCCATAAACTCCGGCTCCTCAGACGCTGCACTGTCCTGTTTGAGGAAAATGACGTTCCCGTCCCCTCCCGGCCTCTGCAGTGTGCCTTTCTCTTTCTTCCCGAGCCTCTTCTGCAGCGTGCCTTTGACCCTGGCTGTAAGGGAGCCAGATTTATCCGCAGCAATAATTTTGGAGAACTGCTCGTTGACACCGGACATGGTGCCACCATCTGAGAAACCCGACGCCATGCTGGCCTCCGACAGGGAGCCGGCGCCGCCGGCGCCGCGCTGCATTTTATCCATCTTGCTCTGGTGTTTCTTCTTCACCTTCTCACAGAGCTTCACACGCTTCTCCGCTTCTTTGACGGCCTCCTTCTTTAGATTGGCGACCTTCTTGGGGTTTTGGGTGGTCTGCTGCGAGGCGGCGTCGTCTAGGAAGCGCACGCAGTCCATGCGGTCACGGGACGCAGCGACGTCCATGGCCGTGTGGGATTCATTGTCCAGGGCGAAAAGGTTGGCACCGAAGTTGACCAGGAAACTGAGGATGTGCATGTGGCCGTTGGCCGCAGCGTGGTGCAATGGGGTGTTTCCCCAGATGTCACTCCGGTCAGGGTCACCTCTGCATGACACAAAAGATTGTATTTGACTGCAAGTACTGATCCAGAACTTGTATATTTCTTGCTGCATGTTATCCCTGATTGATATAATAATGATTCTTCTTCTTCCTTCAAGTTAATACAAGTTTCTAATGATGATTTCATTCATCGGAGGATCAAGAAAATCCACTTTAAAGGTGTGAATATTTATTCGAAACAAGGTCCCAAGGAATGCCGACATAAATCCCCAGGTATAAACTATAATCTTCAATCAAATGTTCCTCAAGACTTGTCACACGAATACACAATACAACAAAAATAAGTTCAAATAAACACATTTTCTGAAATAGAAAGTATTAATGTAAGGAAATCATTTGACATGAAGTTTTACACAAAATAATATCAAACTGCCTAATTGGTCACTTATTAAGATTTAAAGTCCTCCCTGGCCGTGCCTCATTGTCACAGCCATAAAAGTCCTCATAACTGTATTTCTGCAACACACGGTCATAAATTCACCCGACTAAAGCGGAAAAGGCTTCCATCATTTTATGGCCACGTAGTTTACAGGTGCATTGCTCCCAACTCAATATCCTACACACATATTTTCTGAATGTCATTTTTCAGTGAGGATGTTGTTCTAGATTTCAGCCTGTCCTTTGTTGTGGTGAGTGAAGGCAGGACGTTGGGGTGGGGGGGGACGGATAAAGGGCTCTTTTGTTGCAGCCTTTCTTTGGCTCATTAAACATTTGGCTCAGCTCAAGGGGGAAAGTAGAATCAAGCTTTGGCTCGTTATATTATGGTGAAAAACCCAGATGAGGTACTAAATAACTGTTGCGTGTTAAGGTATCAAGCACATCTCTTTTCAGCCACAATGGTCTTTTAATGTTAGTTTAGTTTAGTTTTAGAGCATCAAAGATACAATATGATGGTAGACTCTGTATTATACAAATATTCCCATAACAATACAGCCAGAAATGAAAGAGAACTGAGTTGATAATCATGGCGATAAAGCTTTCTGTATGTGAAATGAGGAGGTAAAGAGTGTAACATGCTTACTCTCTGCTGCATATGAGCTGAAGCGCGTCGACGTGTCCGTGGAAAGCAGCCAGTAAGGTGGGAGTCATGCCATCCTCATCCGCGGTGTTCAGGTCCTTCCTCGTGGCCTCTTTTAAGAGGTCCAAGTATCCATCAATTGCCGCTTTGTGGTACCTAGACATCTCTTCACAAGAATAGAAAAGGTCCAGACAAATCTGCCACTTTCTTTCACTTTTTTCTCCCACGCTCCGAACAGATTCACAGAATCACTCAAGCGGAGACAGGAGCAAACAGGAGTGGTCATGGGCGTCAACGGATAAGCAGCTCAGAGCCATAAAACAAAAGCAAAGTCCAGGTCCCTGCTGTCAGCTGAACAATTCAACTTCTAACACTTGAGATCATCATCAGGAGTTATTTAAAGTTTAATTATTAAGTGTGGTCAAAGTGAGATTTTCAGGTTTTCAAAGTACACTTAATTCTACTTTACAATATTTATTTTGATTCTACCACATTTACCTCTACATACACATCCATATAGGTGCACTTGCTTCACAGATTAAGATTCTCAGAATAATAGAATAATTTTATAAGCTATAACACTTCATTTAATAATATAGTCTATAAAGTAAAGGTTGAAATGATCGTAACCTCGACAAGCTTAGAGTAAGATGGATCAGTACAATGTTATATATATATAAAATATATCAATGGTGAAGATGTTCAGATCTTTCGCTAAAAATATGCAGTAATGTGAATGTAAAATGAAATAGTTTTAGTAGTTAAATAGTACATATTAATTCGCCGTCCCATAGCTCGTGAAAAAAAACACCATTAAATTATTTGGTAAATATGTTAAAGACACAGGTAATACCGATCTTTAATTAGTTATTGTTTAACGAATTTTATATTATTGAATAATTATTAAATATGGCATTACAATTAGATATGTGAAGTTTTACTTGAGCCAACAGTTGCTTTATTGAAATATGCGGTTATTAAAAACGATTTAAAAAAAGAAGCGAAAGCACAGCTTTTAATTTATTTGCTGGATGTTTTGTGTTATTGATTGGTAATCCACCACTGCACTTTCGACTTCGTGACTGTGACGCATATCCACGGCTAGCTAAACGAACGAAGAAGAAGAAGAACCAACGAAGAAGAGAAGTTGTCAACCCGGTTCAGCAGTCCGCCCGCAGCCAATGAATACCGACTGCGAGAAAACACTGATCGCTAACTTTCCTCTCTTTGTCATCTTTCTTTCTTGTTGTTGAAACACCGCCGAGTTGCCGCCGCGGACGTTTCCGTAACGTCCCCTGAACGCAGCTCTTAAACAAACAGAGCAACCGACCACCGGCTCCGCGGTTCCTTCCCGGCTGAAGTGTTCCGGGGTCCGCGGCGCGGCGGTCTGACCGCAGAGATGTCCGACAACGGGGGCTCGGCCGTCAGCCTTCTGTCTTACGAGACGCTGGTTCATGCCGTGGCCGGAGCGATGGTGAGCGGAACACGAGAGTGACTTGCATGATTGATTGATTGACGTTTAAGAAAAACCACCACTGTTGTTGTTTTGTTACTTGAGTGAATGCTGGTTTCATAACAGCGGATGGTGTCTTTCAGGGGAGTGTGACGGCGATGACGGTCTTCTTTCCCCTGGACACCGCTAAAAGCAGGCTGCAGGGTGAGCCTGCTGTCAACATACACGTATTTACATAACTGAGTTATTCACCACAACTGGTTGGTTTGTTTATTGTAGTTTTCTGCTGTGAATTTAAGGTCTTACACTCAGGTCAAGATAACCCTGATGGGTTATTTACTTATTTAAAATGAGAAAGCTTCTCCAAAGCCACAGAAAATGTTACACGAGCAGAGAGGAGGAGTGGTACCCGCTGATTTGTGTTTTGTCTTTTAGTGGATGAGATGAGGAAGTCCAACTCCACACCGGTCATCCTGGCCGAGATAGCAAAGGAAGAAGGCCTGTGAGTAAAAGTTCTGTGCTGGCTTAAATGTCTTCTTCATAGATTGATTTTTTTTATGGAGAACCGCCAAAGTTTTCTCTTGATCCAGCCTCCTCATGGAGAACACTTGGTTGGTGTTTTACCAAGTTCTGACCCTCCATCTCTTCTCCCAGTCTCTCCCTGTACAGAGGCTGGTTACCAGTCATCTCCAGCCTCTGCTGCTCCAACTTTGTCTACTTCTACACCTTCAACACGCTGAAGAAGCTGGCGGCGTCTGGTCCGGGGAAGTCCAGACCAGGCAAAGACCTGCTCATGGGGGTCGTATCAGGTAGAAACTTCAACATCAGGGGTGGAACCAACACTCATTGTCATTGTTTCATCTGGTGATTTATTTTTTTGAATAGGTCGAAATGTGAAAATTGCAAAATAAAATGTCCGTTATGCAATAAGAGTCACTTTTTGTTAAATATCTTAGGTCAAACAAGTTCAAATATCTTAAACCATAAGTCCCTTTTAATTGATTCATGGACTGACGTGTGGATCCATGAAATTGCGTGATTGTATGAGCTCCTGGAGGTCAAAAACTCCCATGTAGTACCGTTTTTTTGTTTTTTCAGGGCAGATTCAAAAAAGCTAATGATCCGTTGTTTGTACAGGGATGGTGAATGTGATCCTGACCACTCCCATGTGGGTGGTCAACACGCGGCTGAAGCTGCAGGGAGCCAAGTTCAGGAACGAAGACCTCCAGCAGACCCAGTACAAGGGCATCTTTGGTGTGTGAGACATTTACAAATCCATCTGTTGTAAAGTTCTGGCATGTTTTGTTTTCTTCTCGCTGCACAGTTGTAAATCCCTTCTGTGTTTTGGGCTTTTCCCCCCTCAGATGCTTTCTCGCAGATCGTAGCCAATGAGGGTGTGGCGACTCTGTGGAACGGCACCCTGCCCTCTCTTATCCTCGTCCTCAACCCGGCTGTGCAGTTCATGATTTATGAGGCCATGAAGAGGAAGGCGGGCAGAGGAGGGAAGAAGGTGAGGCATGGACGTTGTTGTGTGGAACACTGCGTTACCGCAGCTAATCAGCTTAACGGCCCTCTGATGACAGAAATGTTCTTCTTTAATCGTATTAAAATGTTCTGTTGCTGCACATTTCGTTGTGTAGAAATTGCAATATTATGTCATGCTTTAGGGCAGAAATCGAACAAGACAAAGAGTTTTTGTCAAGGTATCAGCCGTGTTTGTACCATTCCTCATTTAGGCACTTTGAATGTAATGGAAATCCATTTAATAGTAACAGTTGGATCATAGAGGTGCCATCACTGACGTCGCTGTCTCTAAAGCCTCATGGCTCGTCTGTCGATTTGTGTGGCAATGAGCCGCTGTTCATTTTATGTTCTCATTCTACTATCGATCAAATGGGTCCATAAGTGTTCAGGCAAAAAGCGCTGGATATGAGTGGATTAAATCTTCTCTGTCTCCTTCCACAGATCTCCTCAGCGGAGATCTTTCTCATTGGAGCCATTGCCAAGGCCATTGCTACCACTGCAACATTCCCTCTTCAGACAATTCAGGCCATCCTCAGGGTAAATATTAAGTAACGCAAAATGTTACCCGTTGGTTTACTAGCGCATAATGGCTGAGGATAATCTGGTTTTAATTTTATTTAATCCATATCGGATGCAGAATATCTTTGAGACATCTATCTCATGTCTCAATCTAATTAAATCAAAACCAAGAGGACCTGCTCAATGCATTTTTCTCCAGTTTGGCCAGTATAAGGGTGACGGGAAGGCCGGTGTGATCGGAAGCCTCACAAACATATTCTCCATGCTGATGGACAGAATCAAGTGAGTGCAGCTACGAACAGGAGCCCGTCGGCGGGGACGTTTTTTTTAATAATGGCTCACCGTTGATATCGGTTGTTTCCTCGACCACAGGAGGTACGGCGTTCTCGGCCTGTACAAAGGCCTGGAGGCCAAGCTGCTGCAGACGGTGCTGACGGCTGCCCTCATGTTTGTGGTGTACGAGAACATCACCACTGCTACCTTCAAAGTCATGGGCCTGAACAAGAAAGTGAAGCAGTGAACCAACGCCTGCTTGAATTCAGCGGACCATTTGTGCATTGCGTCTCCAGTAGATTTAATCGACGCCTAAAAATGTGATTGTAGATTAATTCCAGGAAACCGATTTAGTCACATAAATGATGTCATCAGAGAGGAGATTGGTGCTCCAGAACTGGGCGAGATACTTTTATTACCCTCATTTTTAACCTCTAACTAGTAGCATTTGTATAAAATAGTGTTTATTTGATCTCTGTTGAGATGGTTTTAATCAACCGTACTGAGATATTCATCACAATATACAGTAAAGGGAAATACCTCCATTGGCTTTCTTACTGAGAGATGGAGGAGATAATGGATACCGCTCATATGAAAGGACTCCAGGAAACTACTGATCAGGACCAAGTAAATGTCGTGTAACATGCGAGCTTTGGGGGTGAAGGTAGATGCATTTCGTTACTTTTGGACAAAGCCAGGCTACCTGCTTACCAGCTTCCGGTGTTTGTGCTACGCTAACTTTAGTAACTGCTGCAGCTTCAGTGTTTCAGACACTTAGAAGCTTCTTTCCCAAAATGAAAAAAAAAAACTTTCCCTTCTACATTAGATGCTTTCTGCAAAGGATGAGACCAAAAAGAGGGGCCAGTTAAATGGAGGAATGCCTTGATGTAAGCTGCTGGAACATTCTTCAAACACTCTTTTTATGTTTTAACTTGAATCTTCATGAAATTCTTGCCAAATGAAAGTTTGTTTTTTTAACATGTTGAGTTATGATGTTGTAAATTAAACAAAGATTAACAGTAGTCACAATAATGTTGAGACGGAGAATAGCTTCCTTTCATTTTTATAGAGTTGTGTGTAAAATCTACAGTTGTAATATATTACGTCAAATTGAATTAAGCATGAATGGAAATGAGTCCTTAACAATACACTGAGTAACATTTACATGTGTAGAAATGTGCCAGTTAGCGCTAAGTGCCTCTAAATGTACACTAACTGGTATAAATGCTGTGATGACTGTTGACGGTTTACACAAGTCCGTGATGCACTGACCCGTCGGTGATTGTATTGATCTCTTAGGCCATTTTGTCCCGTATTCGTCTGCCTTTGTTGGTTTGTGTTCTTTTATCAGTGTTTACAGGTTGGCAGTAATTTACTTAAGTTGCTTGGACACTGCGTTCTTTCACCTTGAGACCACTTGGAAAGAAGGTTAACGCGTTTGTTTCTATTGGTGGTTCAATTTGCTGAGCTGAGTTTTTAATCATTGCGAGAGTTTCTGTCAATATTTCTTGGTAACATTGGTAACATTTGTCACGTGTGGGACTGTTCCTCGTATTAATCAGGTCCAGTTCTGAAGCCTGGTTGCACACAGTAAGAAGAGAATGTCCAATTTACCAAAGAACAGAACGGACGTTGCCAGATATTAGGTTGTTATTTACTGTTGTTGTTGCACCATGTATGTGAACGTCAGCATAAGGAATTATGATAAGTACACGGTGATCCTTTTTATGTTTAATATTGAATAATTGTATTTTAAAATGGGACGTAGAACAAAGGCTTTATGAAAAAAAAATATATATGTAAATTAGTGAGTCAGCAAGTCTGCAAGTCTGGCAGGGCAGAACATTAGACAGAAAATAGCTAAATCAGAGGATAGAAAGTTTGTTAAATAGGAGGCAGCTCTGAATAAAGAATATCTCCGCTAAGGCAGAAGGACATTCATTTATTCAATAGTAAAGAAGCCAAAGCTAGTGTTTGTGTCACTATTCATTTTAAAACAACGCCAGTGATGCAACGCTTACAAAATACACCATGCAGATTAATGAAAATGTTTTCTCTCAACACATAACATGAATAAACCTTGTAACTGGGGATGCAATGCTAACTTGAAGTCATCATTTATTTACATTTTTTTTTAATTACATATATTGTTCTCTAACTTTTGCTCAATTAAAATCCAACAATAAACCACTGTTCCAGGCATTTAAAATTCATAATGAAATCAGATTCCTCCATCTGAGGTGTGAAGGGACATTAAAAATGGACCATTCTTGGTTGTGAGTCAGGGCTGATGGTGTGCGTCCGGCCTACTGCTCATCTCCTCCACAAACCAGTGTGGCAGGAAGGAATACTGGGAGTCCCTGTGGACGGAGAACGTCACATCTCTGCGGGGCTCCGAGGAGAACAGGTACACCACGCTGGAAGGGCAATAGGGGTTCAAGATAAGACGTTTGCTTCAGAAGAAAAAAGGTTGAACCGCATCGTCTCTCACTGCAACTGACCTCGGATGGTCTTCGATGGCGATTTGCTTCACGAATGACAGGAAATCACAGCAGAAATTCATACAGACCGTTGGCTTCCAGCAGTTGTGTTCGTTCTGTCCAGAAAGAACACACAAGACGGAAAAAGGTTTTTTAGTTTCTCAATGTTTAAACAAGCTTTTCATGACTATTCGTTTATCGCGGGCAGATTATAAATAATCGCTGTACCTTGATGAGTTGTGAAATCTTAGAGATGGGGAAAGTGTCCACATTGACGACCACGCCTTCGTCATCCTTAAAACCAGCCACAACGCGGGGAACTCCCGGGAGAAAGGACTGAGCCCACCACTTCAGCAGTTTGAACCTGAGGACCACCAAAGGGAAGATTTTAACAGCTTTTAGTGGCTAAAATCAAACTGACAGCGTGCGGTTAAAAATATATATTTTAAAAAGGTGGGGGGAGGAACTATGTGATGTTCCACTGCCTTTGTCATCTACCTGTGAAAGTTGCTGCGCTGTTTGGGGGTGCAGATCTCCGCTGAGGTCTTTAACTCGACGTAGCACGCAGGAGGAGCTGGAGCTTTGGGGTCTTTGTCCCGGCAGTCCACCTCACCGGAGAACAGGAGTCTGTGATCGGCCAGCCGGGTCTGCACCACGGTGCAGAAGGCCTCGTTGGTGTTGACCACTCCGCCCGGGTCAGGCAAACTGTGGACGTCGTCTGCAGGGACGGCCAAAAGGGGAAGCGGTGTCTCTCAAGTGCTTTCATTTGATTAGGATTCGTGTGTTGAATCAAATTAAACGGGGGATTGGAATGTTTGTTAGTCTTTGATGTGATTTCAAACCCAATATGTTTTTGGTTTAGAGGGTAGATGTTAATTATTATATCAAATACCTTCTTAATTGCCAGGGCTTCAGTTCATTTTGTGCAATGAAAAAAAATCTATATAATGATCAATCACCAAAAAATAGGGTTAACATTTAGTACTATCTTGTGCAAGTGCCTTCATCATTTCAAGGGTTAAATGTGAAAAAGAAATGTAATTTATTACTTGGATTACTAGTCTTAGTGATTTTTCCTTTCCTGGCAGAATTGGGTTCCCACAGTCAAAATACAACACCGATGTGATCTTTTGTAATGCAATTTGATTTGATTAAACCGCAATCAAGGTTATAAAAGAAAACCGAGTTAATATGAAGCCATATCACAAGAACCCACCCACCTACCTGCGCATGTGTACTGCTCAAACTTGTATCCCCAGTACATCATCTCCTCGTGTCTCTCAGTGCGGTTCTCCTGTTCCCGTCGAGCCGCTTCCGTTTCCACTTCGCTGATGTACAGCGTGCCCTTGAACCTGGTGACCGCCAGCAACCAGCCCTCGCGCATCTCGTAGGGGGTGGTCAGCAGCTTGGTCAGATGGCCGCGCCACGTCACAAAGTCGAAATCTAAAGCACTAGGAAGAGCAGAGGTAGAACCCAGAATAAGGATCCAACCGGAGAGTTTTGGTTAGAGGTGGTTGGAGTAGCAACTACAGATCCCAGGGGACTATTTACCTGACCTGCAGCTGTTACCATTATTAAGAAGAAGAAGAAGAAGACAGAGTAAATACTAACAGTGACACTTACCACGGTGAGGCTGCAGCCCCCTTTGAGCAGAGCTTTGATTTATTAGCCAAGATCCATCGTAGGATGTGATCCAGCTTCTCCTTCACGTTTCCGTCTCTCTTTATATAGCGGTCCTTGTATCCATCCCTCAGGTCAAAATTAGGATTTCTTTCAGGTTCCACGTAGTATCTCATCTGCCTGCCGTCATTGAAGAATCGACGCTCAGAGTCCAGGGAAAAACATCCTATTTCGACTGGCTGTTTGTACACGGGAAAGTCTCTTTCATACAGCTCCTTCCGGGTGCTCAAATTTGGCGCTGGCCCAGACTGATGATGATGATGATGCTGCTGCTGCTGGTTCGGTCTGGAGCGTTTATTCTCACAGTGATTTCTTCCCCCGGCATCTCGGTGTCGTCTGTATGCTGACTGGGGGTTTTGGTAGCTCGAGTTGGGATTGTGGGATCTGTGCTGGTCCATTGCTACAGAGTGGGGGAAAAAAGAGAATTGATTTATGAAAGATGGAAGATTCTGATTTTTTTTTAATCTAGTGATTGTCTTGCCCTACTGTCAGAAAATCCACAAAATGTAAATAAACTAAGTATGAATAAAAGATGACAAGACAACCCACTATGAGTTTCATAGAGCATCACTTATTATGTATGCTTCATATTGAGTATAATGGATGCTTATGGCTAACTGGATCCCACGGTTACTTTTATTGTGTGTATTATTACGGGATCAACAAAGTTTATAAGAGTAATCGATGTTTGCACCTCAATTGCACGTCTCACTGTGACCTGTGTAAATAACTATATATTAATGCAGACATACAACGTAAAGACGCAGATGCTTGTAACGAGTGTTGTGTGCGTGTGAAGTGTGTCTTTATTGACGAATAAGACGTGTGTTTCTGGGCATGCTTGTTGTATATTAGGTAAATCAAGGGTTAAAGAAATATCTCGTTTATGTTCAATAAAACTACTTTATTGCAACTAACGTTAACTCAGCTGTTATTAAATTGAAAACCTAACGCACCGTGGTCAGCATGCACATCAAAATCAGCTTACGTTAAGATAATGTTACCTTTTCTTTCAATGCCCCGTGAGACACAATAATAAACGGGATTTTGTTGTCGACCATCACATGTTGCAGCTTCTTTTCTAATAGACCCCAAAAGGGACAGAAAGAAAACAAGACGTGTTTCGGTCTCGGTGGCGGGATAGCTAATAGCATCACAAGCTAACTACAACGCTCCCTGTCGACAGCAAACTCGACGCTACTTCCGCATCCTGTCTTTCGTCCAATCAGCGCGATGGAAGCCGCGACACTTCCGGGCAAAACACAAAAAAGAGTTTTTAAACTCTCCGCTGGAGCTGTGGCAATAAATGTGTCCAAAGCGATGTGAATACACACATTGATTGCTATAAGTAGCAATTAGGTAAGCGTTTTAAACTAATGCTAGTTTATTTGTTCAAACATCGAATCCCGTCGTCGGTGTACACCCATGTGTACACGACACGTAGTGTTAGCCGAGTCAGCTAACGTTAGCTGCAAACGTGGATGGTTAACGTAACGGTACGTTAAGTTAAATATAACTAACGGTCGGAATAGCTTTGCTATCAAAAGAAGCAAGACTAGATAAATTAATCGGTGGCTCGAGTTGAATTGCTTCCTGTGTGAATTTGACAAAGCTAGATTATCGTTTAGATTTAAAAAACAACAACTAAGGTTAACCTCGCTGTCTAACAGTCGTTAGTTACCATTAACTAAATTCACTGAGCTATGGGACACACACCTGATGATGAGAAAAAGCAAGCATCTCGACAAAGTATTAATTCAATCGACAACTGGCGTTTATAAGCAACTGTTTATTCCATCAAACGTGAGGGGGATGTCATTTATTGTATTTACAGTATTTCCGATGGCCTGAATACTAAAGACTCTTCCCTCCATCGGGTCTGTGGAGACAGAAAAGCAGCTGTCTGGCTAAACCGGTTTATTCTGCAGGTCCTCTGACACGTTCTTTCCCCCCTCAGGTATGAACAGGAAACGGGCTTTGATTTCAGACACTTTCAAGGTGAAGAAAAGAAGAAATGGGACACAGAAGTTCGGAGCAGTCAGCGATGGAGACGGTAGGTGTGGCCGTTGAAAGTTAATATTTGTTTCTGCAATTTCTCACTTCAGATTAAAACTCATCGATTTACTTTAAAAGGGCCGACTGACATCCGATCCACCCTCGAGTATCTTGCGACGCTGTTCCCCAGGAAGCTCTTCAACGACAGCTTGCCTCAAATTGTCCTCAAGCACCAACTCTACAGCATACACGACGACAAGACGCTGGTGGACAAGGAGCTGGTGAGACAACTTCTCAGTGTTCAGAAGGTCCTGTGCGCCTCCCTCTGAATGTGGAAAAAAAACCCCCACTTCCCTTCTTCTTCTGGGCCCGCAGAACAAACTGCGAGAACAAGGAGAGCTGCTGATGTTTCAGCTCGGCTTCGACGCGGACGCTTTCGGGCTGGTGTTTGCCGCCGATTACAAGTCCAAAGTGCTGGCGGGGGAGGACGGCCGGGCTACGCGGGCCACCGTGGAGAGGTTCTTGGCGAAATTGCTGTCTCCTTGCACAGAACTGAGCTTCAGCAAAGACAAGATGCTCAAGGAGTTTCTCTTCACGGACTCCGAGATCACGTATGAAAGACTCCGCTCGATCTCGTGTCATGTTTACTTCTAGTTTGTGAAAATACATTTTTTGAAAGATCAGCGCACATCTGTATTTTCTCTCACTCCAGGCAGCTGGTGAAGTCGGGGGTCCTGACTGTGAGGGACGCAGGCAGCTGGTGGCTCTCCATTCCCAACTCTGGCAAATTCACCAAGTACTTCATACAAGGTGTGGCGAGGCGGTGAAACACAGTAACACTGTGGCTAAACGGCATTTCTGTCAGGGCTAATTGGAGGACTGCTTTCCCCAACGCTCCTCTCGTCAGGTCGGAAAGCCGTGCTGGGCATGGTGAAGAAGTCCAAATACAGCGAGGTCCTAAAGGCGGAGCTAGAGGAGCGGCGAACAACCTCGCATGTGAAATTCCACATGAAGTACCACATCCATGACATCGTGGGCGCAGAGCTGGTAGAAAGGTGACATTTGCTTGTTAAAAAAAAAAGATATTGTTCTGAAAAGGGTTGGATTTTGGTTTTTATTTGCCTTTTTTGCAGTAGGTGAAAGGAAGGGTGCTTGATGAAGCTGCTCCTGCATTTATGATTTATGCTGCTCAGTAATTGAGGGTTTTATTTGTTGCCTGCTTGAACAACCCTCGGGACATAAGCTGGGTCTCGGGTGTATGCGGTTGTCAAAAACGTTCAAAAAACAAGCCAGCTGGGCCACTGTTGTGTCAAATCTAAAGTGAAGGCAGCTGTTGGAGACTATTGGAGAAACTGTTTATTGCATCTTTGTTTTCTAAATCATGACTTTGTTTTCTTCCCAGCATACCTACAACTTCAGGGACATTGTTGCGATTTGTTGACTCCTGAATCTCTGCAGCAAGACGGAAAATCGGTGCTTGGTCAAAGCCTGAGAGATTTAAAAAGTTTTTGGAAAAGGTTTTATTAAGTATTATGACTGATGGTAAATTAATTGAGATTTCTGTTCAATTGTTGGACAAATGCCTTATTAAAAGAAACCTTGTGGGTTTATGAATAGTCTTATGATCACATGACCGTGTCAGGTTTTGATTTAAAATAAAAATGCTTTCTTTATCTCATGCAATATAATTAATTTGCACACAATACAAGCATTTTGATCCAAATCCACTTTATTGCCCCCGACTTTAATACGACTGCTCCTTGATGTTTGAACTTTGAGCCTCTTTACTTTCAACGACCAGCCCGATCAAAGCCTCACAACTGACGAGAAGGCAGATTGTTGGAGTTTATTTTTTTTAATAACTGGCCACTTTACATTTAGTAAGATTACCATGTTTAACAGGTATTACTTGCACTTTTTCTTTGAGGCAGTGCTGCACACGACTGCATTTATATTAATGTTTTGATATTCTTCCATCTTCATTTGTAAATTGGGCAGAACAGTAACTGTTCCATGTGGACTCTAACATTAAATGCTGTTAAATTCCTCTGGCACCCTCATTGAAATATTTATGGAAGAACTGCCTGTTTTGTGTCCTTAACTCCATGGTTGCAATATTATGTAACATTACATTTATTATAAAACTTCTGAACAGATACAAGCTTTTGGAAGACTGCTAAAAGTTGACAGGTCAGTTTAAGCACTTTGAAATTCTTACGCTTGAGCAGCCAGTGTTGCATCAAGGGAAAAACTGCGGCGTCGCAGTCCAACAAAGAGGCAGAAGAGTTGGTTTCACTTGAATTTATTGGCTTTTTCAAAAAGTGACAATAGCTTTTATCAGTCAGTCTAAAGAGTTACAACATTGGCCTCAATTAAAGCACAGCTGGATGTCTGAATACAATACACATGAGCAACATGTACTTAACCCCTGATCTAGTGGTTCAAATACATTTTGTAAATAGGCCAAAAAAATATAACCATTGCAATTCTAAATCTTCGTTTTCAGTATATGTTGCACGTACATGCGATCAGCAATAATTACAAAAAGCTAGGCTTGTAGGGAGATTAAGGTAGCGTTAACTGAAGAGGTAACAAACAAAAGGATATTCATAGTGTTAGTTTAAACAATACAGTGAGTGAAGTGTAATTTCTGCAAAGGATACAAAACAGTCAAATAATATGATTATAAACAAAGATGAGTACGCTGACCGACAACAGCTTTGTTACCGTCGCTAGCGGCCGTAAATGCTCTTCTTAGTGACATTGCTTAGCCAGTAGTGATGCTATTAAAAATCTAATGTTTTTATTTTTTTTATAAATGCCCACAGAGCATTAAAAAAAGAACTTGCTCTTCTTCCCCTCCACCAAACCAGTTCCAATCCAATATGGTTTGCAGCGTTGCACTCCTGGGCAGCTATGCGGTCGAGATACACTTCTAGGGCCCACTGGAGCCAAACGCGTAGAATACTGGATCATTTAGGTTTAACAGCACGGTCGGATGACCACTTCCCTCGGTCAGAACCGTCAGTAGGTTTTAGGCTTCGTTAAATCCACGAATTACTGGAAGTGAACTAGTGGAGAGACTTGCGGCGCACAAACAGCGATCTGACGCAAAAAAAAACCTTCACATATGATTAGATTCAAGTTCCCTGTTGACAGTGCGATGACGCGGGACCGCCCCCACTAAGTGATGATGAAGAGAGAAAACGCCATTGATCAAGGCGCTGAACAAGCAGTAGCACACAACAGCAAACGTCCCACAGTATTTTGTAGGTTTAAAAAGGTTTGAGACAATAGAACATGGATTTTATTTTTGATTAAAAATACAGCACGTCTGCTAGATGCATTTGGCAATATTCCTTCCACTAAAAACAAAACAACTAAGACTGTAAACAAAACCAAAAAGAAAAGTGGACACTCAGTGGAGGAGCAAATCGAAAAACATTCCACGGTCCATTTTTTATTTTCTTTTACAAAACATCCAATCCACAGAAGGCCTCAAGAATTTCATAGTGTTGTCTATACAGTACGTGTTGGTGGGAATCATCGGCCGACTCCATCTCCTCTATCTGACCCTACGTCAAATCTTTCATAGAAACCGTTGGTAAATCTGCCGCAGCTACACTTATGGAAGGAAAGAATCTGAAGTACAATGTTTGTGTGTGTATACTGGTGTGTTTCTTTGGCCACCTCTCACCACTAGCGGCCATGTTCCCCTGCAACCGTTCCAGCGGAGGAAGCCTTAGAAGAGATGGCACTTCCTTCCCTTCTTCTTGACGGGTGGGGGGCAGAGGACGGCCCGGATGGCCTCGTCGAACACCGTTTTAAGGCCACGCTGAGTCAAGGCTGAGCACTCCAGGTACTTTACTGAACCTGAGGAAGCCACACGGCAAATAGGTTTTCTTTTAGTACTTTGGTAAAAAACAATTCACATAATCAGAGATAACTCGCTAAAGGCGATGTTTGCTGTTACCGATCTCTTTGGCCATCGCCAGTCCTTGTGGATATGTAATGGGGGAGAGTTTCTTCTCCTTCAGCTTCTCTGTGGTGTCCTTGTCATCTCTCAGATCCAGCTTGGTACCCACCAGGATGATGGGAGTGTTGGGGCAATGGTGTCTCACCTCAGGGTACCACTGCACAGAGACCACAACGTTGACAAGTGATAACTTTGTAAACGGGTCTACTTTATCTTCAACATAAAATGCCCAGAATGACTAAAGAGTATTAGTAGTTTGACGGTGATGGGGAGACAAAAACAAAGAACCTTAGAGCTGAGTCAATTCCCATAGAGGCATGTATATGTATTGCCCAATAGATGGTTGTTCTCAATCAAACTCAAAGTGTGGGTATTATTTTATATGCCTTGTTGAATATAATCAGCGTTTACTTCAAAAGACCATTCAACCCAGTTCATCAAATGGGGTAGCAATAGATACGTAGGTCGCATTAAATCGTTCTCAGGAGGAGCAACGAGATTAAACAAACTAGTAAACTGTCTTATTATGGCCCACTTTAAAATGAACCCAGTGCTGCTCTCCACAGTATACGAGTCAAAATAAATCTATACAAATGTAGGAGTCCTCCCTGGAGATGAAAACGTGGGCCAATCAAAATGCCCCCGGATGCCTCTTATCTCGTCATAAAACCGATCCACGTCAACGGCGCGACCGCCTTTATCAGACCAGCACTATATCAACTCACCTTGGCACGGACGTTTTCAAAGGAGGCCGGACTCACGAGCGAGAAGCAGATGAGAAACACATCCTGGCAAGACAAAGGAAAGAGTACAATCAGATTCCATCAATGACCATATCCTGTAAAGAATAGCAATAACTTCTCCTGTGCGCATGCAGGACAAAAGGTCAGTCTGGAGCCTTTTCTTTCCTCATCTTACTTCCTTATTTGTACTTTCCAAAAGTATTATGCAAGAGAACCAGTGCCATTAACTTCAAGGCAAACACACCACTTCAATGAGAATCACAATAAGTCAAATATAATACAGAACCCCCTGGCGCTTCATTGTACCGTTTGTGGGTAGGAAAGTGGGCGGAGTCGGTCATAATCTTCTTGTCCTGCTGTATCCCAAAGACCCAGGTTCACCGGCTTCCCGTCCACCATAACATTGGCGGAATAGTTGTCGAACCTGACAGAAAATAAGTATCAATGAGTTAAACACATCAGCGTGAATATAAACTGATATATTAACAATAACAGGAAATGGGGAAACCGGCACGGTTGCCTTCGGCTTTTTCAGATCACTCTGAATCTTTAATAGTGAGCTGCCGTACAGAGCAGGGATTGGAACGTTCTGTACGCAACCACACTTGAGCAAGATGCTAGATCTTAATTGCACATGGACTGTAGGACATAAAAGGTGAGGCCTGATCAGCTGATGAAAGAAGGTGGCCTCCAATACTCACACTGTGGGGATGTACTCTCCTGGAAAGGCATTGGTGGTGTAGCTGATGAGCAGGCAGGTCTTACCCACAGCTCTGGAGAAGGGAGGGAAATGAGGAATTGTTATTAGTCAATGTTTGTTAGTTTTTAAAGTATGCAGTAAGTCAACAACATGTCGAGACTTTTCCCGGTTTTTAGATTATTGTTTGCGTGTCCAAACAATGGTCCAAAATCCAAAGAAACCAGTTTTTAAACTATACAGTTAAGAAGCACAATCTTTATTTGTCTTTCCCTAATTCATTTAAAAATGGTTTCAGCTCTACTCCAAATGCAGACACCGTTGCTACGGGCGACCAGAGAAGATTGGGATTATTTCCCCTTTTATTTGAGACTTGTGAATTCCCCGTAAATGAAACTCATCAGATGTGAAACTCAATCGATGCACCCTTTTTCTACTGCAGACTACCAACGCGTAATCGGTGAATGAAACGCAGTCACAGGGACGTGTATGACTCGGAGGTCTCCACCACACCCTCATCACCATGTTGACTTCATAGTTACACAGAGAGGAAAATCAGTCACGGCTCGTTCTTTAATCATTTACAAATCCGTGCCGGTTGCAGACAGGTTCTACAAAATGTACTTATAGCAAAATGATAATATAATATAATATACGCTTAGCTCTTCACGTGTTGTGATTAAATGTCGTTGCGATGTCTGACCAGATAGCAACGTAACGTTAACTTCATTTAAATCGAGGATTAGCAGCCCACTTGAATACTAATGAAAAGTTTGTTTTTACAACAACAACCACCACCACAAACAAGTACCGAAACCGCTAACTTAATAAAAACCCGTGACGCGCAAACAGGTTAGTTAAAAGTTCGCCGTGGTAGCGAACTTCACCCGTTAGGCGAGAATGTGAATCAGACCGATATTTACACTAACGTTAGCTGGTCCGATGATAACAACCTTTTTGGTCTAACGTCCCTCTTCGTTTATTCCCGAATGTAAATCCAACATGCGAGCGGGAAAGCGACTCGCGGTCAGAACCGCTCACGTTTAACTCACCCGTCTCCAACAACGACACACTTTATGGCCTGCATTGCGCCGCGGCTAGAGGAATGCTACGCTAGCACCGGGAGCCGGCTAACGCTAGCTCGCGAGTCTCTTCTTTCCTTTGTCCGGAATCGCTCGCCGCTTGCAACGTTTCCGACGGCGTCTCGCGAGCGGGTCTCCGGTGGCGGGCGCGAGCTCCGGTGACGTGGAGGCGAGCTGGACGGGTGGGGAACTTGGGAGTAACTTGTCACGGCGCTTTAACGCGAGTTTTCGTCACAAAGTCCCTCGCAACATTCCCACGCTTTGGTGGGCCGATCTGGAAAAAGGTTGTGATGCAAAAAAAAAAAAAAAACACAGCGGCGGCCACCACCCCTGAGGAGGACAAAAAATGAAGTTACACACCGCCACCAGATGGTGCATCCGGTGCGCAGAGGAGATCCGCCCACGGGCCGATTAACGAGCCGTAACGTCCTCAAAACAAGCAGCGGACGAGCCTTAATCAGATAATGCACTCGGGCTTTTTTTTATTTGAAAGTTAAATTAGATCAAAGCAAATGAGCAGGAATAAAACGGACTACTTAGCGTGTGACGCGGGTGTAGGAGGTGACGTTGTGAGGAAGGGACGTTTTCCCTGAACGCTGCTCTCCAGGCACGTTTCACAATAAAGTCTCGAACATCAGGTTGAAACAGTTGCATCAGAAACCTTTTAGATTTATTCGGATCCGGTCCAGATCCTTCAGACAAAGCAGCACTCGTGTTTATTTTAGTCTAAGGGTGGCAGGTTGAGAAATTCAGAAAGATGCCCCTTCTTTATGGTTGCAGGTAACAGTTGAGTCCCACCCACATTGGCGTATCAACATGTCCTACATGTCACTGCCTTGGATGACCACCTTTCAAATATAAATATAAATAATATTATATACGTGTCAAATTGCACACAAACAGTTGCTACTGTGGGGATAATTTGGCACAGAAGCCTCTGGTTATGCGCATAGATGACTGATCAAGGCAGTAAAATAGACAATGATAATTAATAAGTGAAAATAGATGCCAAAACCCCGTTTTAAACCTGTTATCTTGAAAACATTTAAGTTCCATTATTTATTAATGAGGAAATCCCTCATCGATGAAAATAAATGGACTGACTCCAGACGTATACCACCGTTTGTCATTTATTTGAATATGGCAAAACTATTGGGTGTAACAATTATGCTACTAAATCCTATAACCCATAACATATTATTTGTATTCGTCTATTCTTTTAATGCTTTAAACGTTATATCCCTGCCATGACCTGCTTTGTTTGTTTGTCTACTCTGTAGTTACTGTGTAGACAATAATTACAACATGCCTTCAGAATTGAGTCAGGGCAAATAAAACCCATCCCCGTCTACAGCTTCCGCTTGTGTCACACCGTTATCAGTCCCCCGTTGACCACAACAGGAACAGACCGAGAAGCCGTCGGGGTGGAGCAGCTCTAGCGACACGGCCACGAAAAAAGCAAAACAAAAATAATGGAGCTCGGCGTGAGTCAACGATAGAAATATGGACTCTTACTCATCAGTCAACATCGTAATCGTCCGTTTGCTTCACTAACTGACACACGGTTACCTTAGCAACCGGCCGAGGCAAACCTCGCCTTTATGGCGGGTCTGTCTTATTTAGTGCTCCGGTTCTCGAGCTCCGCTGGTCGGACTTACGGAGTGTTTTCCAAAGGCTTGACGAGGACTTTGTTGATATTTTTTGATCTCGCGTGGCGACTGCGAATCAGATTCCCTTACATCTACTTGGTGGCTTCGATGATGTTTAATGTCAGGTTACAGGTAATTATTCAAACGCTCCATAAATTGCCAACTGTCTGAAGTCCCCACAATACAAAAATGTGTCATCTGTTTTTTGTTTGTTTTCTTTTTAAATCCACTTGTCCTCTTCAGGTAGAGATTAGACCTCCATTTAAAAGCGATTGCCTGTGCAGCAAGCAGCAACTATTTTTGTATTTAAACGTATGCATTTAGGTAATACAGTCCTACCATAATAATGTTCCGTTTAAATTAAAATCCGTTCACACTAATATTTTATACTGATTTGAAGTTTAAATATCCCATAAAAATCTAATATCTAACACATAGGCCAATTTCAGCTGTGCAGCAGAGAATCTGCTGTTATTGATGTGCCCCCCCCCCCCTCCAAAATGAACCTTGCTGATTGAAAAGTTTGAGCTCCATGAACCCTGAACGTTTCCATGAATGTCTGAATTGGAAACTACCTGTTCCATTCATTTCGGATGTTGCCTGACCGCTTCCTCATCACTTCGCAGGTCCACATTGAAATCCACTGAATCCTCAATGTTGGAATCGATGTCCCCCCCCCCTCTAAAAGTAACCGTCTGATGCTGCACGACGATGCCGAGGGAGGAGTTGCCGCAAAGTGACACCGCTGGTTGTCGCGATCGGCCCTCGCCCAGTGCCTCCTCAGTGGGAGGACGACGACGATGCCGCCAGCGGAGACCGGACAAAATGAGCCAACGGGAGCGGTGATGTATGAGGGCGGATGAGGGAACCGATGCTTCGCGTTAACCCTCTTTACTCGCCACCTGGGATCCAAGAGCCGCCCGTCCGTTCCGAAGGGGATCGTTGCCGGGTGGACAGTGGATTTTACACTCTGCCTCTTCTGTCTGGACGGCGAGGGTTTTTGGCGTCGACTTGAAGACGGACAAATGTTACCGTGGTACTTTGTAGACACCGTTCATTGTTTCACGTTTATCAGGTGCTCGGTGTCAACATCTCTCTTTGATTTAAAAAAAGTAAATATCTACCCTGTGGCACGAGCAAGCATGTTTTTTCTTGTCTGTGGCACGGACACTTAATTAGGGGCGAGATGTGTAAGCGGTGCGTGTGGAGGTCTACAGGCGAGCCGTACAGCTGTCACTACGCAACATTTACAGTCCGTTATTAAGTGCAGTCTGATTGGGAATCAGTGCATTTCTTCGGTGTGTCACACACACACACACACACACACACACACACGTGTTGTTTCACTCGTTGTTAGTCGTTCTGCATATCTGGTAAAAAGCGTGGGTGAAAAATGTATCTATCTGTTTTTATTTCTTGAAAAGAGTGTGTGGCGAGATGAGCGAGTAGGGGGGGTCACAGCTGAGAGTAAGGATGGCTGAGTAGTAATAATTGAATGAAATCACAATTCTCAGCCTTTCCTGTCCTTCTGATGACCTTTCATTTGTTTTCTAGGTTTGCTAAAGTGCCCTTATAATGTATTAAAATATATTTTGTCACATTTGTTAAGGCTATTTTGAAATACCTTTTTTTTAGCTTTTTCTTACAGTTTATACAACCAGCCCCTCTTGCATCACATGTCTTCACCTTCAATTTCTCTTGTAATTTCTTATCTCCTGTTATTTGGGTAGTTGGAATTCAAGTAGAACAAAATGTCATCAATATCCACACTGCACACCCAGCAAAGAGAATAAAATATAACAATGAATCATTACAGTTATCTATGAGAGGGTATTCAAATCCGGTGTTTCTTGCTCCTAATCCCATACTTACAGTCAACACTAGGGTCTATTTTCATCCCACAGATATTCTCTACAGTTCACAAAGACATTAACTTGTACAAATTCAACTTCTCAAGTCTCTCAGCCTACATCCAGATTAAAGAAAAAAGGTGTCTCTTTAAGTTGTATAGCTGCCTGAGAGTTACTAATATTGAACCCTCGACTGTATGGGTTTAGCGTCACCTCCCCGACCCCTCTTGGTCGTAGCTGAGACGTGCATTTGGAGACTTCCTTCTGCAGGAGCGGTTGCAGTACCACATCTGTTCACACGGGGGAAGCATCCTGCCACTGCTGGATCCACCTGCCTGTATGTCATCATAAAGGAACAAGGGAGAATAATGAAGCAGTAATTATACTGATGTGTTAAAAATATATCCAGTCAGGACATCTGTGAAAGGGTTTGTTCTACTGCTGTGCAACCGTTGGTCATGATTTATAATATCTGTTTTCTTCCTTAACACTTCCCCAACGTCGTTCGTCCATAAGTCTACTTCTGGAAAGAAAATGTAAACTCCCCTTCCATCTCCGTCATCTGATGCACATCAATTAAAAATTCACATGTGACCCATCTCCGAATTTAAAGCAACATCACTGGTAATAAATTCATCTCAGACCCATTTGGCGCCTCACTATAATGTGCACTACTTTTGAGAAGATTGCTGACACCCTCGCTCCATGTAAGACATCCTCAGCAAACTCACCCCAACCAGTCACTCTGCTGCCAGGCTGCGGAGGAAAAACCATCGGGGGTTGCCAAGGCAACTGTATTCCTCCGTGTGACAGACGAACCCCACTGCCCGCCCCCCCTCCCTTACCCACCCACTTGTTCTGAAAAAAGAGGATTTATTTCTGTGGGATTTGCGAGGGGGAAACATATTCCATTAGGGGTTATCATAGAGGACTGGCAGCAAAAGAGGGGGGAGAGATCTATAGATGAAAGATAAGTCGGGTCATCACTACTCTGTTTTTGTCTTTTGGTGAAAAAACAAGAGTTTCAGCCTTTGGCGTCTGCGGCAGCTCACGCGTGTTTTATTTGAGTGAGTGTGAAAGAGGGATGATGCAGCGAAAGGCAGGGATTCAATTAAAGCTGCAATGCAGCGTATTTAATTCCAGAGACATTATTCATGAACTTTAACCAATTCATTTGGGTGAGTTTTTGTAATTCAGTATTTGGAAAGAATGAGTGACAGCTGGCAGAAGTGGCCTTTTGGTCACAATAGTCACAAAGCCTGCACTAACGTCATAAACCTCCGATATCAATTAGAAGAGGTGTAGTTTTAGTTAGTTTAAGTACGAACCAATCAAGAGAGACTCCAGAACACAGTTGAGTCTTTAGATCACAACTCTGTGTAAATGAGGACAGACTGTTACATTTGCTGCTTAATGTCACATCTAGATTTTTTTAATTTGGTAAACAAACAGTGTTTCTATCTGGATGTCCATCAGCCAGTTTATAAATAATAAACATTTAGTCATTATGTCCATGCATAAAGAATGGATTACGAATGCTAAATGTAATCAAACAATAATCCACATGATTTGATCTCTGAAGCTTTTAGGGACTTATGCTCAACCCCCTCAACCTCAGTTTGGGGTTTTGTCATTACTTTGTGTAACGTCCTCTTTGCACTTTCCTTCAATAGACCTTTCATTTGAAGGCTGTGAAAGGGGGGAGGAGGGGGGACAAGAGGCGTAAATGCAAAGTGTTTAAAAAGGAAGAGATCAGGTGCTGAGATGAGCTGCAAGCTGACCTCAAAACTGAATCAAAGGAGTGAGCGTGTGTGGGGGAGGAGAAAAGGGAGAGGAAGCAGAGAGGGAAATGTGCAGGAGGGAGACTTGTGTATTTGCTGCAGTCATATCATGTGAACAAAATAGGTCATACAGGCAAAAGAGCATTTAAATATCCAACTATTTTTAGAGATGTTTGGGAGAATTATTTTGTTCCCCTACTTATTTTTTATTTTTGAAGACTTGCCTTCTTGCATTACGTGTTGGAGTGCAGTTTTCGTTATATGCATAGCAGCAAACATCACTCAAAAAATTAATTTGATTTGAGTTTAGGCCTCTTAGTAAATGAAACCACCGGCTTTGCGTTGGACTGTCACACAAACTGAAGACACGAGCGCATCGTTTTCTTCTAGCAGCATCAATATATTAAATACGATGATAAGTGAAACGCTTTTGTGTAAACGGTCGGCTGCATTTGACATGACAGCTTAATGTGGACCATGATTCAATCTCATGCTATCATTCCATCCAGAATGTTGCACACCTTTGTGCTGTTATCTTGTATCCAGATCACACGCTCACTCTAATAGTATGTAAATGTATAAAAGTCCATGGAGGAATAACCAATCCAACCACACCAGGTCAAGGAGGATTGTACTTTAAATAGAGCAACTCACACACACCAACATGCACACAGAGACACACACGCACACACACAGTTTCCGCTACAAGTTCTTGGGCACATACTGCTTTCTTTGTGCCCACTAGACAGAATCCCAATAAAGACTCTACTCATATGTGTCCTACAGAAAATAAACCCCTGCTTCGCTGGTCAAGATGCAGAGCTGGATGTAAAAGGGAAGCGAAGGAGGAGAGGAAATCCTTCTGCACTCTGCTTCCTGTGACCCTTCGTCACATGCGCCATCACCCAAATATTAACCCTTCCACCGTGAAAGCATGTCACTTCCACCGGGGTTGTGAAAGTCATTTGTTTTGGGGGATAAATGCATATTCAACTCTCTCTTTGCATTATATACCTCACAAAAGGGAAACTAAAAATGACTTAAGGAAAGTACCCGTTGTGGCAAACTCCCCTGTGTCAAATCTTCAATGCTTCAACGAAATAACCTCCTACAATCAACAGAATTCTGAACCACAGTTTCCTCCCTCACTCCAAACACAGGCTACGCTGATCCCCGTCTCTACGGCGAAGATGTTGACATCGTGATGGGAGTGATTCGGAGGTTGGGAAACGTGGGTTGCTTGTGCATCTCCGCGTGTGTTTGTAATTATGGGTTGGGCCAGTTGTTGAAAAAAGGGAGGAGGCGAGGCCCCCCCCCCGCGGGCATCGCCGTGGCGACTGGAGCATGTGAAGCGGTACGACTGCTCAATCAGGGTCACGTGAAGTCGGTCAGGAGAACCACAGACGTTTCCCATGATGATCGGCCTAATCTGCCAGACGAGGATCTCCCTGAGGGAACGTGCGCAACCTCAGCGGCACGAGACACAGACAGGCCGAACCCCCCCCATCCACCACACACACACCCATGTTCACCTCCAGCCACAGGCTTCCACAGACTTAATCACACGACTTTGCGTCGACGTGACTGAGTGTGTCGAACACAAGCCAAAAGGCCTGAGCCTAACTGCGATTTTTGTTGATTTTTAAAATGATCACAGAATATCTGGGCCACAGCGAGAAGTTTCTCCGGTGACTCATAAACACATTAGCATTACACGCTTATGTGGTATAGAGCGCACTGGGAGTCGGCAATCTAATTGCTCTTAATGGAACTTGATACTTCACTGAGGATGCTCTGCTTGACCGGACTCTGCACTGACACAAACGGACAGTAACACCCTATTTGTCCAACCGTACTCCCAAAGCTAGTGCCAAAATTATGCATATGACCTATTTTCCACTTGTAGCGAAGAAAACATTCAAACTGGCATTCAAATCTATGTGATAACTGCTTTGCATCCATCAACCTAACATGTGAAACCTCATAACCAGAGGAAAGAAAGATGTTTTCTGTCGCTTCACCCAGATTTCGCTTTGCTAAGGTTTTCCTTTCCTCTAAGTCGTGTGCATCTCAAGGAATTTTGTCGGCTTAAAACCTCAAAACTAAACCTACGTTTGGTGTCAAGGTTTAAAGAGAAGAAACACTGTGTGGATGCACGTACCCAAATGTGTGAGATCTTCACAGCAACCCGTCACCGTTAGTGTCAGAGCGTTTAGGTGTAAGTTCAGGTTCTACAGGCTGGATTTTGCCAGAGTGACGGGGGTTCAGTGGATTGTGTAATCTTGCTAATGTGAATTGGAAAATGACTCATTTGAGCTTCTCGCTTTGTCCCCTATCACTCGGAGCATTTTGGAAGATGGTGAAGCATTCTTAGGATTTTTGTCTAATGTGCTGAGAGTATGTCTACCCATAAAAGGGATCATGCAGTTTTAAAGTGCAAAGATTTTATGCAGTTTTACAAACACATTGAATTGAACCTGAAAAGAGAGAATAATTTGCTTTTTATTCTTCTTTAACAAATATATGTGACGTTGTAGCCTTAGCCTGACTATATGCGATGGAGATAACTGTTTGTGTTATGTCTAGAGAATGTCCCTTTGTTTAGGTTCGGAGAGCGAAACATTTGTCCAAAAGAGACACCTACGAATAAACAAATGAATGAATGAATACGTTAAAACATCTGTTCATGCTTGACCATCGGAGTAATGCATACAGGAAGTGAGAGCCCCTCCTTCTCTGCGGAGGCAGGAATGCTATAATTGAAACCGCGTGTGTTGTAGAAACAAGCTCTCTCTCTCTTCATTTCGGTGTGTGTGTCTGTGTGTGTGTGTGTGTGCCTCATCCCACTCTTCCTCAACCTGGTCGCTCAGCCGGCTTATGTAAGAGTCTCGTCCATAATTCCTTACAGTGATCTGAAATCCCTTTTTTTGTATTTTGCATTGACAGCTCTTTGTATTACTGCACAATAGGGTGATGTTATTTCATTGAAATTGGGGCAGTTATGTGGAGCTCTTCAATCAGCCATGTTATTTTCTGACATATGTTAGAGGTAAGCAGCTGTTTACACAGACCACAAACCTTTCAATTTTATGAATATGTTGCCTTTTTAATACTCTCCCTGCTCTCTAAAGGACAAACTGAACATTCAAACCCTCACATTGCTGAAGTGTTTAGATGAACTGAATTTGCTTCTTTGATGTACTTTATAATCGTGCAATTTATAAAGCCATCAATCCGCAAAAGCTAAATGAAGCTTGTCAAAGAAATGGGTATAACATTTCCTGCACGTTAACAATTTGCATCATTATGCTACTACGTTGTAGTTGAAAGTACATTTATCTGATAATCTGATTGACCTAATGTGCATTTTTATGCAGGACACTGAACTCTAATCGAGTATTATTTAGCTATACAAGATTATTTAAATGATCTACATACCTCCACCACTGAAAGTAATGCAAAATAATCAATACTAAATTAATTCTATTTTCTAATCGATTCAGCTACATGTGAGGTTAAATTACTTAATTCGTAAAGGGATGTACCGAATGTGACAGCATATTCGAACCGTGTCGGATAATCAATAAAAAACACTATGGGTCTAATGTCATTATTGGCTGGAGTCACGTGGGCTCCGCTCGGCGATGAACGGTGACGCGCAGCAGGAGCAGTGTAGCGCCGCCGAGACGGGATTAAACATCCAGTCACTCGACAAAGAATATCCCAATGACTTCCTGTTAGTACCTTCAAAATAAAATAAACTCTGTGACACGCCAAACTGTGACTCTTATTCTGAAAATGTGCTCAGCAGCACTTCCGGCATTGTTCCGGCGGTTGCCCCGGCCAGCTTGACGCAGCAATGTCGACTACTCTCCCGGCGCTAGTGGAGTGAAGGCGTATGTGGAGGCGCTGAGGGCAACGCGCTCCGCCGCTGTGACGAACACACGCCTCCGCCGCAGCCTCTGCCCACCGACGGGGACCGACGGGGACCGGAGGCACCGCTACGCGACCGAGCGGCGTAAATGGCCACAACATTTGCAAAAAGGAGAAGACGCTGCCAATGAGACAACCTGTGTAGCGAGCAAGAAGAAGAAGAAGAAGAAGAAGAAAGCGTCCTGGACGTTAGGGAGCGCTTGTATCGGAGCCTCTTCTCGCACACAAGGGAAGTTTTTGTGACCGTTTTTTTTTTTGCTGGGGGGGTCTTTGATTTTTAGGCTGCAAACATGGACGAGGACAACCAAGGTAGGATTTAATTCCATGCAATTCCGACCGATAAAGTGTAGCTGTTCCAGTACTAACAGCGAGGAGACGTGTGTCACACATTGACGATATTAATAACATGGATTTGGACGTTGGCGGTCATTTCTCTGCGATTAGTAGCCACGTTAATCTCGTCCTTCCCACATCAGCATTTTCCTGCAAAGATATCTGACATGCAGTCGCCTCCAAAATGGGCAACCCCCCCCCCCCCCCCCCCACACTCCCCCACTCATTCATTTGGTGTTGTGATGCTTTCAAGAGTATGTGTGAAGGTAGAAAGATTGACCTAATTTCAACAGAGATGATTAAGCAAGTGCATCATCAGCGTGGTATTGGTGCTGTGGCCACTAGACTGGTGTTTCTCTAAGTCAGCTGTGGGCTGGTGGTCACTCTGGCCCATCAGCCACCCACCCCCCACTGTCAATCTTTGGGGTCCTTTGGTGTTTCTTTCCTGTACATTCTTTTTCTTTCTTTGTGGATGTTTCGCATGTTTTTTGTGCTCATTTTGTGTTTGATTAACTGTAAAAACAAGAAATTCCGGAACGTCACCTCATGCAGAGGTGACCAGTAATCCATCTGTGATGCCAACAAACCAACTACATTATCATCTTCTGACTGGGGGCTTTGGCTGGAGTTTGTGTGGGGGGGGTGGTCTTGCTAAACCTATAATCCCAAACTGCAATCTTGCAGGTGAGAAACCGTTGCTCATGTTGTCTCACCTCTGTTAGTCACCGCTGCGGTCAGTCCCACATGCTCACTGCCGGAGCGGCGCTATGCACGGCATGCGGGCATGAAGCTGTCACCGGGCTGTTTGCGCCCCCCCCCCCCCCTCACCCCGGCCTCCAGCGGTGGGACGCGTCAGCGCGGTCGCACAGACAGACATATGGTGCGGGCTGATGGTGACCCGGGATAGCTGACAGCCGCCGGAAGCATAAACACACACACACACACACACAGGCACACAGACTCGCACACTCGCAGAGATATTCATTTTGCCTTTTGGCCTCGTGTGCAGTGAAGATCTACTAGAATTACTACAACTGAGCAGATTGTGAGCGTGTGATTTTTTTCAACTGCAATCGATAAAGTCCTGGATGCTGCAAGACGAGAGACTGCAGGGGCTCCTTCTTTTTTTTGTGGTTCCGGTGGATAGTTTTGTGTCGAACAGTTGGGAACATCATCCACAAATTGCTGCTTCTTATCAGAACAACTCAGCGGCCACACGTGAGCCCTCGGCAGAGTGGTGGCCGAACCAAAAAAAGGATCATTGACATCGATGTACTTAGCGCGAGGGGGGGGCGAGGCGCGCTGGCAGGTTGGTTGAGTTCAAATCTGTGTTGTTAAAGGGACACGCACACTTTTAACAAGCCCCGGGTCGAGTGAGACGGGAGCGCAGGGGGGTGAACAGAGCGAGGTGTCAGATGGAGAACAGACGGCGAGAAAAAGGCGCGAAGGACGGAACGGAGGCGTGACAGCGAAGGCCCGAGAGTGAGACCCAGTCGCAGCAGCCGCGATGGTGAGATGTCTGGGAGGAAACGAGGCAGCGAGACAGGAGACATGTGTGGATGGGAGAAGGCGGGCGGCGGCAGCGACGGCGGGTGGGGGTTTGTGGGCCTGAGCAGCTGGAAGATGGCCAAATAAGTATAGAGCGCCGCCAGTGAGAGACAAGGACGGGTAGAGCTGTGGTGAACCCGATTGGCTTCTGGAAGTTACAGTAGTTTCTCTCTCAATGGAAGTCCGTCACTATCAACTCGCTCTCACCATCAGGACCACGTCACACTTCTGATTCTGTCGACGTTCCTTTTCCATCTTCTCTGCGTTTTTTTTCTTTTTCCAGTTTCACCTGCCCGGAGAGAGTACCAATACTTTGCTCCTGTTTTTTGGGGGGGGTGTTTCGGTCGGTGGGTTGGTCGACCACAGCGGCTGTCGTCCCGCTGCAACATCGAGTGCAAGCGTTAGTTTGTCCATCACTCTCATCGATGACCGGGAAAACGAATGACTCGGATGCGGAGAAAAGAAAACCAGCCATTTACCTCTCGGCTTGGATTTGCAGCTGCTGCCCTTTTTCTCCACAGCCCCACACGCCGTCAGCAGCCCGAGAAAGAAACGCCCGGAAAGTATGAGAAACAAATGATGCTTTCACCTCTTAGTCGGATCCGGACTGAATATCTTCCCTCCCCATATGTGGGCTTCTCACAGGGGTCACCTGTATCGTGGATATCTCCAGAGAATGGTGTTTTACTTTTGCAGGCGGTGAGGACGTGTCCTCTGCGTGTGTGGCGGCCAAGGACACGAGGGGCCCCACAGGACGTTGGGGAGCCCGAGTGGGCCCGGTGCAGCAGAGGCCCCGTCCCGTTTCCCTCCACGCTAAAAGCGTGGCAGCTCATGTGGTGGGAGATCCACGGAACAAGAGTCATTTTTTTTACTCTTGGTTTTTCATACAGATTAATCAAACAAGACGCAGCGTGTGCTGGTATGAGGGGATTTTGTTTCCAGTTTGTGCTAAGCTAAGCGATTCTAAATATATAATAAATCTTTTCATCGAACTCTTGACGAGACAGCGAAGAAACCTTTTATTCAAAATGTTGACCTATTCCTTTAAGACACAACTTATGTCGATACACTTTTTTTTCTTTTTTTAGCGATATTAATTTGTTTTTTTGTGAACGTGTGTGTTTGGGTGATTTGCTGGTCCCTCTTAAAGAGAGTGTGTGTGTTTTAATGTTTTGACTCTCGCTGCTCCCTCAGACTGTCACGCACCGGCGGTCCGGCTCGCACGGCTCAGTAACTGCTTTGAGAGGCTGATGGGGAGATAAAAAAGGAGCTGTGGCCTCCGTACGTGGCTCCACGTTACTGTACGGACTGAAGTCAGTGCGCGTGACAAAAAGGTCAGCGAGCACAGAGAGCCCTTGTTGAGTTTGTCCTCCCCGGATATCCGATTGCCCGTTTCACTTAGCCACGACATCGCCTTCAGGGGGCTTGAGTTGGACTCGACAGACATTGAGTCAGACTGACCCACGTGGAAGTCAACGTCCCATATTGGGACATGGTTTACTCCCATGAATAAAAGTAAAGCTGAAAGTGAACACGAGGCGTGTATGCAAATCCCCTTGGACTTTGATTGTTTTCTTTGCAAGTACTTTTATAAGTGGCTTTGACGCTGCTGGTGTGGCTTCTTTTTTTTCTGGGACAGAGAAGGAAAAGTACACGAGTTTCCAGTTTCCTCTTCATCTTAACACACAGGGCTGTGCAGTAAAGCTCTGCTGCTCAACAGAGTCACAGACCGGGACGCGTCTTCGTCACGTTGGCTTTGGCTCGTTGAAGTGGAGACCTGAAGCAAATCAAGACATTTTTGCTCCCCTTTGCAACGAGGAATCGGAGTGTCCGGAAAGGTCCCAGGAGGTTCAAGTATGTGCCAAGAGGAATTTCAGGCAAAGAACTTCCCGCTCCACTTGGGCCTTTTGTGAGAGTTCATGGCTTCTATTAGTGTGTGTGTGTGTGTGTGTGTGTGTGTGTGTGTGTCAGAAAGGGGAAGAGAAGGCACAGCGGAGCGGACAGGAAACGGGAGGTTTGGAACAATAATGTCAGTTGGTTTGACCTGCTGATGATACAGGAAAGAGGTGTGTTCCTCCCCTCCATCTAGTGGCCTCAGCACACAGACATACGGATTTCATTTCTTTCATTACATGTCATAAAGACAAATTTAAGCATCAATTTTGGAAAATTGCTTTCACTTGTCTTACTTAAACTGTTTTTAGACTGATTTAATCCTACAAAACACGTAATAAGCTCTGCATGTCCCAGTCTTGTTTATGTGTGTGTGTGTGTGTGTGTGTGTGTGTGTGTGGTCGCCTCTGGCCGACGTCCAGCCTCTCACCGTCGGCTCCCCTGGGGCTCGTGGCACTGCGGCCGTAACCTCGCCCCTGCTTTTGAGGGGGGATTTTTAACACTCTGGAGGGTCAACGTGTCAGTGAACTACTACACAGTCTTTGCCAGTCTCGCTTTTTTTTTGTGCAAAATGGGCATGTTTCCACCCATTACCCACACTCTGCTGCGAGATGCTGCTGCATCATGCAAAATTAATTGCTCTATCGTGGGGAGAGCGGATGAGCTGTGACTGCGCCGCCGCCGCTGCAAAGCGGGCCGAGGTGGCTGCAGTCGCGGCCTTCCCTTTCCCCGCCGTCGCCTCCGTGCCACTCGGAGTGGCAGCGACGGCAGCGGCTACTTGAGGAACCTGTCGGCGTGTATCTACACATGCGCATGTCTGTGGGTGTGTGGATGAAGACGTGCAGCAGTGGCACGGATGCAAAGAGAGGCTGATGCTGCCTTCCGATTCTCAAAGTAGTGTTAGTAGGTTAGTGGTGCGAGGCTCAAGCCCAGATGTGCATCGCTCGTGCTTCTCTGCTTCCACTATTTCACGTCTGTGTGTGTGTGTGTGTGTGTGTGTATGCTTATGGGCATGCATGATTGTGAGTGTGTATATCTTCATACGGTGTGCACACAGAGGATTAGGGTGGGCTGCGATGGAGGGGATCCAGTGGGGAGGGATATGGATAGCAGTTTGTGGATTATAGGTCAGGGGCTCAGGCCGCTCACTGTTACTTCCCCAGTGTTTTTAGGCTCCTGTCCTTTGCTCTGGCCCTTCACTTGGGAAATTGATTTCCGAGGTAACGGAGAGCTCGTGCTGCCGTAAGCGAGGGCCGCGTTGCACAAAATGAGCGACCTCGATGCCTCCCCCCCAGGGCATCTTTAACCGGGTCCTTCTACAGTGACGGCGGCAGCTCCTTGAGGGGTTGTCGTCCTGCCCCCGATTACTATGAACACACACACACACACACACACACACTTTCTCTCCTCGGCCCGTAACTCACGACGCATCAATGTCAGCGCTCCCGCGGATGAAGATTGCGTACGATTGATTGCGACGGGGGGCTTTGAGTGGGTCAGGACCACTGTAACAGAGCGGCCCGAGGGTGTGTTTTAGAGGGCGAGAGATTTACGGTGGCTCTCGGACGCCGCTTCCTTTGCACGTGTTTTTAATCTCTCCGATGTCCTGCAGTAAGCAGGTGCACAAGAGCTCAATGAAACCCGCTTTGTTTTCACTTGATAATGGTTTGTGGCCAGAGCGACGGGATCCTGATGTTGAAAACCTCAGCAGATCTCAGCAAGCTGCTTGGATGTCATACGTGCCTGCGGGCGGTCAGGAGGCCTCACATGTGCTTAGTTTCACGGTGAAACATTGTGCTTCCCACATCTTTCCCGGCCTTGAGTCGTAAAAGACGGGGGAATACCAACTCTACTACTGTTTGGTCAGATGAGATAAGAAGTAAACTTTTTACATATTTTGTGGATATTTGCTCTTTTCTCATCAGATGAATCCAGAGGTTCTAAGCACAGGAGGGATCATGAGAAAGATGTAGCGTATTATTAAATTAAATAATAAGAAAGACTAATGGGTTTTGAAAAAAAATGAATTCAAAGGGAGCTCAAAAATATTGTTTTTTGATTATGTTTGTTGTTGCACTGTGCGCTTAATTATTATAACATATAACAATTTCTCTAATGCAATGCACAAACTCAATTTTGGGATGCAAAACATAAAGCTTGATGTTTGGTGTCAAAGCCTTGAGCTTTTTTATCCCCACCATTCACCTTCTAACTGCAATACGTATTTGTTATGACAGGGTTGAATCAATTTGACTATTAATACCACAAAGCATTCGCCAACACAGTCTTCATCCCTGCTGTTTTCATCCAACTTTCCTCTTGCTATTGTGGGAAAAAATCTAATGTCTGTGAGGTGACGCAAGAATTGCAGATGATGTTTATTTTCGGGGCTGTGCTCAACTCGTGAGATTTAGAGGCTAAAGGGGGGGAAAAAAAACTGACTCCAGAGGCTCCTGATCTGGAAAACCCCTTTCCAGAGACCGGGCAAAGAGCGATGCCTTGACCCGAATCGCCCACATGTTTTTGCGTAGTAGAGAAATCCTGGCTCAGGTTTTCACTCCATCATGAACTCTCTCTCACTCCTCCTCATCCGCCTCCTCTCCTTCCTGCTGTCTTTGGATAACAAAAGCAGACGGGGATGCTATTTGGCAGCTGGATTGTCTCTCCGACTTTCCGCCGTCCCCCCCCCCCTCTCTCTCCTCTCTCTCTCTCTCCGTCTGTGTCGTATCTCCGCTGTACTGTTTCCCACAGGCCCGAACGCAACGTAAACAGCCTCCGTCAAGTTTCTCTCTCTGTGTCTGCGAGCCGTGACGGTCTGCCTGGGGCCTCTGGACCAGACCGTCTTCAGGTTGCACACTACAGTCGCGTCCTGAGTGAGTCACAGGACTGTGTGGGGGGGGGGGGGGGGCTTACTGAAGCCCTGCTGAAAACTTTTTGAGGAATTTCTTTGTCTCCCAGAAAATACAACCCCCCAACTAAATTTTTGGGGTTCCCTCCCCACCTTTCATTTTTTTAAAAACTAAGCTAAAAGCTAAAACTAAAATGAACCGTGTTGGAATAAGCACTGCAGTCTTTTTGCTGATACTGCAGTAAAAATCGCTAAACCACTGTAGAAATTCCCTTTAAAAGTCCTGCATTCCTTTGAGAGTAAAAGTACCAAAAAAAGTTCCCTTTTTCTTTTTTTTTAATGGCTCATTTCAGATTAGTTTTGCAGTGGCTGCTAATGTTAACAATCTGTTGTGGATGCTGGTAGGCAAAGATGACTTTGTGTTGAGTTTTGATCTTATAAAGAAAATGTCGCTACTATTAGAGTCAAAAGATCTCATGGAATATTTTTTTTTATTTTTTTGGCTTGACGGTGAAGGTGTATTATTTTGTAAAAGATGGTCATTGAGAAACGTGAATTCGACGGATGGCTGAAAGACTGTGTAAGAAACAAATATGAACATAGTAAAAATAATCCACTGCTTTGCTGTAGAGGAAATTGCATGTGAGGAAAGATCAACAATCCTAATGAGAGACTCACAGTCGAGCTCTTAATTGAGCAAAGATAAAGAACAAGATATCCCGCTGTCCCAAGCACTCAACTAATTTGTCTGAGCATCTTGATGTATAACGACCCACAAATAAACCAATCGGAAAGCTGTTTTTTAAATCCAAAGGGACGAGGAGGCGTTTCTTTCAGCAGGAAATTTGGCAAACGCGGTGCTCGTTCATGAATAAGTGACTGGGAATAGTGCGTCCTGTGAAGAGACCGTCTCACTTCAAGGGATTGTGTCGTAGCGCGTTTGAGGCTTTGAAGAATTCAAACGGCCGTGTTGCGTTTTTGATGTAACCTCAGATTTTAAAAAAAAAGAAAAATTGTAATCTAATTTTCATAAAGGGAACGTTGGTGACGTCTCTTCTAAGATGAGGCCCGACAACAAGCTACTGCTGCAGACCTGGAAGAATCATTCAGTATTTCAAATGTATAAAAATCACTTGGATGCAAGTAAGCCGCAGCTTTAGTCCTCTAAGAGACAAGTTGTTGTCTTTATTCCTGCAGATGACGCCGGAGCTTTTCAACCCCCAGCGATGCAAAATTCTCCAAACTGAAAAATAGCATTAACTACAGGCCAGATTGTTCTGAAATGCGGTGGAGTTACCCTTTGATTGCAGAAGACGAAGAGCAGTGGCTGTGATGGTTCTCCCTCTTTTCCATTTAACGCCACCGGCACTTCAAAGTTTTGACCCAAATAACTGAAGATCCCAATCCCACCAGTGAACACGGAGCAGCTCCACTCGTTTGTTGATGCTCTCCAGCCGTCATCTCCTCTATTAATTATTACAACGGAGCAGTACGTGTCACCTGACTAAACAGCCTGTCTTGCCTTCTTTGGGCTGACATTAGAGCTGAGGCTTCTCCAGGTAATGGAGCCGTGTGTGTGTGTGTGTGTGTCTGATGACAGATAAGACAAAGGTGAAACCGCACAATTGACTAAAATGCTGAATGAATTGGATGAAAAGAAGGGACGAGAGTAGACGAACTGGATGGAGCAGACTGGCAGGTTTGCAGTAGGAGGAATGTGGCCTATTTTCATTCCACGACTGGCAAACTGTGCATGTGTGTGCGTGTGTGTGTGTGTGTGTGTGTGTGTGTGTGTGTGTGTGTGTCCCTGTGTGTGTCTCCGCACGCTTGAGAGCTGTGTAGGAGTAACGCCGAGGGGGGGAAACAATTACCCCGCACCTACGAGCCACAATCTCACAGGTACATCAGCGGCAAACAAGCTGCTAAAAGCTGAGCCGCAGCGCTGACCTCCACAAGGACACGAGGCGCTTCGGCCGATGGCATGTCAGTCGTCACGGGGACTGGAGAGAGGAAAAGGCGAGGTGGTGCGTACTTTATTCAGGAATTGTGAGCTTTTTAATGCCGAAAGTGGTCATATTGAGTTGGGTTACTGTTTTTTACCTGCATGGAGAGATTTCATAAAACGAACCTGAGCCCTTTTTGAGGTTTGTTTTTCTTACATACGTGCACTACGCACACATACCTGCTCCCTAATTAGCCTGCGGCGGGGACGACCTCCGCCCTCCCCGCGTGGACGCCGTTACGGGAAGAGCGGCTCTAATCACAGTGGACATCGTCGCATTGCTCCATTGTTCAATTTAGAGCGTGCTGAAGATCCGGAAGTGTTTCACTTTTGGTCGGATTGTAAAATGTATTTTTAGCCAAGTTGAGCTGCATTTGTTTTACTGTAATTCGATTGGCGTGACGGTTGAAAGACATCTCACCAAGTTGACCGCTGGGGGAACATAATCAGCATGCCAAACCCGGCTCTCCGCTGACCTCGGAGCCAAGGGTATCGGAGAGACGTCCCTCGCCATACGCGTCAAGTCATCCGACTCTGCGATCTTGCCAAGGAAAAGGCTCCTCGGACGCTTGAAACCGATCCAAGTCTCTCCAGAAGCATGAGAGATTAGACTCCACCAGGACTGAGGTCTTCCTGTCGGTGCCGGGGCCTAAACGGGGAAGTGGCGCATCATTCAAGACCCTGAGTGGTTTTACAGTTGACCAAACGCCGACTCCAACAAAGAACTGCATTGAGCTGAAACAAAGCTCCTGTTATCAGTGGATCAAATCATTTGCATGTGATCGTATGTTTTTCCCTCTTTACGACCTCAGTGACCGTCTAGAGCAGCGGTTGCAGCTTTAATGCAGTCACGGGACGTCGCCCCTGACGATGGACCAACTGAAACATGGACAGATGGAAATTTCCCGATACTTGAAGAACGGACGTATTTTGAAATATTAAGAATATTGTGCACATTTTAATGTTGATAGTGTGCGGCCGTTAAATGCCACCGCGTCCGTGCTGCCGGGGCGGCGCGTTGACCCTTATTTTTGGTGACCTTATTCGCCAACACCCCGAGAAGGCGTTGACCCGTTGGTCTCACGCCCGACCGAGAGGAGAAAGCTAAAAGACAATGTTACATCGAAAAGAGGACGTTTCAAACCTGCTGACCTTTCCTTTGAGGACATCTTTACCACTCGTCTGTCAGAGAGAACTACAGCGCAGTGGCAGCTACTCATTGGTGCATGCTTTAAGAGGGGGGGGGGGGGGGCGTTGAAGGACAAGCGTGCAAGGTGCAACGATTATGATTATGTATTGATCATCGCTGGAACAATGCATGTTCATGAGCGATGAGCGATAATATATGAGGCTAAGGTTGGAGGGTTTGTATTTGACCTAATATGGATTTTCTTTTTTCCTAATGGGGGGGGGGGCGCTGCTCTCCACGGGAATCCACTCACGGAAACATGCGCTCCATCGCAGACTTTCATGCATAATTGACTAGACGTCCACTCTCAGCTGAACAGCGGTAGATGTCCACACAGCGATATCAGATTACTCTGCATTTTCCTCATGCTACCGCGATGGCAGGACGAAAACAGATTCGACAGATGCAGCAATCCGTCCCGTACAATCTGTTCTCCGGTCCGTATGAGCCCTCTCGGCCTGGAGGGGTGGAGGAGTTGCCTTCAGGGTCACTTTGCTCCACAATTACTGCTACATGAGGCTGTTTAACTGAAGGAGAGAGAGCAAAGGAAGCGCAGAGTGTGAAGATGTCTTCTATCTGTTTTATCTTCCATCTCATTGAGTTTTTCCGCCTTTCTTTGCGGTTTGTGGTCCTTTTCACACACATACTTTTTTCTTTTCTAAATCCTCGTCAGCCCTGCAGAACCTTCACTTTAATCGACTACACAGCGCCCGGTAGACATGGCATCCGTATCCCATTAGTATCCTTTTTTAAAATGAGCTCTGTTTTTCTCTCATCTGTCTTCCTGGAATGCTTCAACGGTGCAAACGTTAACGTAATACTGTGTGAGCATCACGTGCGAAAGAGAAATGATCACACAGCCATCTGGATGCCTGCTCTCTTGACTGGCTGCCGCTTTGTGATACCAGGAGCTCCAAGCCCAAGCTAAGAGCCCATGCTGCCTCCGTCACTTTGTCTTACCGAGCAAGACTGAGGGGAGGATTTAATGAGCGAGGGATAGAGATGCCGCGGATAGATAAAGACGAGAGGAAATAACTACTTATTTACAGTCAGTGGGGAAACAACTGGGGGGAAAAAAACGTCTGAATTGCAAAGCTGCTTAGCGGTATGGTTCAGTTGGGGGATTTGAATCTGCTAACACCCCCACTTCAAGCACTGTGCGGGGAGTGGGGGGGCAGAGAGAGTGAGAGGGGGAGTGTGTGCATGTGTGAAGGAATCAGCATAGGAGAAGCACAATCTGCCATAGCTCCATGTGAAAGTGACCTACTTCATGTCAGCTCGCTCTCAAGTGGATCCCTGTTTTCTGATGTGTTGGAGGAGAGCAGGGTGGGGGTGGGCGGGCGTGTGGGGGGCTGGTTTACATGGCGTAGTTAAATGAAAGATAAGCCGGTGGCACCTGGGGACCTACAGTGGGGGAATAGAACAAATGCGTATGCATGGCGTTTGTATTGTGTGTTCACACCTGTGCACACGGTGTTTGTGTGCTCGTGCAGTCACGCATGCATGTTGCATGAAGTGTGTCTCTCTCTCTCTCTCTGCTGTGTTATTACCCAAAATGAGGGCCCGACGACAGTTGAGTATCTCAAAGCCAATATTTGAGTGGTCCGGCCTCGCCAGATGCCCAGTGGGAGGGACGGGTGTGTGTGTGTGTGTGTGTGTGTGTGTGTGTGTGTGTCAAACACACAGGATGTTTTTTATGGGAGTGATCTCCTTTCCAGCAGGTTCCAGCGAGTTTCTGTGGTTTTAACATGGTCCGCATGAGAAAGTTATTCTACCTCTCACACCTGCTCCTAAAATGTCTAAAGGCGGGGAACAAACATGAGATACAGACAGTTGGCTACACTAACAAACTGTATAGACGTGTCACAAATACCCGTCCGGGCATTTCAGCTACTTGTAGCAACTCCAAAAATAATATTTGTCAATTACTTGAAGGAATGTTCAACCTTTTATAAACAAATGTCTGAGTGTTTGGACTCGTCTCTGTTGTGCAGTGTATTAATTGAAATCCTTGAAATAATGTCTTTGGGATGGATCCATTGAACACTGCCAGGTTTAATAATCCGTGTGACTGGGAAGGTGAATTAATCTAATCCGTTCCCTTAACCCCGTCCCTCCCTCCATCCCTCGCTCACACACATGCGCTTTCATTTACCCGTCTCTCTGTATTTTCCAGTACCTGAGGACCTGTCTGTGGAGGAAAGAGATGAGCTGTCGAATATACGGCGCAGGAAAAAGGAGCTTCTGGATGATATTGAAGTGAGTATTGAAAGAAGAATGATGTGCTTTATTGTGTGTATTAGTGGGGATGTGCAATATGATCTTATTGTAAAATGAGTTATTGAAGTTTTCTACACGTCTGAAGGCTCAAAAACCCAGTCAAATATGGACATGGAACATTATTTTTACGGGGATTTTGTCAACTACATGCTATTGTCCACTATCTAATAAAGGCAGAAATACCCTCTCAAAATGACCATGTGAAGGTTGCATAGTATTGGTTTTAACTAGATAACCCATTGCTAACAATAAGTAAACATATGAGTTGCTTCCTTGTTTCCTTCTCTGCAGCGGCTGAAGTTTGAGATCGCAGAGGTGATGACTGAGATTGAGCAGCTGACCTGCGTAGGGGAGAGGTGAGGCATTTTCTCACTAGGAAGGTTTTGCTTATTATTACACCCGCCCACTGGTGTCTCGATTGAACGATAGGTGGGAAAATGAAAGATCACAGTTTTAACGCAGAGATAAAATGTTCACATTCCTCCTGTCTCCTACTGCAGCACCCAAGTACGTAAAAACTGTAACAATTGAGATAAAGCAAAACGCGCAAACATTCTCGACAGGTTTGACTAATCATCCAGTTGTCGCGGCCCTAAATTGTTTGTCTGTGAAATAATAGAATGAGTGAAGAACAACCACCATCACTTCGCGTTGTCAACTGTGATGTCCTCAGATCGCCACACCGGGACAGAAAATGAAAGAAAACAACCCCTCCTCATATCTGATGAGCTGGGAAACAACATGTTTTGCATGTTTGCTTCACTTCAATGTTTAATCAATCATCTGATCTGTCTTTTTTTTTTTCTTTTTCCCCAGGTTGACTTCCTTTCATTGACTAACTGTTACGTGACTCATTCTTTCTTTTTGCAAATCTGCCGGCAGCATTGGAGCCATGCAGCGGCTTACGCTGTGAGCCTCACACCTGTCGTTGTGTGTGTGTGTGTGTGTGTCTGTGTCTGTGTGCGTGTGTGTGTTTGCGCGCATGTTAATCCCCCTTTTGTTTGAGGAGTGAAGCGGAACCGTCCCCTGACAAAACAGTAGCCAGTTAGTTGCAGGGTTTCATTTGATTGGTTGATGAGGTGGAGTGAGGGTGTGTGTGTGTGTGTGTGTGTGTGTGTGTGTGTGTGTGTGTGTGTCAGGTGCGGCTGGAAGAAAAGCTCGGGGTACACGGGGAGTGTAGGGAGCGTGCACGGGGCACGGACACCCAGAGGTTGAGCGTTCCCTGGGGTGCGCGTGCAGAACGTGTTTTGGAGAAGAGAAACTTCTAAACGGCTGCCGGACGGTTGAAACGGTTCACGCAACAAGTGCAGAACTGCTGACGAATCACACGCAGCCACAATTAGCCGTTCCTCACGATTGATCAATTGAACACTCCGGTCTTCAGTTGACAGAGACGTAAATAAACAAACTTGCCGAACCAATCCAAGCGGTTTCAGGGACAACATCCCTGTCTTCACCGTCCCGTGATGGATGTTTCTTGTGTGTTTTCAGCAAAACCACGCAAAGGAACAAACAGATCGCCATGGGCAGGAAGAAGTTCAACATGGACCCTAAAAAGGTCAGCCCTAACTTATATATCATTGTATGTGAGAATCAATAAAACTGTCACTGTTGATTAAATCCTAAAATTTCTCGGAGCCATCCATCAGGTCAAACAGACATGTGAGCGTGTTTTTCTTTTTTCTCCCCAAAACAGGGGATCCAGTTTCTTCTGGAGAACGATCTTCTCCAGCACACCCCAGAGGACATCTCACAGTTCCTCTACAAAGGCGAAGGGCTCAACAAAACAGCCATAGGGGACTACTTAGGGGAACGGTGAGCTCTCCACTTTTCCCTCTGTTTCCCCCTCCACCTTTCTTTTTCATCTCCCGGGGGCCTCCGTCAGGTCTGCACTGCATGTGCCGCGGCATAAAGCCCCAGGAAATGAGCGGTCTGGACTGGCGGAGCAGAGCGGCCCAAATCCCCAAATCAATGGGGACAGGAGTGTCCTAACAAAACAGGGTTTTTTTTAACGCTGCCCGCATACACGGTTGCGCTCTCTTTCCAAACGCTTGACATGAACGCATTCACCTTTCGACGTGACCCCACAAGACTAATGCATTATACGGATAGAACGCATTAAAAGCGGGTGTCTGCCTGTTTCTTTTTCCGGCATCCGTTTGAGTGGAATTGAACAGTTCAGCATGTGCGACATGTGACCTTCCTCTCCTCCAGGGATGACTTCAACATCAAGGTCCTTCAGGCGTTTGTGGAGCTTCATGAGTTTGCAGACCTCAACCTCGTACAAGCCTTAAGGTAAGTAGACGGCCGAGTTGGGGCACTGCGGTAAAGGAAAACAGGTTTTTGCAGTGGCAGGTTTTGTAGGAGTGATCCTACAGGGGAAAATGTATCCAGGAATTCATTAGTTTGAAGATAAATTGCATTGTGGTTTTCAATAATATGGTTATTTGACAGGTGGGAATATGTGCCTGTGTGTATTTTATTGAATTGGTTAATAATCAACTTCTACTTCGTATCATCCGACTACAAGACCGGTCTGCAAAATATTTTCTAACATGAAGCCACTGAGTCATTACATTTTCTCTCTCTGTTCCGATGTCGTAGGCAGTTTCTGTGGAGCTTCAGACTACCTGGCGAAGCCCAGAAGATCGATCGTATGATGGAGGCGTTCGCCTCCAGGTACTGTCAATGCAACCCTGGCGTCTTCCAGTCCACAGGTACCACACACACACACACACACACACACACACACTGCAGCAGACATATGAGTCAGACTCAGCTAGACAGTCCAGGATAGATCATTTGGGGCAGCCAGACCACCTCAGCCTCAGATCAATGCTTCAGACTGTCTTTCTTGCCCTAATGGACATCTGGACCTGTTCGGGCTCTATAAATCTTTTAAATGTGACCACAACCCCGGAGACGTTTTTTTCTGAAGCACTGGAAAAAATGAGTACCAGGCTACACATATATCTGCTTTTAGAGAATCATAAAAGGAGCAACAGTCTGTTTACTACTCCGTTTCCAACTTCCCCACCGAGTCATCGCTATTTGTGTCTCCAGCGGCGATGATTAAAATCAATCACGGGTCGATAGTGGCCATTAGCGCCCACCCCAGCCACACGCGTGTGCTGCTCCCGTGTTGGCCGAGCGGGTGTTGAGGACGCAGGTGACCGCTCAGGTGATGAATATTGATGTGGTGCAGTGGGGGACACACCCAGACTTGGTTATTGGTCATCTCTCAGGACCGGTGGGCTCGGGGTCATAAATCACAGTGCACCGCATGCTGACAGGCGCCGTTAGCGTGTAGATGGATGAGGTGGAGGTCTGCAGGAGTTATGATGTGGACTCAAAGACCAATGGATTCGTATGTGGCCTCAAAAAAAGGGCTCCACGGGTTTGTTGTCCCCGGAATATGGAGCTCTTTGTTGATTAAACTTTTCTTTTCATGAGACAGACCTACATTTTTGTGGCGAGAAGAAACCTGTTGATGGATTGATGTCTAGACATTCGATTGAACGTTTTTTTGTATTTTCTCAATACAGTTTGTATAATATGATCTCAATGATTTAAGATGGACTGAGTGGCTAAATATCACACTGACCCATAAACTCCAGGCCAGAAGAATGTGCACTAACACACACACACACAGTCGTGGGCTTGTATCTTGTGTCTCCCGGTGACCAAACTCTGCATGATTCCCTCCACAGACACCTGCTATGTCCTATCATTCGCCATTATCATGCTGAACACAAGCCTGCACAATCCCAACGTCAGAGACAAGCCCCCCGTCGAGCGCTTCATCTCCATGAACAGAGGGATCAATGAGGGAGGAGACCTCCCGGAGGACCTACTCAGGGTGAGAGCTTCGGCTTTATTAGCTCGTTAGGTACGACAGATGCATCCAGCGTGGCGTGGACGGAAAAATAAACCCCACGTCGGAAGCGCTCCGCCGTGCAAAGCAGAGCCGTGCCTCACTAATTGAGATGTTGCAGCTCACGCTCTCTCAGAGAAAAACGCATTAGAGCAAGTTCACCCTCGGCCGACGGCTTTACCAAAGCGCCCTTGGCTTCTTTTAGGTAGAAAAATACAAGCTTCCAGAATCAAAGTTTGAATCACTGTCTCTCACTTTCCCAAGTCTGTCAATGTCTTGTTTAACACACTGTTCTGAAATGTGAAAGCCGGGTTGAATGCTTTGGGAGAAAAGGTGTCTGGAGGTGTTTTCGATTTTAAAACGTTCCTCTTTTTTTCTCGTTTTCTTTCTCCACCCAGAATCTATACGACAGCATCAAGAGCGAACCCTTTAAGATCCCCGAGGATGACGGGAATGACCTGACGCATACGTTCTTCAACCCGGACAGAGAGGGCTGGCTGCTTAAACTAGGTGAGTTCGATACATCCTGGATGACTTTATTTTGTTATTCTCTTATCCTCACTACAAACGTGGCCTTATTCTCACAGCCGAGTGAGAACAAGTGTTTGGGTCCCCGGTGCTGCATCACCTTGTACACGCAATGAACCAAATCTGGATTATCACACCTTTTGTGTAATATTCATAAATGCACCTGAAATAACATGAATGTGTTGGTGCTGAGAGATGCTGTTATACTTATTTCCAGATGCTCCCTATAGTTCTGAACTCAAGTGATGCCAGACAAAGTTTTGTGTAAAGTAAAGGTGTGTACATTCTCACGGCACAATTAGTTCTCCTGCTAAACACTTTACAATGTGTGTAAACCAGTGTTTGAGTTTTCTGTGTGTGTGTGTCAGAGACTGGATGTGGTTGTATGCTTTCTCAATGAGGTAATAGTTTTGGGTCTTATTTTTACTACATTTTTTCACTGTTTGTTCCTGTTTGTTTACATGTGTTTTGGATTTAGGACTTGCTCCGTTGCTCTGCAGTTCTCCACACATTAAATATATTGACAACAAGTCACTTTTAATTGTTGTAAGACGTTGATTCATTATTGAACATAAAATGTTTAATGGCTTGGATACTTTTTTTTTAAAGGTTAAAGGGCAAACGCACTGCAGTTGATCACCTTTATTACTATGTGCACACACACACACACACACACACACACACACCTGGCTCTGACCTGCACATTCCTCTCACTCCGTGTAACGTCTCACCACACTAGTGAGTATGAATGTAAATAGCCCCATTGTGGCTCACAGACCTAACATGATTACATTCTAGTGTGGTTCCTCCCTGGAGCGATCCCCCGCACCAGTTCTTGCTGAAATTTTTCTAATTCAACTCTCTAAAAATAAACCCTGGAGGATGTGAAGGAATAAAAGCCTTTTTTTAAGCAAATTCTTTTGCTGAGCGGAAATTTGGACGTGCTAATTCAATAGCCAGAGTCTGTTGAAATGTTGGGAAACCCGAAGCTTTTATAATTATGTGTGGCCCACGCAGGCTAACGGGAAAACAGGAAGCAAACGCTGCTGAGAAGAGCTTTGTGACCGTGAGGGACGTTATTGTCGAGAGGAACGTTGGCAATGTTGGCATACTCGCAGGAAATGATCAGAAAGTTCTTCTGCTCTTCATATCTCCCCCGGCTCGTGATACGTGTGTGTGTGTGTGTTTGTTTTTGCATTTCAACGTCATGCACACAACGTTCATGTCTCTCCCACCAGGAGAACCTTCTCAGTGTCAGCAAGTGGTGCGTTCCTCCAACACTGCCGGAGGCTGAATTCTGACTACAAACCCAACGTTTGCGTTCGCTCTGTCTCTCTCTCTTTTCCTCCATTTGCTTCTTTTGGATGTAGTTTGGTGAGTCGGGAACACGCTGAATTGGCTCCTGCCGTTGGTGTGTGTGTGTTTCCACATGTGTGTTCCTTCAGGGTTGCTTTAGGTGCCACGTCAGGTTCATATCAAGGGCTGTTTGCTGAGAGCCAATGGGGTTTTACCCCGTTGACTAAAATAAAACTAAATGAACAAGCCGAGTCGGCAATTATTTGTCAGTAAGTTCGCGTAAGTCATCATTTATGGAAGGTGAAAGCGAGGAACAATAGTGGTGGTTGATTGTAATCACATACTTATTTTTCTACGGGCTCAACTGGCTGGGTCTGTTTTCAACATCCACCCACAGCAGTATGAACTTGAAACACAATGTGTGAAACATGGAGTGAAATATCTATTTTTTGACATTGACACAAGAACACTTGCTTATGGGAATTTAACACACAATGTAAATGCAGTGTTTTGGGTTTCCACGTTGCTTGATAATGTGATGATGACTTTCTTTTTTTTTATACAAAGGAACCTAAAATACGTCTGTGAACCAATGCACATACTAACCCTACTTTAAAATGTACCGCTTGGTGTTTTTTTCCTGAAGGTCTGAGGTAGCAGGTCATATCCATACTGGAATAGTGATGTAACCCTTTGCACAAAAAGACGGAGTGGATGTTGGCCGGCTTCATTAGCGAGTGTCCCCTTCCCGTTCTTTGTCCCAATAGGAGACAGTCAGTCTGTCACGTTGGCTTTTGTGTGACTTCCTGTCCCCTCTTCCTCTTCCTGTCAGGCGGCCGAGTGAAAACCTGGAAAAGAAGGTGGTTCATCCTGACTGACAACTGCCTCTACTACTTTGAATACACAACAGTGAGTGTCACGCTAAGGTCACGTGTTGCTTACATATCTGCTGGTTTACACTCCACTGATACTGTCTGGTATAAAATCCAGTACGCTGGAGGATTCAGACTTCAGTGCCAGAACAAATATAGCTGCATTTTTTTTATCATGAATTATTTGTTTGCACTGTGTCTGTGTGTGACTGTCACCCTCTGTAAGAATACGTTCAAAAGTGCATTGTCGAAATGTTTTTGTCATTGCCTTGGTGTCCCTGCTGGGTGCTGCATCAGCACTGTTCTCTCTCTCTAGCCTGCTATTATCCTTCAGGACACTGTCATCACGCCCCGTCCTCTGGTCTGACTCACACACATGATCTGCTGCGTTTAAGAGCAGTCAGGACGAGAGGAGGACGAGAGGAGGACGAGAGGAGGACGAGAGGAGGAAGAGAGGAGGACGAGAGGAGGACGAGAGGAGGACGAGAGGAGGGGAGAGGAGAGGAGAGGGGGCGATTTCCGTGCTAGCAAAACGTATCACAGAGGATTCGTCCTCTTTACCTGAGCTCACGCCTCCACATGGGTAGTTCCCTTCTAGCTTGAATTTACTCGGTTGTTTTTCTCCCTCCTCTCATGTTTCTCCTTCAGGACAAGGAGCCTCGTGGGATCATCCCACTGGAGAATCTCAGCATCAGGGAGGTGGAGGAACCGAGGAAACCTGTGAGTTGTGCCTCATTAGAGATCTCACCCTAAGCGCATGCACCAAGTATCTATTCTTTTTTAAATGTTGACTTTCTAAGTACATCTCTTCGTCGGGCGTGCAGGCTAACGGATCACAGTTGCACGCCATTGATGCCCTGCTCTCTCTCCGCTCCCTTAGAACTGCTTTGAGCTCTATAATCCCAATCACAAGGGCCAGGTGATTAAAGCCTGCAAGACGGAGGCAGATGGGCGCGTTGTCGAGGGCAACCATGTGGTGTACAGGATATCGGCTCCCACGGCAGAAGAGAAAGAGGAGTGGATTAAATCCATCAAGTAAGACTCCTCACAAGAGCACTTAAAAGCAAAAACAGTTTGATAATTTAAGAAACATGTTTTTTTGCAGTTAGCATAGATGGTTTGTTTACCTGAAAGTTCCATGTGTTCCTACGCAAACCCGCAGTAAATCCCCTTGTTAAGCCACAATCTGTTTTTAAGAAAGTAAACATAAAATACACGGCGTGTTAATAAGTGCGCTTTAAAGGTGCTGCTATGCGTACTTTATTACCTCTGGATTGAGGCCAGCCGTTTCCAGTCTATATGCTGAACTACCGGAAACCGACCGGCTGCTGCTCTTCCTTAAGTGAAAAGGATGGTGGTGTGTTGCCACTCAATAATGGTTGTAATGCTAAATATATTAGTGACGGGGCATCATGGACTGTAAGACCCAGGAAATGTACTGACACCTCTCTCTGTATTGAGTATTACAATATTCTATTTCATTAAGGGGTGTGGTTTGCTGTCCGTCAGACAGCGTACATATTACGTACTGTTACTGTTCAGTGAGGAGAACCTCGCTGCCTGTCAGGGACCTAAATGTTGCTCTCTAATCACCCGCGTAGAGGATGGTGCAACATCTAAGTCTGAGTTAGCTCAGCAGAACACTAGTATACTGTAACATAATGCAACCCCCCACCGTTTCCATACTATCAAAGGGTTTGCACTGGGGAAATGATGAGGGATTAGTCACTGCTTCGAGCGGCCCAGGCGTGAGCCAGCAAACCCAGCGCTGCCATCCAGGAGAGGCAGCTCCAAACTGGGCTGACGGAGCCACGGAACCACGGAGGCCAACAAGCTTGTGCTTCACCAGAGGGGGTCCGGGGGGACTCGGGGGTCTGTGGAGATGAAAGGGGTTTTATGGAAATGGTGATTTTGTGGAGATGATCACAGAGGCAACGCTGCATCTGCTCGACTTGAGTCAAAACCCCACAGAGCCCGATGATGGTGGAGGAACTGGGTCAATGGGGAAAGTGGGCTCATAAATAAATGTGATCTGTTAGTGAAAGTTTCATCAGGTTTTACATTTTGTTGAGGGCAGAAATGTTATTTTGCATTAGTCACAGGAGCCTCGCTCGGATTCACAGTTGGGCTTTTGTTTCATGAAATTGGGTTGTGTAAAATGACAACGAGTGGTGCAGAAAAGCAGGATAGTCATCAAATACAGATTCATTCTCCAGCGCGTGGCGTCGCAAAGGCAATCGGAGATATCCGCAGTGGGGGGTTGAGCCTCTTCTTGCTTTGTGCTGGTGCTAACGCGATTTAGCAGCCGTGAAACTGGGCTCCTCGGTGGAGCCCGAATGGATTCCTGATTCACTTGCTCTCATTGTGCTCTGCCTTTTGCATCGCTGCAGGAAAAAAGGGCCAGCGAAAAGAGTCAATCATCTTGAGCACATTTGTTCGCCCTCCTTCAGACCTTTCAACCTTCAGAGTAGTGAGGGGGGAAGTTTGGGATTGTGTCTTTTAGCCAACCCGAGTACCAAGAAAGAACTAGTGAGCAGGAGGGTTCCTCTTCAGAAACCATGGAAACCAAACTAGGTCGTTGCACAAACTCTTTTTTTTTTGATGATCTAGCTAAAGAAGGGGTTTGTATAAATGTGCCAACATTTCCATATCAAAGATGCTCAAGACCCTCATCACATGTTACCGTATTATTTATTTTGTCACTGTCCTTTTGATTGACCTCTTCTCCAGGGCCAGCATTAGCCGAGACCCCTTCTACGACATGCTGGCCACCAGGAAGAGACGCATCGCCAACAAGAAATGAAGCGGGAGGGTCTTCTCGACCCCCGTCTTTCCCTCCATCCGTTGATGAACACACGACACAAACCACGCCCCCCGGAGAGATGCCAAAACCCCAATTACACAAACCTCAGTGTTTCTCCTGGACTCTCCACAAGTCATGTGCCCTCGCTGGGGAGACATCACACACCCCACTGAGGGGATTGATCCGCCGACTCTCTCACACACCAAACAACCAACCGGGCCGATCTGTTTCTCCTCCATCTCATGCACACCCCCTACCTCTCCCTCTCATGGTCATTACATGTTCCAGGTCTCCCTAAAGCACAACTGCCACGTTTCAGGTGCAAATGCATGTATGTGGTTTATTATAGGCCAATATGTATGTATGTGTGTGTGTGTGTGTGTGTGTGTGCGTGTATATATATGCAGTGGTGTGCATGCTATCAGTGCACACAGTATCTACATTATGGGTGCGGAAGCGAGCGCTCCGACCACTGTGCTTTATGAAGACGTCCTAATTCGAAGCCCGAGTGCAACGTGAGGATGAGTGGGGACGTCTGGAGGCTGGAGTTGTGGGAAGAGGAGACAAGCGGACATGTTTGGGAGGCGGCGAGTCGATCTTGCGCAGCATAAGCTCACCTGCGACGTGTCGCCGTCGTCTCACTCAGGTGCTGAATTCTTCTGCCACGTGGCTGAAGCCGTCTCAGAGTAAGCTCAGAGAGCGGTGCTGGCTTACATTTAGGTTCCTACAGACGTGTCACAGGCTTGAGTCAGCTGGGCTGATTTCACTCATTTGTGTGCAGCAGAGAATTTTTGAAAATGTGCATACTTTTTTGTTTTAGTTGCTTAGAAAAGGAGCTTTTGCCGAGGTCTGAGATAATATTTGCGTTTTGGACTTGGAGTCGCAATCCGTATGAGAAGTGAGCACAGGTTGATTTGGTGACATAACCTTGGTTTAAAGAAGGCAACAGCCAGTGAGGTTTAATAAAAAAAAAAAAAAAAGTCAATAATTGTAACTGCAATCTGATTTACTGCTCATGTTCTGATCTCTTGTTCCAAAATGTGAAAAGAATCAGAGGCCAATAACAATGTGGCAGATATCCATGTTATACAATTCAACACAGTAATGCTGGATCAGATGCATGCGTGTTTTCCTGTGAACCCCTGGGGCATGTTGATCCAGCTGCCAATGAAAAGTAATATCTAAAAGCTGCTTCCAGAATGTGGAAACATATATTGGCGATTGCAGATTGAATGCTGACCAGAAAGGAAGTCCGAATGGGGTTTCTTAAGGACTTCAACCTGAAAAAGTCCACCACGCAGGCTTTATCTACGGCGACGCACCGGCCCAATGGGGTACCAGTCCAATTAAGCTTTTTCTCCTCTTGTCTGTGGCCTATATGAGTGAAGGTCAATGTGCTGTTGTGATCCTGTTTGCAGTTGGTTCGTAATCCTAAAGAATTCCTGCTTGCTTTTGTGTTCCTCTTTAAAAAAAAAAAGCATATAAATAATAACCAACTATAATTTTTGTATTTATTTTAATTTGTGAAATGGTTTAATACTATCTGTAAATGTTAAACAATGTATGCTTAAGTTATGTATGTGTGTGGATATATAATGTGTAGGTTTTTCTGGTTACTTTGTTGTTGTATGCACACTCTGTGTAACATGTCTGAGCCAACAGGCAGACTTTTGCTGAAGTTCGGGGTCTTCTTTCAAAAGCCTTAAACATAATCATAAGAAAACATGAAGATGATACTGGTCGATAGCCGGGACGATGCTCCTTAAAAAGCCATGACTGACAAGTGAGAAAGAAGGTTGTATTTATGATGATGATAAAGATTCTAGTGAAAATGATGTTTGATGTTAATGATGATGATGATGCTAATTCTATCAATGAGGATGATGTCAAAAAAACTATAAACACCAGTAGTTTTCTATGTGATTGTAAAATAAAAATGAAAGCCTTGTGGTCAGGGCAGAATATTATCTTCTACTGCCCCGCGTGGGCTCATAGTTACATTAACTTTTATACTCTCTGTAAAAGCTATCGGTCACGTTGTACATTACGTGTATCTACATAAAATATACATAAAGCTTACAGCAGATGTACGGCCTATTTATTATTCATGCCTGACTTGACCTACATGTGTGAGAGATATTTTAGATGTCATCAGTGAACGCTCAGGCCATCCTCCATCGAGCAGAACAACAGTGATGGGTCCAACGCGGTAAACGGTAGATTACTGTAATACGAGAGGGGATGAGAGAAGGGGAGAGGGCGCCTTCTACTGGTTTTCCTTCGTTGTTTTAATTCAACATCTACATTTATGACTACAAGACACGTCCATGTAGTCAAGCTGGATTAGAGAAGATGAAGCTTTGCAGACAATATATAATAACCCAACATACACACTATTTTGCACAAATTTAAAGCCTTACACAATGTAATACAAGCCCTTAATTTAAACTTTTCGGACAATACTGGCTAAAGTGACCAGGTGGTTGATGAGCGTGTGGTATTTCAATGGCAGTGTTGAGCAAACAACACTCAGAGGGTTTTGATGGTAAATAATGTGTGTAAAGAAGCTAACCGCTAACTCGGGCTCAATAACTGCATAACAAATGTGCCTACCAATGTCTGTGATGAAGCAATTACAAAAACACTATATTCACAAACATGTAGATTAATGTAATGAACATTTGCTTAATATTTTTTTTAAATGACCAGTTTATACACTGAGGAGTCGCTCGAACATCATGTTTAAAAAAAACCACAAGGCTTCAGCACCAATTGTGCGCTTCACTGGATAAACTAAAGATATGAAATTACTCTTAAATACTATTTAAATTCGGTTTAACTGTGATTACAGATGTGAATCTCACAAAGTACTCAGATTCTCTGGTTTTGTCACAAGAACTGTAACAAACTGCAGATATAATGTTACTCTAAAAACGCTGCCCCCCAGTGCATACGTGTAGAATCATTTGGTTATGTTTGGTTTTATAGACCTTTACATCACCACATAAACACGTATATATACACACACAAGTATATACATATACATATAACTATATATGTATATATAATTACACTCATACAGATATATCTCTATAATCAGATACTTATAACACTGTAATGTCCAACCGCTGTACATATTATATACAAACCCTAAAACAAGTTAGAGAAGCAAACATTTCCATCATATCTCACTGTGTTAAGATGTCGGAGACTAAACAGAATCTCTAAATAAGATGCAAAGCAACATGCAAACAAAAGAAACAGCAGGCTGGATGCTTGTTGCCGAGACGCATTGAGCCTCAACCTTCATTGTGGCTTCATTGCATCACACATGACGGTCTTTGCCTTCAGAGCAAACAGTTCGGTCGGCCTAAAGTTGGTTTTGGGGGTAGATTTCTATTGTGGGACATAAATGGCCTTAAGCAGAAGGAGCATTTATTTATTGCAAAATGAGGAAGTAGATGTTTTTCCACAAGAAGAAAACAGCTATGCGGCACTGGAGGGAAAAACACACAAGTATGTATGCAACATACATGTTGTTTCAAAGGTATTTTGATATGTATGTATTTGAATAATATATTGTATTGTATTATATTGTATTTCTTCCTGACAGACTCTTCACTTAACTAGAAAACCAAAATATAGGTGCCAATACCACAACAGACTCCTAATCAGCTTTTGTGACCCTATGAAACGGCCACAGGGGGCATTTTGTCACAGCCGCACACATTTCCCTCCTGCAAAACCGCAAACTCACAAGCAAATAACTTGAGTTGTAACTTCTCCTTAAAAGAAAACTCACGAGGGCCCTGCGTGTCCCCATTTGATCCAGTTGCCCTTCAGTTGCCCTTTGGGTGACCTTCAGGTGACCTCTGCCTCCCCCCTCAGCAGGGCGAAGAGGAGACTTGATTGTAGTCGGGGCATTTGAGGAGAGCAGGGTAGCTGGCGCTCATCTGGAGAGACGCTTCGCTCGAGATGTCGGAGGGACTTCGCCCACGCGACCAGACCTGCGGGTGGAGGAACTGGCCCGAGTGGTCGGAGCAGTTGCTGAGGCGAGGCCGGTAGAAGCTCGGGTGGCGAGGCTGGTAGATCTCCTCTGCCGAGTAGCGCTTCATGAACAGGTACACGGACATGACGCCTGCGCTCTGCGGAGGGACACGAGGGCTTTCATACGAAACAGAACAAAATCGTGGAAATATACAATTTTTCACGGCATATAACAGTGGATTAAATGTTTAGATTGTGATGGTTTCAGTTAGGTCATGTTCAAAGTAACTACCCAAAGTGCTGTACAGCATATATGCGTATATATTGGTACGGATATTAATACTACGTCTGTCAAATGGTGATTCAGATTCCACGTGCGACCACTGGAGAGCAGTAAACCCTCATGATTCATCATCTCCTCTGAGGTTATCTTTGCCTTGTTTCCAGTGAGTATTTAGGTAGAATAAACTTAACCACGACCTGCCTGTCTTTTTAAATGTCATTCCGTGATTCTTCTTTCATGGTGTATTTTTTCTTTGCGTTTCCTTTTGCTGTTCCTGTTCCAGTCTTCAGTGAGTGTTTCATACTTCAAAACCTACCGACAAACACTTTTTCTTCCCACTCCTGAGTGTGCTTGATACTAAGTGTCAATACAGATACAATTGTAATTCAACACAGAAGTCAATGACAGATCAGTTCTATTGATTGAATTAGAATGTCGGCATGTCTAAGAAAATGGAGGAAAAAGGTTATTTCTTTCTGGGGATTGAATGCTCATTTACACCCGAGAAAATGTAATCTTTGTGTCAGACATTTCTGCTTCCAATGTATCGGCATGTTTTTTGATGCAGAGAAAAAAAAATCTAACGCCTAATATGCAATAATTTAATTCGTTATCTAGCTTTCCTTTTATCTACACTAAAGTAACGTGGTAACGTGGTCCCGTTTAGGTGCGTGTGCGCGTAACTCAATATTTGACTGCACATTTCATGCTGCATGAAATATGTGTGTTTTATCATCTTTGGACAATGGTGAAAATAAGTGTCCTTAAGTTAAAATGTGTAACATCAAAGCCACGGCTGTGCAAGCTGTCCAGTCGCTCACCTCGGTGAGCAGGAAGGAGATGGCAGCGAACGCAAAGGACCAGCCGTACTTGTAGGTGAAATAGGTCTCACTGCTCCGGGTCCTGTTCAGCATTTCATCATTAATGCTGGAGATGTACAGCACCAGGCCCACCACGAGGGCCAGACCTGAGAGACGGAAAACATCGCTGTTAGATTAAAAAACAAAAGAAGGGGGGGAGGAGGAGAGAAGATCAGAGAAGACCTGAGAGGATGGAGAAGATCCCGGACACGAACGCCAAGATGGAGCGGTGAGGCCTGACGTGGCCGATGTTGTTGAGGACGAAGCCGATAAACATGAAGAAGAGGCTGACCAGCGGGAACGGAGTAGCGGAGCGGATCATTTCTGGGGAGAGGATGAAAGTGGCCAATTGAAAGCCCCAAAACGAGAGAAATCTGAGATTATCAGCGTGAAATGAAGGGCTGTTCGGTTGGTAAGGAAGAAGGAATATTAATAATTATAATAAAAGATCAAATGAAGGCAATTATCATCTGCACCTATGCCAGATTTTTTTCCAATCTTGTAACACTGACTGCAGTGGATTTATCCTTAGCTAAAGGTTTCACGCCCTGAAGGGCAGCTGAGGTGGATTGTCTGGGAAAAGGGTAATAAGTATTCTTGAGAAACAACTCGAGGGTTCGGATGACTCACTCTCATCTGTCTGACTGCGTTCGAGTGATCTCCGAGCACAATATTATTCCACAGGTTCTTTGCCCTGAAAATGCCTCCGCCTATTTACGGGAACAATCTCAAGGGGGCGCCTTGAGTTATTCGGCCCGGTGTCACTCACTGAGCACATTTACTGTGGACTCTGACGTCAACTGGACGTTCATGGGCATGATGAAGGCCACGGTGAAGCAGCGACCGGACTCGTCACCTGAAACGGAAGGAACACAAAAACTTTGAGACCAAGCTGAGGCAAGGACGAGGAGACGTGGCAGTATGGTCCATGGAGGGAATTGTCCATGGAGGGAATGGTCCATAGAGGGAATGGTCAATGGAGGGAATGGTCCATAGAGGGAATGGTCCACAGAGGGAATGGTCAATGGAGGGAATGGTACATAGAGGGAATGGTCAATGGAGGGAATGGTCCATGGAGGGAATGGTACATAGAGGGAATGGTCCACAGAGGGAATGGTCCATAGAGGGAATGGTCCACAGAGGGAATGGTCCATAGAGGGAATGGTACATAGAGGGAATGGTCCACAGAGGGAATGGTCCACAGAGGGAATGGTCCATGGAGGGAATGGTCCACAGAGGGAATGGTCCATGGAGGGAATGGTACATAGAGGGAATGATCCACGGAGGGAATGGTCAGTGGAGAGAATGGTCCATGGAGGGAATGGTCCATGGAGGGAATGGTCCATAGAGGGAATGGTCAGTGGAGAGAATGGTCCATGGAGGGAATGATCCACAGAGGGAATGGTCAGTGGAGGGAATGGTCCATAGAGGGAATGGTCAGTGGAGAGAATGGTCCATGGAGGGAATGGTCAGTGGAAGGAATGGTCGATAGAGGGAATGGTCCATGGAGGGAATGGTCCATGGACGGAATGGTCAGTGGAGGGAATGGTCAGTGGAGGGAATGGTCGATGGGCAGGAAGGTGTTCTGTGGAGCGGAAGGGGGAACTGGGAGCAGGTGTGCATGTTGGCGGGGAGGTCAGCTGATGTTAAAAGGTTTAAAACCCAGTGAGGACTGCTGCAGGACAATTCAAGATGTCAGCCAAAGACACAAAAAATGAGGGAAACCGTTCATCATTTCAATGTACTGGACTTATGTTCCTTTGTGAGTCAGATGAAAAGATTGATGCTGCTCTCCAATTTGCAACTGAAGCCAGTTGCCGGTTAGCTTAGCTTAGCATTACAACTGTAAATGGGGGGAAACAGCTAGCCGGGCTTTGTCTGAGGGTAAAAACGGTCTTTGAGACTCATTTATTGCAGATTATATATATCTCCATTGATTAATCTGTTACAATATTCAATTTCTTATTTGGAATCACTCCTTTCCAGGAGTCTCCACAGTTTGCCTTGCAATATTACATGGCTCTTATCTATAGCAAGTTGTAGATCGGCTTATTTGATGAAATTGCACTTTCTGTTCTTTTGTGTCTGTGGCGTCTTATGGTTGAAATACACTTATTGTAAGTCGCTTTGGATAAAAGCGTCAGCTAAATGACATATAATGTAATGTAATGACTTGAAAAAATGACATTTCGACCCTGACAAATCGGGCCTGATCCTGGAAGAAACCAGGAGGTGTACAGACAGAAAGAGGTGTGCCGCATGCTGATGATGATTTACCTGCCTGTCACACGTCGAGTCCTTTACGCTCTAATGACTGAAACACTAGACGTGTGGCATCATTGGCACTTCACCCCCATTTAATATGTGTTCCTTCAAACCGCAATGTCCTGTTTTCCTCGAGTCTTCTCCCCCTTATACAGTATGTGACATCCGACAGAGGCGGCTACACAGTTATTATTATCACATTGTCACGTACAGACACCAGCTGGAGTCAACCACCAGCTAATTATGCAGCACGATAAGACGACATCTTTCCCCGGAGACTTGTGGGTTTGTGCGTATGTACGCAGGTGTGTATGTGTGTGTGTAATGTTGCGGGACTAATTGTACACTGAATGCACCTTGTTTTACATTGTGAGATTGAAAAAGGGAAGAAACACAAACAAGATTTCTATTGCTCTGTTTCTGTTTTCTGTGACTCCGCCACATGTACTCCACGTTTACTTTTTCACAGACACACACAAGTAATTGTGAATGTCATTCTGTGTGTATTTCGAAGCTGAGTGATGTAGTGACGATGCGTCAGCGTGACAGGATCATCATCTCGCTGAATTTTCGGGTGAAGACCACTCCGCAATAAGTATCCGTGCCCCTCCCCACCCCCCACCTCGTCACTCACCGGCCAAGAAGCAGACTCTCCAGAGGCCGGAGTGCAGCGAGGTCCTGATGGCGAAGCTCTGGTTCAGCGGCATAATGACGCCCTCCTCCAGGTACAACCAGTAGTCGGTGCCGACCGCCACTCCCAGCAGCCCCAGGCCGCTGATTGCAAACACACTGCTCAGCAACGTCAGGGCCTTCCTGCTGCACGTGCTCATGGCGACAAGAGGGGGGAGCTTCCGGCAGCAAATCAAAGAAATGTCCAGGGGGCAATCCGGAGGGGGAGAGGAGAAGACAGTGGCTGGTTACAGGCAGAGATTTAAAGGAAGGTTGATGCGGGGAACGATGGTGGGGTTGTAATCAAACAGGTGCTTTTTGAGTCTTGATTAACGTGTTGGGGGGGGGTCTACTACGGCGAATGCAAATTCTCACCGAAACAAAATCCAAAAGACTGGGGTTTTGTCATGTTACAGCCAGGAAATTCATAAAAAGCCTTCACAAGTCAACGAGACCAATGTATGATGTCATAGTTGGACATCATCTGCAGTGACAGGTCGATGATTTCATTTCCATTCAGGACACACATGTGAACGCTCTCTGGACAGTGACGGAGGCAGGATTCAACTAGAGGACGTACCCTCAGGAAGAGGCTCAATTTAATGCTTCACTGAATTATGAAACACTATTTTGGGCCCCCAGACACTGAAGAATATCTATTATACCAAATAATAAAACGCCTTTCAGTTTCTTTTGAAGGTTCATTTAAATCTTCCATAAAATGCAATTTTCAACTTGCAGGCTCAACTCTCTAACCTTTAAAAGGGGTGTCATCCCTTTTGTTTTTTTTATTTACTTGCGTCCTTATTGTCAGTCCTTATGTGCGGTTTTATTTTTTCATTATGACCTTGTGTCACAATTATGCGATTACCTTGTATGAACCTCTGGGCCACCGGGATTCAGCAGTATTATTCCCCCTAAATACATTTACCCAGTTTTATAGTGTTTGTGGAAAGAGCTTCCCTTTTATATAATAGAAAAGCCATCAAACTATTATTTAAGACATTATTGGTGTGCAAACAGTTTGAATACAGGTGAAAAGCTGAGACACCATGATCTCAAAAAAAGAAGTCACGACTACATCACCTCATCATACCTTATTCTAGTGGCTTCACTGAATATAAACATCTAGTGTATGTCAATGTGTCCATGTCTATTCCCTATTAAAAGGACCCTTCATTAAGTCAAAAGATAAAGTCAAAACAGTAGAATTACTCACGCTTAACATCCTTTAATCCGTCAATGATCAATGATCTAACTGTCGTTACTTTCACTGTCATTTGACCTTCTACCACCTTCTTGCAGATCGGTCGTCTGTGCAGTTATTTTAGTAGGATTAGGAGTATAATGTAAAAATAACAGCACTTTGAAATCACAGTTGTACCAAATGAAATACTTATCTTCATAAGATCACATAGCAAGATGTACATGGCAGGTTGTTGTAACAACCACAATAAAATCCTGAGCAACCATCACTGGTTGTCACTGGTGAATATGTCAAACACAACGTCTAGTCCAGTTTGAGAAAGTCCAAATAAACAGTCAGCAAAGTGCAAACACTTGTTCCTACCTGTTTTCCTCACGTCTCAGCGCGCTGCTTCCTGCACCTGAAGCAAATATGGTGCTGAATTGTGGATTAACAACTGCAGGGAACGACCGCTTGCTTTGTCATTGGCGACTTGCTACGAAATGACGCGTCTCTCTGAGGATTTGGTCACATCTCCCTTCAGAAAAAGTGGAGCCGCGAGAATCTTTGAGGAGCAAGATGATGCAGCGGTGCGTCAGTGCAACGCTCTCCAACCAAGAGAGAGAGCTGCTCCACCGGCTGAGTAAAAATACAGAGGGGGGGTAGGAGAGAGAGAGAGAGAGAGAGAGAGAGAGAGAGAGAGAGAGCTTCAGGGCCACAGACAGCTCCACTCAGACCTGACAGGAATTGTAAGCAATAATGCAGATAAACTAAAATATCAAGTAACGGAAGTACCTGCAGGTCACATTCCTTCACACGATCAATATCAGGGACCAGCTTCAGTGTGCTTGGCTGTGAAGAGTCCGTGCAGTCCGGTATAATTCAGCCATAACCTCTGCCTTAACAAAGATAATGGGTTTTGATTGACACCGTAGGAGAGGTTTTGACTGCAGTAGTTAGATGCATTGGATGGTCAGGTATACTGATTAAAGTAGTCTGTTTGCCAGCAGATATTCCAATGTGGCATTAGTTGCTTTTGACAGTGTGATCCTCTCACACTTGTTGAAGCTTTCCACGTGTAAAGTCCTGAAAGTGCATCATGGGATATTGTTTTTTTTTCCAGACATGAGGTATGCAAAAAAAACATCACCACAATAATATGCACATTAAATATAAGTGGAGCCCAATTTTACATCAAGAGCAATAATCAAATCTAATAATACAGACATTATAATTGAAGCTGTCATGAAAGTGAACTCTGACCCCCTTCCAAAATGAAACGGAGATGACTGATATTTTTCATACTTTATTTATACACAGTATCATCATACCACACTGAACAGAGGAACAAGGAGAATCAGGTTAACAAAAGCAGGGGCAGTGAAAGGAGACACGTATAAACATCCCTGTGGCTCTAACTGTAGTGGGGCTTCAGCCTGACGTGTTCTTCTCTCTTAAAGATTCTCAATGTGAGACATGTAAACATTCAGGTATCTCTTGTCCGTGAAAATCTCATTTGGTCCACATATGACAGCTGGACGTGTCAAGTAACTAATTAAGGGGCTGAGAGTCAGTTTGGCGGTTTTATGAAACATCCTCGTTGTGGCGTCGTGTGCCTCAGTAGTAACAGCAGTAATAAGAAAAACAAAATACCACACATTGGCAACAGGGAACAAACAAGCCAACAGAAGCATTTTTAAAGATATTTTCTCTGGTTTATGATTCAGCCTCGTCAGCCAAACACGCCGGGCTACGCAATGAGACGATGAGTAGAAAAGCGCACCGTGCCCGTTGGTTTGTCTTGGTTTGTGATCTCCGTGTCATGCAGGGGGCTTTTTGCATGCTTTGATCAGGCCTCGTCTCACGCATGCACACAAAATACGCAGGAAGGAAAGAAAAAAGAAATCCTCCCACTGCACCGTTACTGGCTTTCGAATTTGTGAAGAAGGAGTCGGCCGCGAGACGATCAAGGCAAGAGGGCATCCAAGCGTTTCACGCACTGTAGGTGCTGCATATTCGCCATGACACTGAGTAGTAGAAAATAATGGATAAATAGTGGAAGTACATATAACAAGGTTTGCTGATACCAAAGCTACCAAAGATTCAGCCAAACTTTATATGTATATAACGTATATGTATACTCTTGTTAGGGGTAAACTAAACATAGAAAGGTTTCAATCTACGGTAGTAAAAGCACATTCAGTTTGTTGTATAAAATCTGCAAGTAAATGATCTTTTTGCAACATCTCTTTGAAACATATTTACAAAAACAAAACAAAAGGTTGACATATAATTGAGGGGTTTCTGCAACATAAGACAAGAACAAAACTTTGTTTCCTTAAACAATTCCAAACTTTTTCTTTAGAATAACACTATCCAAAACATACAACAATTATATATTAACATAGTTTATATTGTGATACTAAACTTTACAATGAAACCAGACGTGTACTGCATCCTAGAGTCTACGGCTCATACAGAGTCAGAAAAAAAGCATGCAACAGAGATCTGCTTTGTGCATATGGGAATAGCATGTTTGTACGTAAAAACACTGTCTATTTGATCCACAGTTTTCTGACCCCATAAACTGAACTCCACCGCGGTAAAAAGGCAGGATGTGCTTTTGTGTTGAGTTTGATAAACGGTAGCTCCGCACCCTATAAAGCAACACATAGAAACGGGGGTTTTAGTGTGCTGGGAAGGCCAGAGGGAGGACAAAACTGCATTTGAATGTGTTTTTTTTTCTCATCTTCTACTTTGGCACTCATGTAACAGTACACTACCTCTTTTTTTTAAGTATATAAATATAAAATACACGTGTAGCGGTTCAGAAGTAGATAAAGAGCAGAAAAATATGTCCGTTCTCGCCGTGCATTGCAGCTCGCCGCGCGGTGATGTGATCTTATAACTCAACATATTCAACTGACAGACACATTCATACACAAGAAAAAAGGCTGCAGGTTTGGATAAACACAGATTGTGTACATAATAAAGAATAAGGGACGCTAAGGGGGGGGAAATAATGCAAAAATATCAGTGCCTTGTCCTTTTCCTTTCCACACCGCTGCCCTACCCCCCCCGGTGCACGGATATCGATAAGCAGTAGACCGACTGGTGAGGATGATCGGAGTCTTTTGACAGCGGGGTCGTGCGTTGTGAGTCCGGAAGGATGCTCTCATACGACACTGTGCAGGGATGGATGGATGAACTGAGCGTTGATGTAGGAGAAGCCCGCAAACTCGCTCTGGTCGATGTTGGCGATGACAAGCTGGTCGGGAGGCGTCAGCACGGGCTGCGTACGCGTGAAGAACTTGTCAAAGTTCTCTGCTCCTTTGCCGCCCTGAAAAAGAAATTTAAAAAAAAATGCCAGATGAAATGTTGGTAGTGGAAATGGTGTGTAGCCCGGCGGATATTTGTAATCAGATTAGAAGCTAACCCTGAGCATTCACAGTGGAGGTCGGCAACATCATGTCATGTGTCTCCCAGGCTGAATATGTACTACATGCATGTTGTTGTGTGTCATGCACAGTTTCCGCACGGTCGCGACGCTATTACAAGAAAGCGAGACCAAATCCCTCAGATTGGGTAATGAACAGCAAAAGGAAAATCAGCGGCGTGCGGACGGATTTCAGCACCTGCTGTCTCAGGGAGAGCGATCAGCGTATAAGACATTTCTGCAATTTGACAGAAAGCCATAAAGCCTGAGATAAATCCTTTTGTTTGCAAATCCCTTCAGGCCAACTAATGACGCTGCTTGTGAGCTCACGAATGTGATTCGCCACACAAAGCCCTTCTGAATGGATGGATTCACATTTTGCAATGTTTTCTTTCCCGCCCCCCCCTTTGTGAATGGAGATGGATACATCCGCTGTGCAACCCTGCATTTATTGTGGGCCTTGTGTGGAAGCAAAGGGAACTTGGGAGAGCTATTCTTAATCCTGGTGACAGCGCTGCGGGCGCTGGGAGCAGCGCTGGGAGGGGGCACGCAAGGTTCAACAAACTGAGAAAAAAAAGGTACGTATACGATAAGGTGCACGTTGGATACACACCCATTCAAAGACTTAATCAGGAAGTATCTCAAATGCTTCCACAGTGATGCATTGAAGAGTCACGCAGATTGATATTTCACAGGCAATTCCAAGCAAATTTAACAGGAGCGCGAGGGGAACAAACCCCAACAAGGACAACTAAACTAAACTGAGGCCAAGTCCCGGGAGTATGGAGACGGAGGCGAGACCAGGCCGCTGCGAGTTCCATACTGCATGAGGACTATAGATGAAATATAGAATACGCAAACCACCAAGGAACTCTTGAAATCAACCTGAAAGGCCTCCTCATTCATTTCTTTTATTGCGTGTTTAGAAATTGGGTCGTCATCCATCACCTCTTTCTGTCTCCAGCATCATCCACCTCTTTGAACTTATTAGTCATTACTCCCTGGCCCGAGGCGGAAATGATTTCAGGATGGTCGAAAGGTTAATGTGTACAATCTTTTAAATGAATCATCATGTTTGACACCTACCCTCTCATCTCACTCTAGTTATCGGCGTTCAGTGGATGAAAGTAATGCCATACCCAGTTGAAAGCAACAAAGGAATGCCACTAATTAACTCTTGATCAAATCTGCCGTCCAATAATCTTGTTTCCTCCACAGAAAATGTGACTTGTCAATACACGTGTTTGATGTAATCATTAAGCAGGACTCTTTTCTGCCAATATCAGATTACATGTGATTTTTGCATCAATTGCATTTGCTGGATTGGCTCAGAGCAAAGCCGAGTATAATATCATGGCACATATCAACAACATATCCTCCGCTCACGGCGTCACTCACCACTTTGGGTTTGAATGGCGGCTGGATCTCTCTGTTGGCCAGGCGCTCCCAGTCGATGCGTCTGAAGAAGGCCTGCTCCCGGATGTCCCTCTCCCCCTCCGAGCCGCAGCCCAGGCGCTTTGACGGGTGCTTGGTCATCAGCTGTTGGCAAACAGGAGAGGAGGGATTAGAAGGTGGGACAGGTTTGGGTGCTGCAGGAGAGGAAACGCTAGAGAAAGTGAGCATCTTTGAAGCTGGCAGTGTCAATTTCTCTCTTCATTTGAGCTTTTCTTCTTCTCCAACATCATTCTGCAGAGCCAGACCAACACTCTTCTGTTTTTTACGCTTCCAGGTTTAAAACAGGGGCAGGAAATTGCGCTGCCTTTCCGTAGCAACCTATTTTTAATTTTAAATCAATTTTTTGCAAATGCCATGTGAAGTGAATAATACGGATAAGGGTTATCTCCTTTGTCAGATGAATGATATTTCTGGTGGTGGCCTGCAGCTACGGGCTGTAAGGTGACGCTAAATGAAGGTGGGGCGTGCTATCAAACGACTGCGCCTCAATCTTAATGGAATCTTCTACTTCTTAAATTGACTTTAAAACCTAATTTCCTTGTTGGTAAATAATAACGTCAACCGTAATGCCGCTTCGCTGTGTTGATATCGCGTACAGTGATGCCCGGGTACTGAGGTGAACAGTTGCCGGCTTGATAAAGGACCATTTTTGAAAGCCCTGGAAATTGTAGATTTAGATAGAAAACGGTAAAAGACTCAAGTTTAATCAACTGCTGTCAAAAAAGCATCCTCTTCATTGCAAGAATTCTGTTTTCAGGACCTGTGTGCTTTCCAGCTTTAAATCTTGCATGTCAAAACTTAAAAAAATGTCAGTGCAGGTATCTCACCGGCAACAATGACATTTGCTTGAAGTTATTACCGTGTTAATTGCATTTACTTGAACAGTACTTACTCCCTTGCAGATGGAAACAGCTTCTTTAGACATGGACTTGGGGTAGGACACGTTGTGCTCCATGATGGACTGGAAGAGCTCATCTTCATCTTCTCCATCAAACGGGGGCTGAGGAGCAGGAACAAACAAAAGGGGTTGGCTTGGGGTTTCTTCTCTGAAGTTACTGAGGTGAGAAGTATCGGCATGTGAGGTGTAACATCGCCGTCTTGCACTCATCAATGTTTTTGTTCGACCTTTTGAGGTGATGGTAGTTGTGTTTACTGCTTGATAAATGACTTTCATCGAAATGGATGGACTTAATGAGGGATGAAAACTTAAAGAAGACACCCGATGGGGTAAAAGAAAAAGAACATATCACCTGTCCTGCCAGCATCTCATACAGAAGAACTCCATAAGCCCACCAGTCCACTGATTTTGCATAAGGCTGGTACGCTATGATCTGAGAAAGAATAACCAAACACATTCAGACGCAAACACATTAGACAAGGGAGGCAATGAACAGGCCCGTTGCTAAAAAGGTCTATTTATCAGTAAGATATGAAGGCTTTATTCCTGCTGCCAAGCGTCACATAGAACAACAGTAACTGTAAGACATTTCTCACCTAAACTGCCAGTCAAGCATACAGCGGGCTATTTCGAGCTGCCATAACAAAGGCGCTTTCTCCTACCAGCCAATGTGTCATTCTTTACCTTTGCGTGATTATTCATAAAATAATCACGCAAAGGTAAAGAGCTAAATCACAGCTGCAGGAAAGAGGAAATGCAAATGTTTCCAGTTCACAATTGAACCACGAGGTGATATGTCTTCTGATTAACTAGAGCACGCTGCCGTGGGTTTGTAACCTGCGAGGTTTATTCCGTGGTTCCCGCGGAAACGCATAACAATAGTTATTCATTGTGGTAGTCTTTAACTGAGAATGGACTATTATTGAGAATGTAACATCGGCCACTGTGCAGTTAATAATCATCTGGCAGACGTCTCCCACAGGTGTTAAATAAACAAATAAAACAGCGCCACGCTCTCATCGTCACCTCTGGAGCGATGTAGTCCGGGGTCCCGCAGAAGGTGCGCGTGGACATGCCTTCGTACATGTTCTCCTTACACATGCCAAAGTCGGCGATTTTGATGTGGCCCTCGGAGTCCAGCATCACGTTGTCGAGCTTCAGATCCCTGCGGGCACAAAACGGGGAGCGAGCTTCATCTGTCTGTGCTTGTGTTTCATGTCTGGGCTCTTCGTTTTCTTCGCCTCCTCTCTCTCCTCACTTCTGGCAGCTCTATCCGTCACCCAGTGGTGTCGGGGTGCCAAACACATGCAGAATGGATGCGAGCTGAAGAGGGACAGGGTGACCTCTGCATCCGTCGGGCCTTTATCACTCTCCTCTCTAGTTTTTCTGGCATCAGGGGGAAGTAGTTTCGTCCTCGTCTCCTTCCTAAAGTCATTTCTTTTTTTCGATCCTGTCCGTTATCTCCTGATCTTATTGTCCTTTGCCTGCTTCAGCCATCGGTCTCTGTGTCTGCGTCCTTGTCTAAACGCCTGTATAACGTCCTTCTTCCATTCCCCGTATCTTGAGCTTCTTTTCCTCCCCTTACACCGTCTCAAAATAGTTTCCTGCGTTTTGCTTCAAAGACTCTCAACTCCTTCTAACATGAAGACAACAGTACATTTGTTTTTTCTTAATCTTCTCCTCTGAAGTACAATATAAAAAAGTGTTTTTTTTCTTTTCTTTTTCGAGCAGCAATGGCTCAACGGGAGGTGAATGTGCTGCGTCATTACGTAAAACTGGCTTCTCTCTGACTCACCCACCTGTAGATGATTCCCTTTCGGTGTAAGAAAAACAAACCAACTGCAATCTCTGCAGCGTAAAACCTGCAGAATGAAAACCAAGAGAATGAATGCAAATCTTCTTTTACAGTTTCTAAGAAAAGTGATTCGGAAGACAAGAATGCGTTACACAAGAATCAAAAATATTCATACATAGTAGTGCAACATGATGCTCTGACTATGAACATCTTCATTAAACATCTCCCAAGTAAAACCATCTTAATAAAGGATGAACGACAACCCATTCGCACACAAAATGTCCAAAGTTTAGCACTTAATAATCTGTCTGGTACAATATCCTGATTATTGTAAAAACGTGTCCTTACACTGCCTGTGGCTCTTTGAATTTGCCCATACGTTGGATGTGATACATAAGATCTCCGCCGTTGATGTACTCCATAACAAAGTACAGCCGATCCTAGATTTGAAAAAAAGAACAGAGGTTATTGCCCAAAGAGCAGCTTCACAAGGGGAAGGACAGTATGTCCAAACTCAAACGAACATGGCAATAAGCAGAGTCATGTTTAGAAAGTTAACTCGTATACATAATGTATCTGAGCACCACCTTGAGATAAATGAATGGCCGTCATGATCCTTTCTCTCAGGTCTGCAGTGTGGCTGGATTTTAAACCACCACGCTTTGATCAGTAAATTACTTTTTTTATTGAAGACTCCTTGAGTCACCCTGTCTGCGTACACAGAGGACGTCACACTGGAGACTTTGTATTCATGCGTGGCCTCGGCTCAGTATCAATTTTCTCTGCAGGGGCACCGGTAAGAGAGTGTGAATAAATGTTAGTAGTGAAAGGCCAACCAGGCGGCCGTGGAAGGACTTTGAAACCTTTTAAAATAAAGCAAAGGGATTTTTTGGACTGCGTGTCGGTGGCCGTTCTGCAGCTGTGCAGGAAACACGCTTTACAAACAATCGTGTCTTCGGCTGAAGTTTCCACACACCACAGTCTGGAAGCAGGAGTGCAGCTGCGTGAGGAAGGGCGGTTTGTCCCTCTGGGCCAAGACCCTCTTCTCCACCATCGTACACTCAACGTCGTCATCCTGGATCACCACGTCCTTCTTCAGGATCTTGATGGCGTACAGCTCCTCCGTCGACTTCATCTCCGCGAGCATCACCTGCGAGTTGATGAAGAGGGGACAGGTCAAAGGTCACAGGGAAACACAAGAGATGGTGGGCGCATTTTAAAACGGCAAAAGAAATGCTTTTATGTTTTTATGTCTCTGCGGGCTCGGCGCTCACCTTGCCGAAGCTTCCCTTCCCCAGCAGGGACAGGAAGTTGAAGTCGTTCAGTCGGATGCGGTCCATGTTACCTGATGGCAGGCTGAACCGCCGGTGGTCCGATGGCGTGATCACTTTCTTACCGTGGCCCAGCTTGGCTTTCTGTTGTATGCAAAGTTGAAAGTGCTATTAAAGTAAACAGTATATTCAACATGTATCTGTAGATGCAGTTGCATTAACAAATAAAGCATATATAAATGGAAATAATAAGAGTGGACACGTAGCGCTTAGTCAGTTGTCATGCTGGTGTCTAACAGCTGGTCTGCAATCAGATATTCACATCTGGCTTTGCTTTTTTGCAGTTTGCAGCCTTGTGGAGCTTCATTTTTCTCAGTGAGAAGAAAGTGTTTGTCAGCTTTTAATCCAAACAAACCACAACGTAATAATCCAGAAAAGCATTTTGAAATGTAGTACAAAAGTCTATCTGGATGGGTTGAAAATGTAAGAACCAGAATCAAAATGTTTTTATTACGTCAATGATTAGAAATAGAAATGTAGAATAAAGGGATTAAACATATTGCTTATTGACAGTGCGGGATATTTTATATTTTCAATCCTATTCAATCCCGTGACTATATTTTGCGTGCTGGCCCATTACCTTCAATCTTTAATACCTGATGACACATGTTGCATTTGTTTAGCAGTAATTTGAATCTTGATCTGCTGGATGCACCACCAGCTTACAATGCATCACAATGCATTCATGTCATGACCAAATCTTTCTACTTCTATTTTAGAGAGGACGTAGTGATTTATTTTCTTCCCGCTGACAAGCCAGACATCCTCACATATTCATCAGGCAGTGAGCACGTGGTAGCAATTTGTAGCCAAATATGCTACAAAAATGACACTTAGGTTTTGCTGCTGATAAGACATCTCTCCATTTTTAGGGATCACAACCCCAATAAGTCGGTTGCCTACTGAGACACAAACACTACACAGGAAGGGTTTTACATATCTCGCAGAAATGACATCATCATAAACAACTCACCATAAAAAGAACAACACATCGACCTTCGTCAACCACGCAAAAAGTACGAATAGCAATGTCCGAGTGGCCACACAGAACACAGCCACGACAGCTACACATGATACCAAAACTAACGCTGCCCCCGTGTGGGGGGACTCGGCATGCACACAGAGAACAGCCTGTGTGCTCTTTCATTCAGACAAATACAGTGCAGAAGTGTCCAGCCATGCTTCCTCCTTTCTATAGTCCAGACAAAAGGCAGATTAGTAGAGAGGGGGGGGGGGGGGGGGCGCTGTGGACCAGACTCTCAGCCAAAGAGCAGCGGGTGTGAAGCTGTCTTGGTGGTAAAGATGATGCCACTGAGAAAGGGCCAGAGTGCTGGTAAAAACAATGCTGTGTGTGTAGTGATGGAGGCGTGTATGTAAAAGCCGTCTATGCAGCACTTTCATTAAAATTCTTTAAGTATTAATGGTCAAAACTGATTTTTTTTTTGAGCCGGGGGAACACGAGCTGCTTTCTCTTTCTCTCTGCTTGCTCTTTTTCACTGAAAAGCAACTTTTGCACGGGTCACTGATGCTGACCTACGCAGGAGGTGCCTGAAAATCCCCTAAATGTTTGACCAAATCCTTTATTTAGTATTCAATCGGCCCCCTTTCAACTGAATGTTCACATGTGTTATTAAGCATGAGATGGCAAAGAGGAAAACGGTTAGTATGTACGCTTGTGAGGTGTTAGAAAAATGTGTATAAAACAGCAATCTGGTTCAACTCTATGCCATTCAGAGCATTGGTTAGTAAATCAGATTGATTTGTGGAAGTCCAGCAGAGATCCACAAACAATCCTAACACGATAAGTAGAGTGAGCGTGATGCAGAAATAGAGACGGAGCAGGCAGAAGAGCTACCTTGAGATAGTGGATATTTAACTGACAGGCCTAGAAGAAAGAAGAAACTCACTCGTTAGTGCAGTCAGAGGTTAGCGTGTGTACGCGCGTGCTGGGAAAAGAAAGTGACACAACATAAACGTGGACAGATTTGACGAGCCATTATTTTTGATTTGTTTAAATTATTCATCCATTAGGGATAAAAACCGACACAGCTATCGCTCGGAAACAACGCGCATCCTCTTTTCTGTCACATCTGGCTGCGTGTCTGTGTCTTGCCCCCAGTTTCCACGGCAACCGCGGCGTCGCGCGAAGACGCTATCGCCTCGGAGGAATGTCAAGGTCAGCGATGCACATTACGGAGAGAGGGGGAGAATTAAACACAAGGAAACTCGGCGCCGTGAGGACTGCTGCAGCGAGATGACATTTACCTCTCAGTATTAAAATACCTGTACGCGCACACACACACACACACACACACACACACACACACACACACACACACACACACAGTCGCACATTCGTAACGCTGCCCTCGCTGAGATGAAATTCTTTGCACTTGATTAGATTGAAATGATTTTTATACCATCAAGCTCGGGAGGAGGTTTGAAGTTTTATTTAAAGCACAGTAGTTTTATTGTGTCGCAATAACAGAAACCTCGCAGCAGGTTCGGCCACTAGGGGGCAACAGTTAGCTGCACGGAGGAGTTCCTTAGATGTGGTTAGATAATAACACCATGCTGGTGTATTAACATGATTCAGCTTGACTTATCTACAGTCGCCCCTACAATACTGTTGATCATTTCAAAGGAAGTGCTGTTTTCTTTAGTTTTGAAGGTTGTTTTTCCCGGCTGGTTTTTTGATGGATAAAGTCTCCAAATCTGATAAAACTGAAAAACTAAAAAAGTCAGTTATATTAATTCTTCACATTATCATGAGCAGAGTTCACGCTTTACATAAACAAAGAATGCAGTTGCTGCTATAAACAATTGAATAATCATGACATTTTATAGTAATTAAAAAACAGACTGGAGTGGAGTGGTCAGAAGAAATTAAGACTAAGCAACTGAAATTAATAATAAAAAGATGACATGTTAGAAAGTAGGACATCAGTCTTATGGTGCTCGTCTGGTTTAATAGGAATGTGAGCTATTTTAAACAGCTATTTTTGGACTCTACCTTCTTTATTACATCTCAGTCATGACCCACTGTAAACAAAGTATGATGAATTATAATCCCTCACATAAGACTTTCACTCACTTGTTTCCTTTCCTGAATCAATGTAAACTTTCACTGTAAACGCAAACGGGGAAGTTCCATCAAAAACAAGGACCGTTTGCTTTGTTAACGCATGTAGAAATTAATCTCCCTCTCTGACACGCAGGGTGAAAAGCACGAGTGAAGAACAGCACCAGGTTACCATGGTGACAGAAAGGATGAAGTGTGACAAAACAAAAGGGTTCCATCGAATGTTGTGATTTCAGTTGACCTCACCTCAAACTTCTGTCTGAGCTCCAGGTTGACGTCGTCCATCTCAGGGATGGGGACATTGTAGTACTCCCCTTCCTCCTGGTTCAGCAGCTTGTACCTGATAGAAGCAACACAAAAAGACGACGGAGGAAAGTTATTTTGGTGTACTTTCCATTCAACATATCGCGCAGCGCTGCACTTAACGTCCCTGCACCACTTCAATCATCGGCTTCCCCTCTTTTTCCAGTGTTTACAGGTCTGCTCTCCCTCAGCAGAGCTAACTAGACTCAACCTCTAAAGTACACATCCTCTGGCCACTTGTCTAATGACCTGGAACCTGCAGCAGACCAACACACACACACGGCAGCAGGGCCGCATTTGTTTGCACAGGTATCTCCTGAAGCTCTGTGACTCCGTGAAGTGTGAGCGCGCGCTCATCACGATGAGACGAAGCAGCAGCACGAGTCGAGGAAATGACGTTGACAGGCGCCTTTTTTCCCCCAGGCGTCCTGTTGGGAAGCGGTGACGTCGGTTGTTGGCCAGTCTGGAAGCACGTTAACACTGCGGCAGACTGCAGGGTTGTGTCATTGTATGTGTTAAAATATATATACATACATTTTGCAAGTCTATTTGTTAGCTGTGTTCGACCTTTACATAAATGTGAAGAGACGCCTTCACCAACATGATAAGAATTGCTCACACACGACAGGTCTGAGTTTGGACTCAAGGTTTTACAATGCAACACGTTTATAGAAGCGGTGTTTACTATTCATTCATTTTCTTTAATACGCCCACTGTCTTTCCTCTGGCCTCTTTGTGTGAGTGAGCTGTCGCTCTCTCTGCGGCTCAGGTCTGCTGGAAAGGTCGAACAACACGGTTCTCACAGCAGGAGACCACTGTTTGTGTCTGTTGTGAAACCAGAAATCAACTCCAATCTTATTTGTCGTGCGCCACATATTCTTCTTATTTCTTACTCTCTTTTTTATATTACTCCCACTAGTGTGTGACTAGTCGATTCCTCAGCATATATATGTATATATATGTGCTGAGAGATATATATATATATATATATATATATATATATATATATATATATATATGTCTTGTATTAATATATAAATATATATATATATATATATATATGTATATATATATATATATATATATATATATATATATATATATATATATATATATTAATACGCTTTGCAATGTAAAATATCAATCATTTTACATTGCAAAGCGTGTTGCACTGTATTAAAACTCTGAATTAATGTCATTTTAGTTTCTTTGCATCCTTGTAACAACTTCCTTCCAGTTTCCAAAGTTTTTCACCCTGGTAACTGAGGGGCAACAGGAAGAAGACGACCTACCATCCACAGTTGGGAGCTTTGATGAGCTCGGACACTCCGAAGGACATGGAGCCCATGAAGTCGTTTCGGGTGGTCCGGTCCCAGTCCCACACCTCAATGGACAGACGGCGGTCCTTATCTGATGCTTTTAGCTTACTGAAGCACACAAATACACACACACACACACAGGAGAATGAACATGGACAGAAAGAGATCTCCTTCAGACCTTTTATTTTGGAACCTTATATATCGTAACGCGATCGTTAACTCACAAGCTGAAGGACTCGTTCCAGCAGGGGTTGAGGGACGAACGGATGGTTCTGGTCTTCTGTTTGGTCTCGTTCTTTGGGTCGGGGATGAGCTTGAGTTTAACATAAGGATCTGATAGACCATTTGGATCCATAGGAATTAGGTTCCTGGCTTCACCCACTAGAAGATGGAGGAGACGACGGGGCATGTGTTTATTTGTGTGCGTGTGTGTGTGTGTGAGACCTCATGAGTCCACACACACACAGGCGATGAAATGAGTCAGTGCAAGTCACTCCGAGGCCCGGCAGCAAACAGAAAGGTCTTCACACGTTACAGATCGCAATGTTTTTGTGCCTTTATAAAAGAGATGGATCATGTTTCATATATTCTCACTAAGTCATTGGAGTTTATTTCACGATTTGGCTCACGTCCTGTGAGTGTCATGGATCTTTCGGTAGAATTTTGATCTCTTGTGTGTCTCATGTCGGATTGGTTCAAAGTGGGTCTGGTGAATTGAAGTGAACTACTTGCTCGGAACTAATTGCCTTAATTATGATATGAAGATAAGGGAAACCTAAATGATTTGAGGCGCACCTTTAGTAATTGAACTTCAGCCTTTGGGAATATATATATCAAGTATTTGCAAGTCAAAAAGAAACTTAAGTCCAAGTTGTAAATCTCTCCTTTCGGTCACTCAAATACAAGCCATGTGACTCGTGTCAAAATAATACTTGCAGTAAAAGCCTGTCGAAGCTGCTGCTGTGGAACAAGTCAAATGAGACGGGTGGTAATTAGACTGCACTCTCCGTCCTCGTGGTGCCCTCTCTCTCTCTGATGGTCGGGCAATAAGTGAGCAGATAATGTGAGTGTGAGTGAAGATTCCCTGCGTGATGACTGACAAATGAAAAAAAGGAGTGTGGTTACATAGCAACAAGAGGAGGGAGGGGGGGGGGGGGGGGGGGCTGGGCGTTAACCTGCCTATTTTCACCATGAAGCCGGCATCAAGTGTAATAGGCCAATGGGCAGATCCCAGCGCTGCCCCACTTAACAACATCACACAAACGCACAACTACATTTCATTATTTAAGCAACAGCTGTCAACACCCCCCCCAGAAACGGAATACATCTTTCTTAAGTTTGATAGTGACAACAGAACAAAGACAAAACCAGATCATAATAAATCCTCTTCAGTGTGTTTATCAGATCCAATGATCCCACTCTGCATATTTTAATGCAGTCGCACACGAAGAGAGAGAACAAGGAAAAAGGAAAAGCTGTAATCGGAATGTTTCGGGGAGCCGGTGTGAACTTTCACACTATGACTTTAACAGCGGTCATGTGTTTTTGCAACAAAACATAAATGTGAAAGAGCTGAAAACAAGGCAATCATTGTAAAGCGTAAAGTGTCATTTGCATCTCATTTAATTCTGTGTTATTTTGTAGTTCGGTTAGTAAGAAAACAGCTTTAAAGAATTTTGAAAATAAACTAACAGAGACTCTCTAAAGACTAGTGGATTAATTGATTAAATGAAAAGATAGCCGACATCTGGTTTTCACTGTTCGTGTATGTATCTTTTTAAAATAAATTTAAAAAATATATATTAATGATGCTTGAAATTCCATTAATATATTGATGCTCCTCCTGTGTCATGTCGTAAAGGTCGGTGTAGGTCTCCCAATCCCAATTTCACCTTGTTCATGAATGTGTTCCTTCAACCTCATTGTTAACTCCTTTTCCAATACATCTTTGCCCCACTAATCCCTCTCTCTCTGTAATCTCTTGCACGCCCACAAGCCTTCACACCCACACACGCGCACACACACACACACAGAAAGATTAAGTAAGAGGAGAAGGAGGAACATCTCAGCGTCCCAGGTTCTTATGCATGTCCTCCCCTACACTGGCTGTGGCAACGTGAAAAGGCATCCGTCTCCGTGGCAACGCTGGCGCCAAACAATGCCGAGGCAACTTCAACACGCCTGTAAACACACTAATGAGTCAAACACGCACGCAGATAAACAGACAGCGGTGGGTAGTGTGTGTGTGTGTGTGTGAAAGTTACAGACACAGCTTGTGTTGGTCACTCATGCACGCAGGCAATGACACACACACACACACACACAAACCTACACAATGAAACATCATGAGCAGCAGTGATCAAGGACCATCTCTGCTGTCTGTGGTTGCTTGGATACAACAAGGACTGTTTTCCTTCAGGATCCTCCTCCTGCTCCTTATGAGGTAGTTTGTGAATAAATGACATGTTAGTGTGTGCATTTTGTCTGGGTAACTCGTGTTAACTCGACCTCAATAAGCAACTACATCACTCACACAAGCCTTCCGTTTTCAACACGCAAAACATCCTTCACAGAAGAAGCGAAACTACCAGCATCTCCTCCGCCGCTGGGGGATACGGGAGGGAAATGTTCTACCTTTTTACTAACACAAACAAAAAAAGGAAAGTGCGCTGGCACTTAGATGAGACTTTTAGAGCCTGGATCCTTTGTTGTTTGGAGTTAATGAATGACAAGTTCAGGTTCTTTCTTTTCCAAAAAAGGCCTATTCACTGTCTTCAACCTCAGATAATTTCACTAAAGTGCTGAGTATAATTTCCCGGCACTTAATGCTCCCGGAACAACCGAAAGGCAACAAAGCTAAAATGTTCCTGTTGTGTTTTTTGCAATATTCTTTAGAAACACACATCTACTCTTTCTGAAGCGCATCTCTGCTTAATAAAAAAAAAAATGCCACAGCTTAAAACAACATTTCATTTGGAGCGTGCGTGCAGGGCGGCCGACAGAGTAATCTCCTAAAAAAGGCTTTGAAATTCAAATGTGTTGTTGCATAACAATGCCATGTGCAACCAATGAATGCCTGATAATCTGTGGGGGGGGGGGGGGGGGGGGGGGGGTTACGCCCCCCCGGGGCTGGGAGGAACCCCGCGGGGCCCCCTCCGGGGATTTAAACTTCATGTTCCCAACCCCCCCACCCACACACTCCCTTTCCAGCACACACAAGAAATCACTTCCTGACACACGACTGTGGTCCTCAAGTCTTGTTTAAGGGGAGAATGATACTAGTGTGTCCATTATGGGGTGGGGGTGAAGAGGAATCTCTCAAAAAACCAGAACCATCTTGTATCCCTCGAAGAGACATTCTTCTCATCAAAAAAGACACGAAGGGGATCATATGGCGACATTTCCCCGCCAACTCTCCTCATCCACATTATTAAGCACAGTTCTTGGGCAAAATATGAACAAGGTGTGGAAAAAAACCTCTTTCGTACCACCTTCTGTCGTTGGAGCGAAAAAATGGACCAATTGAAGGGTTCATAAATGTATTTGTCAGCAATTAAATGTTCTCTAAAACAAGGTATTAAATAAATCAATAGGTGAATACTTTCTTAAATATATAGTTAATATGATGTTATTGTCTTATAAATGTGAACATATGATTTCAAAGGCGTCTGTTATATATATTTATATAAATGCTATTATAGTTGTTGACGGAATTATTCAAAACATCAACATTCTATGCTTAAAATGATACTTATAGTATCAAATATAAAATAGTTTTAAAACACGACGTAATCACAAGACAAGAGACGTGTGCAGTAAATGTCATCCTCATATTTGACATAAACCTAAAACTAAAAGCCTCATATCATATAGAAACAATAAGCTTTTATGTGTGCAACAGGCCTGATGCTATAATCAGTTTAGGAGAAAAAGTTATTGTTCAACTGTGCTCGGATTCTCTCCATGTTTGTCTTGTCTTAAAGTTCCATAAAAACCTTGCTTGTTAACTTGTTAAAAAAAAGCCGTTCGTCAGGAGGAGGAGTGAAGAGAAGGATGATGAGGTAATTAGTGGGGGAAAAAAGAGAGGAAGATGATGAGCGAACGAGGCTGCAGTGGAAGAATAAGAACATTAGAGCCAGAGGGCGAAGGACCGGTCACCCTACTGGTATCAGCTGGTGAAAAAGGAGAGGACAGATGTTGAATGGACAGAGCGCAGGACGTATGGAGGGGAAATAGATGAGAAGACAGCAGGAGGAAGACAGGCTCCGGGTCCAAGGAACGGCAAAAAGAAGATACCGGGAAATGTCAATTTAGGAAGAGGGGCTGATAGGAGAGATGAAGGAGGAAAGAAGAGGAGGCTGGTTAAAGAGAAGAAGAGGGAGAGGGAGAGGGAGAGAGAGAGAGCCCGGGATGTGTGTCTGCTCTCTTGGTTGGAAAGATTTAATCAAGTTCACATCGGTGCGGTGAACCACAAAGGCCCGCCACTTGTCTGCGGGAGCCGCAGAACCAGCTGAGGCTTCATCGTTCAGACCGCTGCCGCTTGAATAAGTGAAAACCCCCCCACAAAAAAACAGTGCCGAACATGCACTTCCTCTGCTGTCTAACCCTGCTGTGCTGTTCTGCTCTTTATCTCCTTTTGTCTGTCAATCACACCGTTTTGTCTCAATTCATCCGCCATCATTACAGACGTTTATATTGGATTTTACGTCTTTTCAATTCAATGTTTATACTAAACGAGCAGAATGAGTTAAAAGACCTATTCTCAGTCTAACATCTTAACAACCGTCTCCCCCCGTGAACACGTGTGCCAGTTCAGTTTCAGCCTGATCCGAATAGAGCGAGGTAACCATGTCAACGCGAGACCGCCGCTGTCATATTCTGCCTTGTTTCGTCGCTGCCAGCCGACGGTGCTCCTCACATCGCATCAGGGACGTTAACGCAGGACATGGACCAGACAGCGGACCAGGCCCTCCTCGCAAGTCACAGCACTGCACGTTTTGCTACGTGACATCATACAAAACTGTCCGACTGCCGTGAGCCGACAATGAGATTCATTTCCTTCCGGGTGGCCGTCAACAAACAAACACGTTTTTATGAAAGCAATTGCGGCTGTCGATCACATCTGCCATTCTAACCCCGCTGTAACCACAGGTTATTACTGTTTCATCCCCACTGATTTAAAAAGCCTTTATTGGCCTCAGCACTCATAATATTCCCCCGACCGCTACCGTCTCGCCAGGTGTGTGTGTTAGTGTGTGCGACGCAGGAGGGAACCAGCAGCCATTCCGCTCCCTGCCAAAGGGAGAGTTGTCCACTGCAGGTGCTGCTGTTGAGTGACAGGATCATTTGGAGGTGTTGAAAATACACACACACACAGGACGCGCAGAGTCATGGCTGCAGAGGGCAGCCATGACTTCCTTTTGTTATGTTGATGCGGGCGACATTGTTTCTAAAGTTCTGTAGAGGTTGTTTTAGGTTCCTGGGGAGTTACAGTTTGATTTTAGCTTGAATTTATTAAGATATTAAGTTAACACTGATAATCACGTAATTCCTCATGGAGCAGTGGTCCTTGTCGCTGCAAACATGCATGCAGATGTTTCTGCTATAATCATTTTGTTAGAGAAAAAACATTTGAAGGTCACATGACCTTCACTTCTGACTTGCCACTACAGTAAACATCATTGATGAATATTGATTTGGAAATGAAGTGACAGTGAACAGTTCCTCGGCATCCTTCGAGTCCAGTCTAACCCACTATTTGGAGCCCTGAGTTATAGATAACAGTCTGAAAATCCACCACACACACACACACGCATGAGGGAACCTCCTGCTCACGTCACGGCTGAAGTACGCGCAGATAAAGGGTGAGACCGACCTGTGACGTGTAGCCGGTCCAAGCTGACCTCGATCTTGAGGAAGAGGCGACCCCGGCGCTCCGTGTGGTCCGTCCCGCACAGGCTGGGCACGTTGACCACACACTGGTTGTGCACGTTCATGTCGCAGGCTGGAACAGAGACAGAATGTAGAGGTGTGTTGAGTTCATCTGGAACGAGGCACCACTTTCTATTATGAACCGTGTACATAAAAGGGAGGATAGGTGAGGGTGAGATTGCAGAGGATGCCGAATTCTAACTTTTTTCACGGTGAAATCTCTGCATCTGTCTGAACATGTGCAAAAGTAGTCGGGCCTGTGTGAAAGTTGGACAAACAATTCACAAAAATGTCATTGACAGCAGACAATGAGTGAGCACAGGGAAATATTTTACAAGGAGCCTTAAATGATAAAAAATGCATAATGAAAAATTCCTAGAATTAATGAAAACATGTTGTTAGATTAACCAACAGAACAAAATGTGCTCATATATTCGTGGTTTGGCTCTTAGTGAACTTCCACCTAATTCATTAAATGTGCTTCCATTTGTATAAATCAAGACTGTAATTACTGACCTACACAATAATTTCACCTTACACTTTCACAAACAAATGAAGTTTGTGAAAAAAATTGTATTCAGGTTTTATTGAAATAAAGTAAAAAAATAAAATCAAGCTACTTGGAACTTACGGTATAGAGCACCTGACAAGTGATCACATGACTAATCAATCCGGAAATAGGCAGTCAGATCCTTTTTAATAAAATACTTACTATACCACTTCCAAAAGCAATTATGGAGGAGAGAAAGTTGTTGAAGTTGGACGTGAGACGCGAGCGAAACATATAAGCAGAGGGATTCAGTGCCACAATGACAAAGACGATGGCGAGCGCAACAAAATCAATTTCAGCTTTATTCTTGTCGTTCGCAGTCTTGACGAACACAGACACAAAACAAATGTGGGTTTTGCAGCTGTAAAAACAAAAATTGCACATATTGCTTCAGCTGATTTATTATTCATCGTGAGTCAGTGAAAACAGGTGTGTGCTCACCTCTGTTTCTGCACTGCAGCATTTGAAGACCTGCTCTCTTTAGACTTTAGATACATCTGAGGTTTGCGACTACCAGTAAAAAGAATTGTGAACGTTTGAACTTTTTAAAGCGCCGGCCGTGTTACTCAGTCCTATTGAGCACCACTAACAGACACACAAAATGGATTCAGATCACATGTGGACAAAGATTTCCTTTGGAGATGTTTCAGTGAAAAAAAGGCCATTTGAAAGGAGTAAAAGCAGAGCTTAAAAGAGCTTTTCCACGAAGGAGCCATCAATGAGTAATCACCGCATTAACTTAGAAATAATATAATTGCTGTGAGCTGATGAGATCATCAGTGGACTAGCTACACTAACAAACACACACACACACACCTTTACAAAGCAGAACAGATGAGGGACCAGAGGAGAGAAAACAAGCATTAGTTCTCCTCTTCTCACCTCATTTCCTCTCCTCTCTACCTCCTCCCCCCTTTCCCCCCCTTCCCTTTTTCTGTCCGGTTCCATTCAACCGTCCATTTTTCCCGCTCTCTCCCTCTTCCCTCCCTCACCACCAGTCAGGCCCGTCAGGCTGACATGTGGGGAGGAGACAAGGACAGACAGGAGAGGGGACGCAGCTCCTAATTGCGATGGCCTCCCTGCACAAATTTTCCTCGGCTGTGCTCCCTTTACCATCTGCAGCAGGGGCCGCCGCCAGAGGCCCGCAGATGGATGGGCCGAGCAGGAGGAGGGGAGAGGGAGGGTGATGGATGGAGATGGCGTGGGGGTCAGGACGGGACCGAGGAGGTAAAGTGGAGGGATACAAAAGTAGGATGGGGGTCATACATGAAAAGAAAAGAGGACTCGTGGGCGGAAAGAATGGGAGCGCAGAGAGGACTCCGCAGGGAAGGGCCAGTGAATTCTGCCTGGGCTGCAGATGTGGCTGTGAGGACTTTGGTACCGGTCTATTCCCATCTGCTCTCATTAGGGCCGACCAGCGCAGCGTCCTCGACACAGGTGCACACACACACACATACGCACGTGCACGTAGACAGGGGTGTGTACTCACTGTCACATTTCATCCCTTGGTGGATGAGCCCGTACAGCAGCGAACCACAGTGGTCACAGAAGGTGGGGCTGCCGTATGTGTGGATCTTGAACTTGTGCTTGCTTCTGGGATCCTGGGCAAAACAAATGACATGGGAAAACCTTTAAAATATATATATTTCAGAGGGGAACCGTCCCATTAGTTGACCCATCCGAGTTTTGGAACGCAAGTGACATCTCCTTTCCCGTGGAATTCCCCAAGCTTCCGGCTCCACGACAACTTCACTCAGAGCAGCTGTCAATCATTATGTCTCATCCCCTTGGTAATGGCAGCAGTTCTTGTTCAAAAACCAAATCCAACACCTGACCATATGGGCTCAAATGACAGAAAGCGTCTTTGTGAGTAATGTATTTCATTGGTAGTTGGGCGTTTTTGTTGGCCCAGTGTCCCTTCCTTTTTGTACAGTATAGTACAATATAAAGTATAGTAAACGGTCCCATCGAGATTCATCACTTTTACAGCCACCAGGGGGCGATCAAGGTGTTTTTTGGTTCATGAGTCGGTTATCACAGCATTAGCAATTCAATAAGAGACTAACGTTAATTCATAATGGCAGAAAAAAAGAAACGTTATATCTTCAGCGTTAGCAGGTGGACTTTGTTATCACAAAGTTCATGACGGGGTCAATCCGCCCATGTGGAGCGCGTCCCAAGCAGTGGACAGCCGTCATCGCTGTCCACTGTCCATGGTTCTGAAGTGTGTGACTTGCAATGCTCGCTTATGCTGTGCTCGTGCAGGTCGACGTGGCGTTGGTGGTTTTGTGTGGTTTAGAGGTTTGGCTGTCGTTGTCGCTCCACTGAAGCGAGCACACAGTTTGTGTGGCGACAATGGGATGAGGCGGATTTACGTTTGGTATGAAAAAGATCTGTTTGCTTTTTTTACGCTTCATTCTTGTTGTTGCTAAGGCTGAACGAGTCAGGCTTTGCTGAGAGTAACTAAGCCATATCTTTTTTCTTGTCATTCTGACAAAGAACGGGGGAGGCTGATCTGAATCTGAACCTCTGCACTTTCTCAGGGTTTTTTGGTCATAAGCCAAACAATCGGACTGAAATTGTGTACTGATTTAAGTGCGGTGTGGTCGTATCTGTATCGAGCTTTACTGTTAAACTGTAAACAATTTAAACACCACAAGGCTCCCATATAAACACGCAGAAGCTAAGGAGAATCCTATTTTTTGCTCAACTGTAATATTTTAGAAAAAGATGAGTCGGGAAATTGCAACCTTTCCAGGATAACGGAATAAAAACGGACCTCCCTCACAACATCTGTTCATCACTGTACTGCTTAATGTCTCCATCAGAAATTAATGGACTAGATTATTGCAGATCGTATCCAAACTATCGCTTGTGGATTGTTTGGCCTCATTACACAACATCATTTTACTTTGATTCCTCAGTACGGTTGTTGAGTTTTAGCTGAACGATGCCCCAAATCCACGATGTCATCAGTGCACTTTCCCTTAGAAAAAAGAAAGAAAGAAAGAAGTGCCCAGAAGCTGTTGGTGCGTGGAAACGTGTATGGTTTGCGTGCCGGTTCTCTCCTTGTCATCCTGGAATCCTTCCCAGCATCAAATTCATACTTTTAAAGTGTTAAGAGGCGCAAATAGTGACGGTACAGCGCCGAGGGCAGTGGAACTGAGTATCTTGGCCTAAACATCTGGCCCCTGAGGCTCAGTAAATGAGAAATCTGGGATTAATGCTCAGCTAGAAATATAACCCAGATAGGATTGTAAAAAGTGTAACGTGCTCTTCAACAGATCTCATGTTCCTCTGATGGAAATGGATTCATATATTCTGCAGTCAATATTGAGATAACGAAGGTCAGCTAATATCTACAATCACCAAAAGACAAACACACCGTGATCGAAGCCCGACAGATGAGGCTGGATAAACCCCCAAGCAACGCCGCTCGCCTCCATCACAATGAAATGTGTCAGAACGGCTGCATGTGTAATTATACAGGCCACTGGCTGAGTAAGTGGGTACAGGTCGGTGAAAAGTGCCTCTTTTCTGCAAGCATACAACATGAAGAAGAAGACGGAGAGAGAGAGAGAGATGGGGAGGGGAGGTCTGCGAGAGAGGAGGCAGTTGTTGGGTGGTTCACGATGTGATTGGCTGTGAATCGCATCAGTGGTCTGAGGTGCCCTGACAAGTTTAATTAACAAGTAGTTCGTTCGCCTATTTTTTGCTCCTTTCCTGCGGCCTTTCCTGGAGGATTTTCCTGAAAAAACAACAACAAAAAAACTAAACAGATGGCTCAGTCGTCTCTCTATCCTGGGTTTCCCTCCCAGAGCGTTTCGGCCTCCTTACTGCATTCTTTTCAACTTTTCGTGCATGGGAAGTTTGAATTCATTTTGAAAGAGACTTGCTGAGTAAACAAAAAGGACGAGGCACTCTGGTGATCTCCCTGATCTCTGCTTCCTTCTCTATCGGCTCCCTTTCTTACCCCCCCCCTTCCCCTCCAAGTCTCTGGACAGTCAAGTCTGGATGTTTATCAATGTCATGCCCAGCGTCTCTTCTCCCTTTATATGTTTTCTTTATTTTTCTCTGTGTCATTGTGTCTTTGTCTGTGCTGCCCTCCTCTTTGGATCCAACGGTGAAATGGAAATAGGCAGGAATTGCACCCACAGTCATCTTGAGACTTTGACTCAGTGTAGCCAATCGAACGAAGGGGTGTGAAGACACAATTTGTTCAGCACCTTGGGCGTCATGCATGCTGCATGTCTGTGTGTGTGTGTGTGTGCGCATTTATTCCAGCCTTCAGGCCATCTCAGAGCCTCGTGTTGGTGGAAAACAAATGACCTAAAATGATCCCTCTCTCTTTGCTCTCAAAGCCCAAAGATATTATTAAATACTTAGACAACAAAAAATATAACTTCCGGAATAACAACACCGTTTCCTGTTTTCTTTTCAAGGCCCCAAATGTTTCTCCTCTAAGTGCTCCTCTATGTTTCCACGGTATTTAAATTCAATGCACATCCGTCCACAAGTACTTTCTTTGTTTTGATTGCGTATCGAACCGAGAAAGATTATACATATTATTTAAATGTGCAAACAGTTGAAGAGGCAGCACTCTTGGCAGATGCCACGATGAAGTCAAGCAAATACACAGTTTCAGACGCTTTTGATTTCCTCCAGCAGAGGAAAGAAAAGAAGAAATCTGATCATTGCTTTGATTCTTTGCAAATCGTGTTGCACGGTCTCATTATGTGGATTGGCCCTTTGACAGTGAAATACTCTATGTAACGGTTGCTCACACAGAGGCTTTGGTTCAGGGGCCCCTTCGGACCCCCGGGCCCGGTAACATCGTTCAGTTATCACTTCACACAGCTTTCCCTCGGTCTTGCTGAGACTACGCTCGCTGTGAGAAGAAGGAATACACGACTCGCGGCAATCATCGATGGACAGCAAACCGCGTGGGACACGAAACAGGTTATTCATTCCCCGCCGACGGTAACAGACTGAGCTGCTGAGGTCGAACCAGGATGGGAGGAGGCTGGTTCCAGTGAGGCGAGATGATGCTGATGCTGCTGCTGCCGAGTGTCTCGGAGCGTGACGGGGGCCGCATGAGGCAGGCGGAGGGGAAGAGATCGATGAGAGCAGAGGGAGGCTGAGCCGAACGGAGATCTCGCTGATTATAGTTGAGATTTTTGGGGGTTAATGGACTCAACAGGCTGCAGATCTGCCTTCACGTCCGCTTCACACTAATTGGGTGGATGGCTACATAGACGACGTGCGTTGTACACACATAACGCTCCATAAGCGAAGACATTTTTGGGCCTGCGATCTTCATCCTTGTCTGATTTGATATGTTTAGGTTGAGCATCGTCAAGCATCCGGCGCACTGAAGCGCTGGAAAATAGAATGAAAGAGGACTTTGCTCACAGTAACTTGGGCTTTTAGCATCGTAGCATAGCGTGGAGTTTTTCCGTTAACCAGAAAAGTTTACACACAATATACTGTAGCATTTGAACTGCATTGATGCATTGTACCTTTAAATACTGACTTGTACACTTGCTGGTGTTCGATTTATCAATTGAATACAAAATAATAGTTCAGTGAATCGATGTCTGTGCATTTGTTTAAGTCAAGCCTGATGTTGGCGTACACATAACAAAATGATCCCAGTCTGTTCCTCCCAGTGAGGCATACAGCTCACTAGTTATCTGTATTGGTCATTTGTATCGGCTGACACCCAAAGCACAGATATTGCTCTCGGTATTAGGACCGGAAAAAGGCAGATGGATTCATAATTATTCACACAAACACAAATGGGATAATGGTAAATGGTCCCCAGACATCCCTGTTAGGAATAAAACCTTTCATAAAACATCAACAAAACCTGAAACTATTAGATTAAAATACTGCATCATAATGCATGTGTGTACTGAGGTGATAGGAGGGGGGGGGGGGTGAACAACTAATGTTGTTGCTATGGTGATAATGGGCTAGGAAAACTACGTGATGAATTGAAAGTCAGCGGAGGGAAAGCCACCAATGGAGAGGTGGAGGAACTCCAGTAGAGAGTCAGTGCCTCCGTTCTTAACACAATGCAAACTCACAACAAGTAGCAAAGAGGTGAAAACAAATGGAGAAATGAACCCTGTCTCACATAATGAAGAAAATGCTGCTTTTCCTTCGGGCTGAAGCTCAGCTGCCCGGCTGGAAGAAAAGACCGAGCAGGGACGTTAACCGCCAAGAGGATCCTCAGTTATTCTCCTTCTGCAGCAGTGTGACGGTGTGCGACTCCACAGCAACTCGTGTTGTGGTCCAAGCACACGCTGCCTACAGCCACGCCTGGACGGGCAACAGTGGCACCGACCGTGGTGAAGGTCGACCACTGCCTAACAGTGCATGCTTTAAAAAGAGTGTGTGTGTGTGTGTGTGTGTGTGTGTGTCAGTACGAGCCAGAGAACAGCAGTGTGAGATTTCGTTTGTGTTTGTAAGCAGATGAAAATTATGTGGTGTGAAAATAGAGAGATGGCGAAAACAAAAATCAAGGCCCCCTGAAGGATTGATGGTCAGAACCGAAGAGAAAGAAACAGAAGGAGAGATGAGAGAGAACAGGAGATGG